GCATCACAGGATCAGCAACTCATTTTCACAGGATGTAAGAAATAGCTATCATTGATTTCAGGCTCTTTTGAAAATGCTTTAATAGGATTTTTTTATTTCTTTGAATTACCACTTGAGGCCATTAATTTTGAGCATCAGAAAGTCTTTTTTTCATATTAATTTTACATTGACTTCTATTTCATAAAGTTCATGCTATGATAAAAGAAATTCTAGCAATTACAGTTGAAGATGCAGCTTGCAGCCAATGGAACCATCGAAGGTTTTATATGCTGGAACTGTGCTAATCACTTCATAAGTATCACTGCATCTAATCACAAAACATACAAGGTAGGCATTTTTGTCTACTGAATAGGGAAGCAGATGTTCCGAGACTGACTGGTGTAAGTCACACAGCTAAAAGGATTGGAAGACTGAAGCCCAGGTCTGACTGATCAACAATCTTACTAGCTTCTGGGTGAAGAATACTGCTAAAGCCTAAAACCAAACCTTTTACTGTGAAGTTCACAAAATCAAATAAATGACTAGGTGTTGGATAGGGTGCAGTGAAAGAGGTGCTGGTGGGAGTATAAATGGATATATCCTTTCTGCAAAGCAATCTGGTAAAACTGTCATAAGCCTTAAAATATCTTCATCTCCTTTACCTGAAATTCTATTTTTTACTCGATCCTAGCCTATGGATATAATTTTTAAAATGTGGTTAAAGATTTACATACAACTGACAGTATATTTTATTTAAAAAGAGTCCTTGTTGTTTATTGTATATACACATGTGCATATATCCATGCAGATTAAGTAACACAATGTCTGGAATTTGCTTCAAAATCATCTGGACCAGGGGAAGAGAAATGGATTGAAGCAGGATGATGGATACATGTAGGTTTCTCACACCCTACTCCACATAAAAAGTATAAAAATATTCATGTAAAAAGATGACCCCATCAAGCATTACTTATTATAGTGAAAAAATATATTATGCTGTGGCATACCATGACCCCAAACATTATGCAACCATTAAAAGAAATGTTTTTGAGAAAAATTTAGTAACATAGAAAATGCTTTCAGAATAACACAAGCAGGACACAAACTGATACAATTTCATTTCAATTATGTGAAGAGTTAAGGGGGCACAGTGAAATGTTAATAGCAGGATTATGGTATCCTTTTTCTTCATATTCTTTTGCATTTTTCGCAAATACTATTTATACTCGAAAAAACTCAGTAGTTTACAGAGGAAAACAATCCATCTTTATCTGTAACAGGTTCCTAATTATTGCCACTGTCAGAGATGGGTCACTGGTCTGATCAGTCAACTGAACCAGTCTGACTAGGGTGGCAATTTTGGGTAAGTAGCTGTTTGGAAATCAAGTCGTTGGCTTCATACCTTAAGACTCTAATGCCTCTACCGCATAACACAGTTTTTACTTCATTTGTGTTTACGAGAGGTATTTCCATTGTCAAGGAGTGAGGGTGAAATTAACAGCTCTGCTTTATTTCTGAGTGCTTTGGAATTTTTTTTTAACAAAATCTATTTATGTCTTCACATAGTCACGCATTAAGTATTTACTAAGAGCCTGCTATGTGCCAGGCACCATGCTAGGCTTGGTTTAAGAGACAAAAACAGCAAGGGGCCTTCCCTTAAGGAAACTCAATTTAATGGGAAAGGCAGTGTCGAGAGTTATGGCATCACATAATAAAAGGTTGTGGAAGAGGTGAATTCAGGATGAACCCAGGCTGGGAGTCCACAGCTGCCAGAAGGCACTTGCTGTTAAGAATTGTTATTTAGCAATTAAACTTGTAGGTATAGCATAAATGGCATGGTCCGAGCATGGTGGCTCATGCCTGTAATCCCAGCACTTTGAGGCCGATATGGGCAGATCACCTGAGGTTGGGAGTTCGAGACCAGCCTGGCCAACATGGCGAAACCCCATCTCTACTAAAAATAGAAAAAAATTAGCTGGGTATGATGGCTCATGCCTGTAATCCCAGTTACTCGGGAGGCTGAAGCAGGAGAATCACTTGAACCTGGAGAGTTGGAGGTTGCAGTGAGCCAAGATCGCATCACTGCACTACAGCCTGGACAACAGAGCAAGACTTTCCCGAACTTAAAACAAAACAAAACAAAAGGCATGGTCACTTTCTTCACACAATTTAGATTTTTATCACTCTGCCCTTAATTTCAGCCTTTTATAATATCATGTGATTTTGCTGAATAGTCTAACTGGTGGGTCAAGAACAGACTTTCACCTTCAGATCCTACATGTTTCCTTCACTGTGTACAGATTTTTCCCCTGAGATGTATGATCACCACAGCTTTCCCTGTTTCACTGCCTGCAAGCTGCGTCTTCAACTGTAATTGATAGAATTTGTCTTTATCATAGCATGAACTTTATGAAACACAAGGCAGTTAGAATCAGTATGAAAAAATACAACTTTTCTTTCTCTGATGCTCAAAAATAATGGCCTCAAATGGCAATTTAAAAAATCTTATTAGAAGCATTTTTTAAAAGCATGTAAGATCAATGATAGCTATTGCTTGCATCGTGTGAAAATGAGTTGCTGATCTGGTGATGCTTTCTAGAAATATCCTTAAAGACATTTTTACGTGGTATTGTTGTTAAAACAAAAACAACCCACTTTAATCATTATTTCCCCCTCTGTAAGATGCAATATTAATCAATGGCTTAAATTAACAGATAATTATTTTCTTTCATGTTCTGAGGATCTGATTTGAAACAAAGCACATAGCAGAAACAAAATAGAAAAAAATAGCCCAATAGCAATTAAGAGCATAGAAATCAATTCCCAGCTGGACTGTGGAGCTGAATTGGAAAGGCAAAACACAAAGTTCTGGAAGATAACACAGAAGAAGTTACATGACCTTAGCATAAGAAATGCTTTTCTTGAACAGAACACAAAAGTGTTACACCTTAATCAATGTAAGTTGGACTTCATAAAGTCCAATTATGCAATTATAAAAATAAAAAAGTTATGTTCCTTAAAAGACCCTCTGTTCAATTAGACACCATTTATACAATAAAAGTCCAGATACAAAACCAGATAAATCTGACTACATTAAAAACAAACAGTTGCACGGCAAAAAAACCACCATAAGCAAAATAAAAATACAAACAAGAAGTTGGGAAAAAATTTTACAATATATCATAGACAGAGGGTTAATATCTAATATTTTTAAAATATTTTTTATATTGAATGAAGAAAAAGGGGACCAGACATTCTAGATAAATGAGTAAGACACATGAGCAATTCACCAAAAATGGATGTAAAAATGTACCTTAAACGAATTTTTACAAATTCAACTTAATTCATAAGAGAAATGCAAATTATAATTACACTAAGATGCCATTTCTTGTCCATCAGTTTGGCAAACAATAAAAAATTTGACGACAACACATTCTTCTGATGGTGAGGCTATAAATAGTTCACGCATTGTTGGTGGGAATACAACTTTTATGAAAAGGAACTTGGCAACACCTAACAAAACTACATGTACATTTACTCTTTTACTGAATAATCATACTTCCAGGAATTTACTCTGAAGATAACACTTCTAAAAATTTTTAAATACTAGTATTAGTATTGCAGTATTAAAAATACTAGTATTAGCATTGCAGTATTATTTGTAATTGTAAATATCAGAACCACCAAAAGGCACAAGTATAGGAGGACAGAATAAATTATGGCATTTAAACTCAATGGAGTACCATGAGGCTATAAAAAAGTAAGGAAGATCTCCGTAAAATGACATGGAGTAGTTTGTAGGACATAATGTTCAGATAAAAAGAGTATATATAGCATAAAACCTTTTATGTATGAAAATAGGGGACATGAAAAAATGTACAAATCTGCATATTTTGGCAGAAAGAATAAACAAAAATGAAATTGGTTACCTACAATGGGTGGGGCAAAAAGGGATGAAAGGAATAGGGAAGGGAGTAAGACTTGAGTGTGCATTTGAATGATTTAGACTTCAGGAAGCACATTGATACTCTACATATTCACAAAATAAAACTAAATCCTAGAATAGAGAGAAAAATATGCTATATAAGGGAAGTATTAGAACAAATAACAAAATTGGAAAATGGGCTGTAGATGAACAGTATGGTGGTTATAAAAGGATATATATAAGAGGATATTCTTGTTCCTACGGAACATACACTGAAGTATTAAAGAGTAAAGGAACATGGCATTCCAACCTACTGACAAAAGATTAAGAAATTGTATGTGTGTGTTCACATTTGATATGAAAATATATGTATATAACATATACATATATGTACATATAGAATTTTTTAAATGACAAAAATGTCAAAAATTGGTGAATCTGAAAAAAGGATAAAAAGTTCTCCATTATTCTTGCAAATTTCTGTAAAGTTGATACTATTTCAAGTTTTAAAAATATAATCTGGACTTAAAACTACTGAAAATTTCAGAAATCAGTATTGGAATGATAAACCACTAGAAACTTTCAGGTATACCTATGATGGGTTTACTTATTTATCTCATTGTTTACGGTAAAACACTTTAATGAGTGTAAAATGGATGCCTTCAGTTCATATGCCTTCATTTCTAGACTACCCAAGAACCAATGGAAATGCAGTTGGGCCTCTCAGCCTATTAAGCAATGGCCTTTTGCCTCTAGCAAAATGTACTCAAAGTCAGATATACCTTGCAATCAGTTCAAATGCACTAACAGGAAGACTGCAGTTATAAGCTTCTGTGTAGAAAATTCTGGTTTTTACATAAAATATAAACACGAAACACTTGGTATTGATATTAAACAGGCACTGTGATCAAGGGCACTTATGCACTAGTTTTGGGTATTTGTACGTGACCCATCTTGACTACACAGTGGCTCAGAGGCAGAAGAAAGTTTGCATGGGCCAACCAGCCTAATATCCATTAAATGTCTGCTGTTAATCAGCCATAATGTGCAACAACCAGCCAAGAGCCCTTTAAAAATCACTTTACCACTTTTAATGTCAAGGCACCATAGATTAAATATCCTTTTATTTGACTCAAACTGAAGAACAACATTTAAAACACACAATGGGAAGCAGTGCAGTTATCTCTCAAAATAGACAATGATGGTTTAATTAAGAGGTTGATAAAGCATATGTAGAAAAATCAGAATATCAAAATAAGTACCAAGGAGAACATATACTTTGATAAGGGGACTAAAATATGTAGCTATACAATCTGGGGTTTTTATTGATTGACTGACTGACTGAGACAGAGTCTTGCTCTGTCGCTCAGGCTGGAGTACAATGGCGTGATACTGGCTCACTGCAACCTCCAACTCCCAGGTTCAAGTGATTCTCCTGCCTCAGCCTCCTGAGTAGTTGGGATTATAGGCACTCACCACCATGCCTAGCTAATTTTTGTCTTTTTAGTAGAGTTGGGGTTTCACCATGTTGGCCAGGCTGGTCTCAAACTCCTGACAGATGATCCGCCTGCCTTGGCCTCCCAAAGTGCTAGGATCACAGGCATGAGCCACCATGCCCGGCGCTGGGGTTCTAATTCAACAATTTTTCTTGGTAGTCGTGCCAACAGTAATTGGAGAAACATGTTCCTAATTGTTGATAGGGAGAAGATGACAGGTAAGCATACACATTTTAATATGTATTCAATGTCTGAATTTGAAGAATAAAAATGCATTGTTTTTACCACTTAAAAAGAGCTAAAATCAGATCCAGTTATTTGACACACCAAAAACATACAAATGTACATTGCAATAGCAAGTTATGTAAGCTGGTTCTTTAGATCAAACTAAAATTCTAGTATTTTCTGACCAAACTAAGTTCAAAAGTACTAAAAGAAAGTGAAACAGGCAAATGATGAAATGTGGATCTTTTTCATTCAAGAATATGGAAACTCACTGGGCTGAAAAACCCAAATCTTTATTAAACCAAACTTCTATAATGATCTTAGTGCTAGTTAGCTTTAAAAAAAAACACAAAATACTATGAATTAAATATATGACAGATACAAAAAGGACATCAGATTACTTTGGGGGAAAGTTGCTTTTAAATTCTATATTTCCAAATAAGATATTTTACATTGAGGTTTTTTTTTTTTTTGAGACTGAGTTTTGCTCTTGTTGCCCAGGCTGGAGTGCAATGGCGCAATCTCGGTTCACTGCAATCTCCGCCTCCTGGGTTCAGCGATTCTCATGCCTCAGCCTCCTGAGTAGCTATAGGATTACAGGCACATGCCACCATGCCCGGCTAATTTTTTGTATTTTTAGTAGAGACGAGGTTTCACCATGTTGGTCAGGCTGGTCTCAAACTCCTAACCTCAGGTGATCTACCTGCCTTGGTCTCCCAAAGTGCTGGGATTAAAGGCGTGGGCCACCATGCCCAGCCCACTGAGATACTTTTTACTCAGTTTTTTTTTCTAAGAATGGATCTTTCTCTTTATGAAAACATAAAATTTTCCTTTTCTTTATAAACCTTGATATGCAAAATTTATCAAGCTGGTAAATTCCATAACAGGCTAAACCAAATGAAATTCCTAAGTAAAGCAATTTACATGATTAGAAGGCTAATTATGGTATTACTGTATAGGTTTAGTATTAATGCATATGTTCTAAGTTTATTGCAACTACACTAACTTCCTAATTTTAGATTTGCAGTTGCATCCTCCTAACTGCATGTAATGACAGAAGCACCACCTTGTGGCAAAAGTAGGAGCTTTTAAATTACAGAAGTCAGGGCTGGTTACCCAGAAAGGAGAAAATATAATGGGGGTCCAGGACAGTGCGCTATTTCTTGACCTGTATAGGGATTCTATCAGTGCTCACTTTATAATAATTTATTCAACCATATGACTTTTCTGTATTTATTGTATTTCCTACTTTTAAAAGTTTGGGGAAAAAAGTCTTTCACGTACCTGAATTAAAAGGTCACATTCCTAAATGCTTGAATTTTCTAAGCACCACTTATATTTTCTAGAATTTCCTAGAACTTCGAGGAATCTTTAACCTTGTAAATGCACTGTTGTATTTTTATGATAGGAAACAAAACACCAGAAAGATATTTATTCTTTGGTAAGCAACAGAAGAATTCCCTACAGATGTTTTCCTCTGAATATTTTCATTCCTGCTCCCCCAAAGCCTCCAAGAGCAAATGCAGCTGCTTTCAAATCATCTGAAAGACCTCTACACTCCTATACCAACAGGTCTGAAAATTGTTACAAACAAAAAATGAAACTCCCCCAAAACCAACCGATTTGCAACATCAATATAAAATATTAAGGATATATAGCACATTTAACTATGTAACAATATTCAATCAAAGAAAGGCTTCCCTGTCACGTTTTATTTACCATATTTTCAGGGCTTGATACATACTATTCACAAAATGACCTGAATTAGTTGGAGAGATTTTTCACCCTCTGTAACTGCTATGGCATCACTTTCCTTAGTGGTGAAGTGAATCACATTTAGTACCTCTTTTCACAGCCAAGAGCAATTTTTTTTTTAAAGGAAAAAAGCCTATTCCTTTTTTCCTAGGAACTTGTCAGGATACTTTAGTGACCATTCCCTCACTATTACTCTCATCCAGACCCCCCTAACTGATGCATGAGAAGAGCCACTAGCTGATGTGGCCCACAGCTCAGTCTGAGCCAGCATGGCTTGTGCAGGCGTAGGTAGCACAGTATCACCCAGACACTGCCTGCCCTGGTAGCTTCCACTCCCTCATGGACAGCACTGCTCTCCCCTGACTTAACCCTCTGCTTTGATCAAATACTAGAAATATTAAATTTCAAGTGCAATAAAGATGTGGGCAGATCTGCCTGAGAATATTTCACAGGACAATGCCTTCCACTAAGTTAATGGTACTTGCTCAAATAACCCTTATGCTCAAGTTAGGTACAGAAAAAATATTTTTAAGAAAGTCAACAGAATGTTATATTGCAAGTTTTGACTTAGGCCTCTTCAAAAGTGGTATATGAGGCAGCCACTAACCAAACATCTGTCTCTTATAATTTGACACATTCCAGGTATGACTATTCTAACGGTCATGAGTATCAATGACTCAAGTATTTGTTTCTACCTATGAAGAAATGTCGTCGGGCTGTTGTACTCCCAAGATCTATAACTTCCTTACAGAATTTTAAAGTAAAGCTGTTGCATAAGACTAAAAGAAGGAATAATCTCAGGGATCTTTTTACAGAGTATTATGAAGAAGATTGGGATTATTTAACTTAAATCTGAAGATACCTAATTCTTATTTCTCCCTGAAAACAAGTAAAAAACAGAAACTTAACATGAGCTACTAAGACTTCTGGAATTACCCATTCAGAAATGTTTCACAGGAACCAAAGTTAAGATAAAAATTGTTAATGAGAAATCCTGGAATTGACATTCCACATTAAATATATTTCTATACTTTACTGTAAGGTTCAGCTGACCACGCTACCTAAAACAAATTCTTTAATATTTTCAGGATGTAGTTTAAAACAATTTTTAACCCTTTTCCTCCTAGAAATAGGCACACACATATGTATGAAAGAGAAGAAAAAGAACGGGAGAAAGGGAGAGGGGGAAATGGGGGAGAGAGAGACAGAGAACACCATTAAGGATACAGAACAATAAAGGAAATTACTACCACTTAATGGGAACATAATCTTTTGAAATCTTTGCTACAACTGGAATAAAAAACTCAGTAATTCTGACAGGTTATTCTACTCTTTTAAATAAGAACATATCTGTTCAAACTATTAGGTACATCTAATCATTTAGTCTTTTAAGAAGCATTAGAAAAAAACATACATATTAACAAACAGTGAATTTAGGCACAGGTTCACATAAATTGTTTTACTTTCAGGAAACCCGGAACCTCTAGGAAATTACTAAAATTACGAAGAAGTTAAATTTTATAAGCTCTTTCCCTCAACTTTGGCTAAATGTAACCATATTAAAATACTGACATAGTTTTTGATCATGAAGCAGAAATGTAAAATGGTAGCTTTATTTTAATCTTTACTCAAGAATGATACTGAAACAAAGCTCTTACTATAACAACCAGGTTAAAAAAAACAAGGTGAATCAATGCTACTGTATATGTCCTTGAGCTAGAAATTTCTTACTTATGGAGTCATGCTCAGGAAACAATACTTAAAAATCTTAAACTGTAAACTCTTAGCTTGTAACATTTTGATTTTTCCTGTATCTTGCATGTTTCTCAGTGCCATTAAATATATTATCTTCTATTTCTTCTTAAAGAACTAGTGTTCATAAAAGGATCATCATCATCATCCTGAAATGAGATACAAATGTTGTATTAGTGATTGTTCCTTGCTTCACTGAAACAAGACAGAAGTTCTTATGGGCAAAACAATACCAGTGAGAGTCATTTCACATGGGGTAGACTTTATTTTTCTATTTCCTTTATAACTGTGAAATATGTAAGTACAATTAAATTCTTAATTGGCATTAAAATGAAAATTTATCCTGCTGTGTGTGCATGTATGTACAATATAAACCACACGCATTTCTCTCACTAACCTTAATAAAGACAAATGAAGTATAGGTAAACCAGAAAAAAAATTCCTCAAGTCATTTTATATTTGGTTTTTGAACAGATTTTCTCATTTACATTTTATTACAGTTGCATCTACTCTTCTGGAAATTCACAGTAAAAAAATAATGAAGCCACATGGAGATCTAACTCAGAAAGAGCTGTAATTTTTATTTCCCATTACCCATTTAATGCTAGAAATAGCTAGCTACTCTCACACTCATGTAAAAAACAACCTAGCAAAGCAAGCTTTCAAATAGTTTTTTGGATAAAAAAAGAAATACATGCAGTATTTCAAGAGTTCCCATGCCAATGGGCTACAGATTGTATGCATGGTAAGAATAAATAGGAATATGAGATATTAACTAATAATTTAATTAAAGAGAATGAAAACAAACCTCAGATAAGCCCAATTATACAATTTTATGAAGACAACATAAAACCAATTCTTATGTATTCTATAAATATTCAGAAAAGAAAGCAAATTTGTTTGTAAATTTTTAATTTGTGTTTAAGACATTAAAAAAAGAAATTATTTGATGCTAGGCTTTGTTGGTGGTATCAGCACTTCCAAATGTTAGCCAAATTAACTATCTCTGGTGAGAAATAGATGCCTTAAGAAATATAAATTCATTTGCATTTATTGATTCATTTTCTGCTACTATAAAGGCAAAACTTAAATAAACCAGAGACAAATCCAAATGAAGTCTAATAGATAATTTGCTAATAGTTTGTCTTTGCAGTTAACATGAACTAGTATACAAATTTTTAACTGTAACATATAACCACATGTATATCCAGATGTTCTGGAATAAACAAACAATAATTGCTCACTTCCCTCCTGGAAGCAACTTGTTAGTATTTAATAGGTAGAATGAGCTCTTGCTGCCATTTTTCTTGGCTGCCGGAGTTGAGTCCTCTCAAGCTGTTTTAAACCACAGCTGAAATATAGGGAACATGGCAGCAGCAGCCAAAGCTAAAAATGAAAGGCGTAAGTCACAGGCTACAACATAGATAAACCTTCAGGAACTTAGGCTATGTGAAATAAGCCAGTCACAAAAAGGCAAATACTCTATGATTCTACTTATATGAAGTACCTAGAGTAGTTGAATTCATAGAAAGAGAAAGTGGAATGGTAGTTACCAGGGGATGAAGATGGGGAAACGGAGACTTGCTATTTCAGGGATACAGATTTTCAATTTTGCAAAATGAAAAAGTACTAAAGATCTGTTTAATATGGATCTATTTAACACTACTGAACTGTACACTTAATAATGGTTAGTTTTATGTTATGCTTTTGCTACAATTGACAATTTTTTAAATAAAAAAAAATAAATGAAAGGGGTGATGGGCCTAAGAGAAACACCTTCAAGCAATTCAACAAAAACGAGCAAAGGCCCTTCAAATGGTAGCCATGAAGGAAAGGGGAAGGGCAATATCCTTCAGTCATGTAGTTTTATTTAAACTTAATTGAAACAGCAAATTAATAAAGGCAAGAGGCAAGTCCTGACTTATAATTCTTCCTCTTCCTCCTCCTCCTCATTCATGGTGGAGGAGATATCATGGTTGCAGACATGATCTGGAATTGGAGTTTTTTCCAGACATCCTCCCAGAGAACATTTCAGACAATGCCTGAATACCTCCATGTCATGAAATTACCACCATGTGCCCCCCTCTACATGACACTTGTAGAGTATATAGTGAGTACTTAATAAATATTCATTAAAGTAATATTAAAAGCTCTTGAGATATCATCATCATCATCATCATCATCATCTCTCCAAATATAAGTAAATGGAAGAAGCTAAAAAAATTCTGATCCCACTGTTAACTGGGCAAATAAGAGCTGAGTGAATATCATATTTTAAAAATCTACAGGACTTTTATATCTGAGGTAATTACATTGATGGACACTCAACAAAGCTACTTCTTAATTCTTAACATTAACTATAGTTCAAAGGAAGGTTATCAATGAAACTACTTTTTTTTTGAGATGGAGTTTTGCTCTTGTTGCCCAGGCTGAAGTGCAATGGTGCAATCTCAGCTCACCACAACCTCCACCTCGCGGGTTCAAGCAATTCTCCTGCCTCAGCCTCCCGAGTAGTTGGGATTACAGGCATGTGCCAACGTGCCTGGCTAATTTTGTATTTTTAGTAGAGATGGGGTTTCTCCATATTGGTCAGGCTGGTCTCGAACTCCTACCTCAGGTGATCTGCCTGCCTCAGCCTCCCAAAGTGCTGGGATTACAGGCGTGAGTCACTGCGCCCGGCCTGAAACTATTTTTAAAAATAATTTTTAGTGGAAGAAGGACAAGATGGCCAATTAGACAGGGCCAAGAAGCACCACTGCCACTGATAAAGACCAAAATATCGAGTAAGACAACATATTTTGAGAAGATCTTTGGAGAAAAAACACCAAGAGTTGATAGAGAGGTGATACGAACTGGAAGCTGAAGAGGGAGGATGCTGGGAACCTTGTGGGGGAGTTGCCCATTGCCCAGGCTGGTTCTTGGCCTTGAAAGGCTCCTAGGACGGGATGAGTGAATGGACAATGGGGCAGTCCACTCTCACTATGGACCTCAGAGATCCTAGCTACAAGATTCCATGCCCCCTGGAGACATTTCAACTGGCGGGGGATCTGCCCAAACAGTAGGCAGAGACAGAGCTCCAGAATGCATGGAGCCCAGGGGTTTTTACACGCAAGGGAGCTGCAGCAGAAGGTGGCCGTAGGCGCCCATCCCCCAAGACTTCTTATTTCCCTTCGAGTAGGAGTTGCCCCACCTGAATGCTGGGGCAGGACAGAGTGGGGCCAGCTTCCCTGTGGGACAGAGAAACACCTGTTCTGCAGGCCCTCCTCCGCTACAGCCCCTTCCAGGGCCCTTGCCAAGCTGCCCTGCAGGAATGTGTGCACAGGGCAGCTTCTGCTGCCCAGCCTTGTTTTTGCTGGTGGCTTCACCTAAGTACCTTCCTGGTAGCCTGGGAGCATTTCAGATTGCTGGTGCCTGACCTGAGGGTCCGAACGATGGAGCCACAGGCTGGTCCCAGTGCTACAGGGCTACAGCACACAGCTTGGGCTGCTGGCACTCAAGTTGGAGAGAAATCCCACTTTCAGAACACTGACAGGAGTGAGACATGTGGGTTTGTGGGCCAGTGCAGGAATGGACATGCCTTCCTCCACAGTGCTGGTCTGGGAAGCGTGTGGCCTGTCTGGCAGCCATGGCCTCTGTCTGAGGGAGCCCTGCAACCCAAGACACCAAACAACAGTAATGCAGGTGTGGTGCCAGTGATAGGAGGGGCCTCATTCATGGTCCAGAAGTGGCCCTTGTGAGTGGTCATCTCTCTCCCCATCCCCACCACAGAGCACAGCTGCGAACACACAGAAATACAAAAGAAATATGCAGCTGAGTAAGAGCCTATCTGCTGGACATTAATGTTAACTGCCAGCTACCAGATCACAGCCAAAATTATAACAAAATAATTCGCCAATATACATTTCTGTGACACCCAGGGCAAGAATCTAGCCACGGTAAAGATCTATATAGAGCTGTGGCCCTCTGAAAGCACCCAGAAACAAGGCCTACTGAATATACTCAACTTACACTGCAGTTAAAGGAATAATAGCCCTCTAACATGAGAAAGAATCAGTGCAAGAATTCTGGCAATTCCAAAAGCCAGAAATGTCCCCTTACTTCCAAATGAGCCTGCTGGTTCACCAACAATAGTTCTTAACCAGATTGAAATTACTGAAATGACAGACATAGAATTCGGAATCTGGATGGCAGGGAAGCTCATCAAGATTCAGGAGAAAGCTAAAACCCAATCCAATGAATCCAGTAAAATAATCCAAGAGCTGAAAGACAAAATAGCCGTTTTAAGAAAGAACCATACTGAACTTCTGGAATTGATAAATTCACTACAAGAATGTCATAATACAACTGAAAGTATTAACAGCAGAACAGACCAAGCTGAGGAAAGAATCTCAGAGCTTGAAAATCAGTTCTTCAAATCAACTTGGTCAGAGAAAAATAAAGAAAAAGAAGGAAGAAGAATGAAAAAAAATCAGAAATATGAGATTATGTAGAGGCAAAATCTATGACTCATTGGCATTCCTGAGAGAGGAGACAGAATAAGCAATATGGAAAACATATTTGAGGCTATAGTCCAGAAAAATTTCTCCAATCTTGCTAGAAAGGTTGACATGCAAATTAAGAAATATAGAGAATTCCTATGAGACATTATATAAGATGGCCATCCCCAAGGCACACAGTCGTGAGATTCACCAAAGTCAACAGGAAAGAAAAGATCTTAAAGGCAGCTAGACAGAAGGGTCAGTCACTTACAAAGGGAACCCCATCAGGCTACCAGTGGACATCTCGGCAAAAACCTTACAAGCCACAAGAGATTGGGGACCTATATTCAGCATCCTTAAAAAAGAAATTCTAACCAAGAATTTCATATCCTACCAAACTAAGCTTCATAAGCAAAGGAGAAATAAAATCCTTCTCAGGCAAGCAAATGCTGAGGAATTCATTACAACTAGATCAGCCTTACAAGAGGTCCTTAAGAGAGTGCTAAACATGGAAACAAAAAAACACCACCTACTACCACAAAAATACACTAAGCACATAGCTTAGAGACACTATAAAGCAACTACATAATCAAGTCTACAAAACCAGCTAACAATACGATGGCAGGATTGAAATCTCATATATCAATACTAACTCTGAATATAAATTGACTAAATGTCCTTACTTAAAAGGAATACAGTGAAAAGTTGGATAAAAGGACAAGACCTGATTGCTGTCATCAAGAGACCCATTTCACATGTAACAACACACACAGGCTCAAAGTAAAGGAATGGAGAACTAACATGCAATAAAAAACAAAAAAGAGCAGGAGTCGCAATTCTTTTATCAGATATAACAGACTTTAAACCAACCAACAGTAAAAAGGGACAAAGAAAGGCATTATATAATGATAAAGGGTTTGATTTAACAGGAAGATCTAATTATGCCAAATATATACATGCCCAAATTCATAAATCAAGTACTTCTTAACCTAAAAAAAGACTCAGATAGCAACAGAATAATAGTGGGAGGCTTCAACACCCCACTGACAGTGTTAGAAAGACCATCCAGGCAGAAAACTAACAAATTTGGGACTTAAACTTGACACTTGACCAATTAGACCTAATTGACAGCTACAAAATACTTCATCCAATAATGGAAGGATACAAATTCTTCCCATCTACACACAGAACATATTCTAAGATAGATCACGTGTTCAGTCATAAAGTAAGTCTAAATACATTCAAAAAAATAAAAATCATACCAAGTATACTCTTGGACTACAGTGCAACAAAAAGAGATATCAATATTAAGATCTCTCAAAACTACACAAATACATGGAACTTAAACAATTTATTCCTGGATAACTCCTGGGTCAATAATGAAATTAAGGCCGAAATAAAAAAAAATTCTTAAAAATTAATAAAAATTCATTCATTAATTAATAAAATTAATTTCATTAATGAAAATGAAAATAGAATCACGACTTACAAAATCTTAGGGATGCAGCTAAAACTGTTAAAAGGAAAACTTACAGAACTAAAAGCCTTCATTAAGAGAATCAAATTAACAATTTAATTTGTTAATGTGTTAATTTAAATCAAATTAACAATTTAACATTGTACCCAGAGGAACTAGAAGTAAAAGAACAAACCAGCCCCAAAATTTGCAGAAGAAAAGAAATAATTAAAATTAGAGAAGAACTGAATAAAACTGAGATGCAAAAATCCATACCAAAGATCAATGAAATCAAGAATTGGTTCTTTAAAACAATAAACAAAATTGATAGGCTGCTAGCTAGATTAACAAAGGAAAAAAAGAGACAATCCAAATAAGTACAATCAGAAATGACAAAGATGACATTACAACTGACCCCACAGAAATACAAAAGATCTTTAGAGACTACTACGAACAACTATTCACACACATTAGAAAATCTAGAGGAAATGGATAAATCCCTCGAAACACACAACCTCCCAAGATTGAACCAGGAAGAAAGTGAAAACCTGAACAGACCAATAATAAATTCTGAAATTAATAACTAATAAAAAACTGACCAACCAAAAATGCCCTGGACTACATGAATTCAAGTCATATTCTATCAGACATACAAAGAACTGGTACCAATCCTACAGAAATTATTCCAAAAAAATCGAGGGGGACTCCTCCCTAACTCATTCTATGAAGCCAGCATCAGCCTGATACCAAAATCTGGCAGAGACACAACAAAACAAAGAAAACTTCAGTCCAATATCCTTGATGAACACAGATGCAAAAATCCTCAAGAAACTAGCAAACCAAATATAGCAGCATATCAAAAAGTTAATATACCATGATCAAGTACAACCTTGGGATACAAGGATGATTCAACATATGCAAATCTGTAAATGTGATTCACCACAAAAGCAGAACTAAAAACAAAAACGATATGATCACCTCAACAGACACACAAAAAGCTTTTGATAAAATCCAACATCCCTTCATGATAAAAACCCTCAACAGACTAGGCACTGAAGGAACATACCTCAAAATAATAAGAGCCATCTATGAAAATACACAGCCAACATCATGCTGAACAAGCAAAAGCTAGAACCATTCTCCCTGATAACCGGAAAAAGACAAGAATGCCCACTCTCACCACTCCTATTCAACATAGTACTGGAAGTCCTAGCCAGAGCAATCAGGCAAGAGAAAGAAAGAAAAGGCATCCAAACAGGAAAAGAAGAAGTCAAACTATCTCTCTTTGCTGATGATATGATTCTATACCCGGAAAACCCTAAAGACTCTGCCAAAAGGCTCCTAGAACTGATAAATGACTTCAGCAAAGTTTCAGAATAATTTAAAAAAAAAGTGTACAAAAGTCAGTAGAATTTCTATACACCAATAACGTTCAAGCTGAGAGTCAAATCAAGAACACAATCCCATTTACAATAGCCACAAAAAAAATTAAATACATAGCTATATGGCTAACCAAGGAGGTGAAAGATCTCTATAAGGAGAACTATGAAACACTGCTGAAAGAAATCACAGATAACACAAACAAATGCAAAAACATTCCATGCTTAGGAACTGGAAGAATCAGTATCATTAAAATGGCCGTACTGCCCAGGGCTACCCACAGATTCAACGCTATCCCTATCAAACTACCAACGTCATTTTTCACAGAATTAGAAAAAAACTATTCTAAAATTCACATGGAACCAAAGAAGAACCCAAATAGACAAAGCAACCCTAAGCAAAAAGAACAAAGCCAGAAGTATAACAGTACCCAACTTTGAACTATGGGCTATAGTAACCAAAACAATATGGTACTGGTACAAGAAGAGACACAGATCAATGGAACAGAACAGAGAACTCAGAAATAAAGCTGTACATCTACAGCCATCTGATCTTTGACAATGCTGACAAAAACAAGCAAAGGGGAAAGGACTCCTTCTTCAATAAATGGTGCTAGGATAACTGGCTAGCAATGTGCAGAAGAAAATGGATCCTACCTTTCACCATATACAAAAATTAACTCAAGATGAATTAAAGATTTAATAGTAAGACCTCAAACTATAATAATCCTAGAAGAAAACCAAGAAAATACCCTTCTCGACATCGGCCTTGGCAAATAATTTTTGGTTAAATCCCCAAAAGCAATTGCAACAAAAACACAAACGGACAAGTAGAACCTCATTAAACTAAAGAGCTTCTGCACAGTAAAATAAACTATCGGGTCGGGCACGGTGGCTCACACCTGTAATCCAAGCACTTTGGGAGGCCGAGGGGGGCAGATCATAAGGTCAGGAGTTTGAGACCAGTCTGGCCAACATGGTGAAACCCTGTCTGTACTAAAGATTCAAAACATGAGCCAGGCGTGGTGGCGGGCACCTGTAATCCCAGCTACTCGGGAGGCTGAGGCAGGAGAATCGCTTGAACCCGGGAGGCAGAGGTTGCAGTGAGCCGAGATCGCACTGTTGCACCCCAACCCAGGCAACAAGAGCGAAACTCCATCTCACAAAAAAAAAAAAAAAAAAAGAAAAGAAAAGAAACCACCAACAGAGTAAACAAAACGCCTACAGAATGGGAGAAAATATTCACAAAATATGCACCCAACAAAGGTCTGATGTCAAGAATCTATAAGGAATGTAAATAAATCAGTAAGGAAAAATCAAATAACTTCATCAGAAAATGGGCAAAGGACATGAACAGGCATATTACAAAGAAGACATATAAAGCAGCCAAGAAACAAGAAAAAGTGCTTATCATCACTAATCATCAGAGAAATGTAAATCAAAACCACAATGATACCATTTCACACCAGTCAGAATGGCTATTACTAAAAAGCCAAAACACAACGGATGCTAGTGAGGTTGTCAAGAAAAGGGAATGCTTATACAGTGTTGGAAAGTAAATTAGTTCAGCCATTATAAGCCATTTGGAAATTTCTCAAAGAACTTAAAACAGAGCTACCATTCGACCCAGCAATCCCATTACTGGCTATATCATCAAAGGAAAAGAAATCATTCTACCAAAAGACACATGCACTCATGTTTACTGCAGCACTTACTTACAATAGCAAAGATATGGAATCAACTTAAGTTCCCACCAATATGGACTGGATAAAGAAAATGGTGGTACATATATAACACAGAACACTATGCAGCCATGAAAAAGAACAAAATTATGTTCTTTGCCGCTGGAGGCCACTATCCTAAGCAAATTCACACGGGAACAGAAAACCAAACACTACATGTCCTCACTTATCCTCACTTATAAGTGGGAGCTAAACTCTGAGTTCACATGGACATGAAGATGGGAGCAACAGACACTGGGAACTACTAGAGAGGGGAGGCTGACAGTAGGATGTGTGTTGGAAAACTGTCTGCTGCTCACTACCTGGGAGATAAGATCTGTACCAAACCTCAGCATCATGCAATTCCCATGTAACAAACCTGCACATGTACTCCCTGAACCTAAAAGATGAAGTTATTTATCAAAAAAAAAAGTTCAGCAACTAGCTAGCAGTCTCTATTTAAACTTTATAAAGTTAAAAATTAATTAAAATTTAACAATATTACTTATTTACCTCACTTGATTCAAAATCAACCCCTTTCGATACTTGGCTCTGGCACATGATTTTGCTGGATGATGTGCTGGACCACCTGAGGCAAAACAAAAACAAAAACGAACACAATGAACTACATGATTCATCAAGTGTGCCTTTCTGGCTAAGTTTTTCAGTCTAGCAGCTGCCATGAATATAAATAACACACAGTTCCCTTAAAATCTACATCAGAGGCAATAAAACTACAAGGAAAAGGACTCCGGGGCTGAGGTTTGAATTCTGGTTTTGCCCTTTACTACCTGTGTGGCTTTGAGCAAGTTACTTAACTTCTCTGTGCTTCAATTTCCTCATCTGTAAAATGGGGATAATAATTTTACAAAGACTAAATGTGTTAATATGCTTAAACACTTAGAACAGTGCCTGACACACATTAAGTACTACAACGATGCTTACTTACATTATTATAGTACTTATCATATACAAAAATGTATCCATTACCATCTTCCATTTCTGAAAACCATGGGAACATTGAAATATTTTCTACTCAAATCTCAGTTAATAAGAAAATCGTAATTCCTACTCTTTTTACTCCTTTTTTTTTTTTTTTTTTTTTTTTTGAGACAGAGTCTTGCTCTGTCTCCAGGCTGGAGTGCAGTGGCATGATCTCAGCTCACTGCAAGCTCCACCTCCCGGTTCAAGTGATTCTTCTCCAACAGCCTCCTGAGTATGCCACCAGGCCCAGCTAATTTTTGTATTTTTAGTAGAGACGGGGTTTCACCATGTTGGCAAGGATGGTCTCTATCTCTTGACCTCGTGATCCGCCCACCTCAGCCTCCCAAAGTGCTAGGATTACAGGCGTGAGCCACCACGCCCAGCTGATTCCTACTCTTATAAAGCTTAACTTGCAGTAAATTCCTATGCCTTTTAACTAATAAGAAATTTAAGTCATTTTAGATCGGGGCTAGTAAGCAAATTTAGCCCAGCACCATGTTTTTTTTTTTTTATGGCCTATAAGCTAAGAATGGTTTTCACATTTTGAAATGGTTACATCTTAAATGGTTATACAAGTGTCTACCTATATAATATCCCTGGTTTTGCCTCTTGACCTGCCAAGCCTAAAATAATTCCTATCTGGCCCGTTAAGAAAAAGTCTGCTGATTCCTGTCTTCAATAAAAGCAGTGTTTATAAATTCTTAGTCTACAATTTTATTAACATGCTTTGGGATGTCATTATAGCAAAAGAAATATGTCCAAAGGTCTTATCTGCATAAAAGAATGAGAATCATGAGATCTTATGTCAGAAGTAAATAGAAAAATTCGCAGGTCCTTTAAAAGGAAAGGACAGAAGGATTTATCAGGCAAACTTGAAGAGTAACTAAGGTTCAGAGGTAGCAGATCAGCACATTTATCAAGGTCCACTCTAGTAGATGGCAGAGCTTAAATAGTTTAAATTATAAATAAAACACCATGCATAACCTGCAATTACTAAAAAATTCTGCAAAACAGTCTAAATTATCATTTTGATGCTGTAATTAGAAACACCAATCTGCCAAAGCTGATTTCTGATGTGTTTCCAAAATGTCAATTTTGGAAATTGCCTCTAAAATTTTAAACAGCCTCTCAAAACTTAAATGATTCTTATTGCTTGCACAATAGTCAGAGAAGTTAGTTACCATACCAAGCAGCAACAACAGAGATGAGTTTGGGGTCAGAATGCCTTGCTTGTATGACTAGTTGGGTGACCTTAGGTAAGTTACTTAGCCACTGTGCTTCATACTTCATCTGCAAAATGGGGATGATAAAGTTATAACTATACTCTATCTCCTGGGGAAGCTGTGAGCACCACACAAGCTAACTCACATGTAAAATGCTCAGAGCAGTGTCTGGCACATAGGAAGTGCCAAACAACGGTGAGTTATATTACTATTTCATGTCTAAAGAAGTCGGCAGACATTTATACAGCTAAAGAGTAAACAATCTACTGTGATAACAAAAGCAAACTATTTTTTCTTTAATATCCTTAAGCATATATCAAAAATATCAAAATAGTATTTTGACCCATTTCTGGGGGAAAAAAAAAAAAAAAACTTAGAAAGCTAGATCTGATTTGTGTGTGCTTCAATTTACAAAGACAACAACAACCAAACAAGGACTTCCTTCCAAAACCTGAGGTATCCTGATAATCTTCCGATACATCTCCTTTTCTGTAAGAGAATGTGAGTTAGGTTTCTATCAGCTGGAACCAAAGGAGTCCTGAGAAATTCAAGTGAACCTTCATGAGCTAAAATAAGTCCCTCCACTACTTACCATAAACATAGAAACTGACTTGCATCTGTGCCCATCTTGGTATTTTTTACTCCTATAAAGGCCAGTATGGCCTTCTGCAACTTTATCCTCTCCTGGACTTTTCTCATGTCTTTATTGTTTTTTTCTACTCTACCCAAAGGTTGGGTAAGGTTAAAACTGCAGGCTAGGAAAACAAACCCTCTTCTGCTCTGCCTTCTTTTTTGAGGTGATCCTATCCATCCCCACAGTTTTAAGTACCATCTGCATGCTGTCCAGAGGTAAATCTAAGTATCATTTCAAACCCCTCATCTGAGTTCTGAATTCACACATTCAGTTGCCTATAACCTCCCTTCATGTAAGTTTCTAGGCATCTCAAACTTTTCATATCTACAGTGGAACTTTTAATTATATGCCTATCATTCCCTACAACACATCTGTTCTTTCTTCTTTTATGCCCTTCTCAATATATGGCACAATGTGAATGCTCAAGCAAGAAACCAGAAAATCAATCTTGATTTCTTATTTTCCCTCATTCCAAATATTTAATCCATACTCAAGTTTTGTCATGTCTATCTTCAAAATATATCCTGAAACCATCTGATTTCTCCATTTCACCTACCACTAGCCTGTGCAAGCCTCCATCATCTCTCTTAGCTCAAACTCCCTGCAGCACCCTCCTTTCAGCTAAGTTTATTTACACTTGTTCTGCAACCACAGTGATCCTTTGTAAATGTAAATCAGAAGGTGCCACTCCTCTCTTAAAATCCTTCTGTGGATTCCCACTGCATTTATAAGGACATTCAAAACCTTTGTAGTGCTCACCTGCTCCTGCAGTATGATTTACCCTGCCTCTCTTTTCTATTCTCATCTCAAACCACCTCCTTTTCCACCACACTTGAGTCACTGGCTCCTAAATAACATTATTAAACCTGCTTCTTCAATAGACTGTGATATGGTTTGGCTGTGTCCCTACCCAAATCTCATCTTGAAGTGTAGATCCCATAATTCCTAAGTATTCTGGGAGGGACCTGGTGGGAGATAATTGAATCACAGGGGCAGCTCCCCCATACTATTCTCATGGTAGTGAATAAGTCTCACAAGATCTGATGGTTTTATAAGGGGAAATCTTTTTCACTTGGCTCTTTTTCTCTTGTCTGCCGCCATGTGAGACATGTCTTTCACCTTCTGCCATGATTGTGAAGCCTCCCCAGCTACGTAGAAATGTGAGTCCATTAAACCTCTTTGATTTGTAATTGCCCAGTCTCAGGTATGTCTTTATCAGCAGCAAGAAAATGGACTAATACAGGCTGCATGCACTTGTCCCTCTGCTTTACGCAAGGCCACGTTTCCCTTATTAAAATTTCGGCTTAAATGTAGCCTCCTCAGAGGCTTTCCCTGACCATCCTTCAAAGTAGATGCCTGTGTCCTGTGCCACTGTTTCTTCTCTCTACACCAGATCATTTCCTTTAATGCATGCTAACTGATCGGCTGATCACCAGCTCAGATGTCACCTATCTTCTTTGTAAAACCTTCAGTGACCTTTCCCAGGAAGATATTGGCACATCCCTTAGATTTCGTTACACCTGAATAAAACATTTATCTTGGTGGATTAGCAGTGCCCTGTAATTAGCATACCACTAAAGTGTAAATTCTCTGAAGGAAGAAACATTTCTTTTATCTTTCTATCCCCAGAACCTAGCATGATGTTTAAAGGACCTAATAAGCGAACATGGAACTATACTTACACTTCTTCTAACATTAACCTTTAAGTCACATAGAGTTTATATTCTCAGTGGGGTCAATATCACAAAAAACAAAAATTGGCTCCAGGGGATAGAGTGGGATGAAAAATCGTAGCTATTACAATAGTTTTTGGCCCTCTGAAACTCAACCCTACCCCCAAAAATTTCATTCTTTAAGTATTTAATTTCTAATGTTAGGGAGAAATTGAATTACATCTAAGTTACTTAATTCTTCTCCTTGGATAATCAAGAAATGGCTGAGATCATGAAAAAAAAGCTTGAGAAACACTAATATAAGGTTTTTCCTCAATCACCCTTCTTTCTGGAGTTCCTGTTCATGCCCTTACTCTCAGCTGGGACCACCATTCTCCACCCTACTAAACCAAATCTTATCTTTGAAACCTCAGGTCAGTTTTACTCCCTCCATGAAGCTGCTTCTTCTAGCCCACATTCCTTGTTCCTTTTTTCACCAGCCCACAAGCACTCACGCTTATGGGTCTGTAATATAAAATTCTACACCTAATTATGTACTAAATCATTCTTTGATGAATTCAAATATGTTCATTTCTCTTTTCCACTACAACTGAAGTTACCTGAAGACAGAGGCCATATTAAAGCATTTGCTATGCCCCTCTCTCATCAGACCTAATATAATGCTCAAACAGAAAATAAGTACAAAATAAGGCAGTTGATTACTTTATTAAGTAGAAACTCTCATTAATCGAGCTTTGCAGTATTCAACTAAAATGTTAATGTATAAAAGCAAATGGTAATAGTGAATCAAGTCAAGCTTAACAGCAATAGGCCAAAAATCCCACAACACACAGGAAGAGCATGCAAGTCCTCTGAAGACAGAGTGACTCTGTGTGATCCCCTTTTTGGTGTTTAGTACAGCACCATGTGTAGTTAAGAATATAAAAATAAGACAATGACAAAAAGCTGAAATCAAATGTTAGCAAAATACAAAATTATTTTCTGTTATTTGGAAAGAACATAGTCTTCCATTAAGAAAAGCACTAAGGCCAAGCGCGGTGGCTCATGTCTGTAATCCAAGCACTTTGGGAGGTCGAGGTGGATGGATTGCCTGAGCTCCAGAGTTCCAGACCAGCCTGGGCAACAATGCAAAATCCTGTGTCTACCAAAAATACAAAAAATTAGCCGGGTGTGGTGGTGCACATCTGTAATCCCAACTATTCAGGTGGCTGAGGTGGGAGAATTGCTTGAGCCCAGGAGGTGGAGGTTGCAGTGAGCCAAGATCGCATTACTGCACTCCAGTCTAGGTGACAGAGTGAGGCACTGTCTCAAAAAATAAATAAATAAATAAATAAAAAGAAAAGCACTAATAAAGTCAAAAGGAAAAAACATTACAGGCTATTTCAATTTTCACTGAAAATCCTTTTACTAATGCTGCATCAACTCTATAAACTAGCCCTTGGTCTGTTTTCATTCCTCTATATACTTTACTAGTTGAAAGTAAGTCTGTTAAACTTATATGGCATAGAAAAATGTGTAACTATGGAATTTTGGATAATTTAAAAATTTTTTTCAGATGTTTCTTTTTGCAGAATATCACTGCACCTACCTTTGATCTGTCTTTGAAGTGGTAGGAAAAATGTCTTCTTCCTCATCTGATTCATCTACCTCAATCACCTGGCAAGGAAACAAAGCAACAAATGGTTTTTGTGAGAATTGACTCTCTGAATAAACATGAAAATGAAGAAATGAATTAAACGATTAAATCTTAGTTATATACGAGCCACAAAAAAGGAGACAGAAAGCTATAACCATTAAAACTAACACTCAGTCTGACCTCCCTCCAATGTCCCTCTTCATTCACAAATGTTACTTTTTGCTCACCTCTCTCCTGGTCATCCCAGGAACCTGAGCACCTAAGGAAACCCAGTTACATTGGTGAATGACTTGCATAGGCTCGTATGCAGACCCTGTGACTTTCCTCTTGGTTTCTTATGAGAGGTGAGACCATCAGTGTTCCATCTCCAGCTTTAAATGAGGTATCAGACCATGTGGGAAATACTAGGTATCTTTCTGTTAAATCTGTCCCTCTTAAATACCATTTGTTAATGTTAAGACTCAATAAAGATATTTCTGACTGTTGATTCTATCATCCAAAATACTATTTCTCTACATTTTCTGTCATCTTGACATTTGATACACACATTTGCCATATGTTCATCTAACTTAAGTACAGATGAGGATGAAGCCGAAGACCAAATACTGAACGAACAGCCCCTGAGACTAAGGATGCAGTTAAATATCCTACAATGCACAGGACAATCCCTCACAACAAATTATCTGGTCCTCAATGTCAACGGTGCCATTATGGAGAAACCCTGATGTAGAGGGAAGAGTATTGGCTCAGGAGTTAAGATACAGTTTTGAAAGTGAAGTAATAGGAGAGTCAAGCCCATATTGGACTCTTCTTGGAATCCAAAGGAAGAGCAGAAGGCCCAGGCTAAACCTAGGGCAAACCACATGGATCACTGGACTCCAGCCTTTTCATTCATCTTAAGTCTACCATCAGCTGTTAAGGCACAGCTAGTATTTTGGGAAGGTAAGTAACAAAAGGAAACCCGGTATAGATAAAACCTCTATATCCATTGAACTCACCTTCAATATTAGTATTCCATGCATGAGCTCTTTTGGTTCAACACTGTTATCCTTGAAAACATTACTGTATACATAACATTTATGGATTTCTATAATAACCATTATTTAAACAAAGAGAGCAACCAAGAAAAAAAAAATCAAATCCTAGAAGCCCTAGAGATAACTGGTAAAGCTCCTTCCAGCTTTAATGTTCCATAATTGTTCTTCTTTTATTTACTTTGTAAATCAGAGAGTTGACAATTTATAATGCAGAAAACATAAATTATTAATACACAACTATAAAACTTTTTTTCTTACCTCTGAATAATTCTTAGTAGTGACATTTCGGGAAGGCTGCTGTCTTGTAGATTTAAAGGCTAGAATGAAAAAGATGAAATGTGCATTATGTTATTCTTAAAATAATTTAGAAAAACTTGTATACTTCTTTAGCTAAAGACTTTCTGAGTCCTATCTGCAAAACTGCATGCTGCCTAATTATAAAACTATTTGATATTTTTTAAAATCTAAAGGGAGATAGAATTATAGGTACACATAACTCAAGGCTCAACTGTCAGTCTCATTATTTCCCAGCTTATTTGAATACTGTTGTGTTTATAAATACGCACACACTAAAAATATTTCATAGAAAAATACCTGAAGGATAAAATCTAATCACCTAACCAAATGAACTACAGATGTATTGAAGGAAAGCCTCCGAATCCCTTCTTTGTTGTTGATGACACCTTTATCCCTGTTGCTACATTAGGAGCCATCGGGTTCCAGTAGTTTCTCATTTTCCTCTACCTTAGTAGCCATATTCAATATCCAAGAAATATTCCAGAGGAGAATTTTAGAAAAAAGCATATATTTTATTCTATGATAAAAATTCCTTTGTATCCACACCTCTTTTCCTTTTAAACTTGGTTAGATCCTTGAAGTTTAGCTAGCTCTTTATCTTTCCCTTTCTTTTTCCTTGACATCAAAACCTACAATAAAGCCAGGCACAGTGGCTCACACCTGTAATCCCAGCGCTTTGGGAGGCCGAGGCGGGTGGATCACTTGAGGTCAGGAGTTCAAGACCAGGTTGGCCAACATGGTGAAACCCCAACTCTACTAAAAATATATACAAAAATTAGCCAGGCATGGTGGCAGGTGCCTGTAATCCCAGTTACTCGGGAGGCTGAGCCAGGAGAATCGCTTGAACCCAGGGGGCAGAGGTTGCAGTGAGCCGAGATTGTGCCACTGTGCTCCAGCCTGGGCAACAGAGCAAAACTCTGTCTCAACAAAACAAAACAAAACAAAAACCTATAATAAATTTCAAACATCTAATTTAGGTTTATTTTCTCCTACGCCTTACCAGTTTGCTGATATTAAAAATATCTTCCCCAAGATGACTCATAAACTAAATAGGGCACAGAAAAACAAAGAAATACTCAAAAAATCCTGCAAAGTCCAAAATTCTCCTAGTCACAAAACTAATGAATCTTTCTATCTAACCTAAATTTATTGTGTTTGTACATGTTTCCTATTCTAGGTTCTATCTCCAAACTTGTAATATCTAAGAGGAGAAATGAGAGGCAGAAACAATATTCTTATCTGCTTTACTCAGTTACTGGTTTCACATCCTACTCTACTCAAAAGGCTAGACACAGCGACTGAATAAAAAGGCCAGAGATCATGATGATTTCAAAGAATATTTCTGTTCAATATTTATTCAGTGACTCCTCTAACTCTGAGATCCTAGAAAACAAGATACGTTTCTTTTTATCCCAGTGGAAGGCAAAAGATGAGTGAATGTTTGTGAAATAATTTTATCAGAAAACTAAGCACTATGTTCTGTTAGGAAGACAATACGGTGTGATGGTTAAAAGCTCTGGTTTTGGAGTTAGACTCATTTTGACTTACTAGCTTGACTATGGCCAATCTCCTTGGCTTCTTTAAGACTCAATTTCCTCACCTGTAAAACAATGTTAATACTTCATGCAGAAAACTGTTGAGAGGGTAAGAAGTGTCTAGCAGATAGAAAGCATTCAAATACATGTAGCTATTTGTGGTAGCAAACATAGTAGCAGCAGTGGTACCCACAGTGGCATAAGTGAAATGTAAAGGCAGTGGCTTCAGAGGTACTTTCATTCACTTAGTCACTATCCTCTGCTGACTAACTTCAATGGAAAAATCTGGGCTGTCAACTCTTATTTACAACTCCTGTGGCTGTAAGTGTAATTTCTATCTTTTCCAATAAAATTGCAGCACATAAATTTCCGTACTCCATGGACCTTGTTATAAGAGAATTTGACCTTTATTTATCTCTTCACTCCTTCATTTAAAACAGGGATCTAGAAGTTACAGTCTGAATTTGTTGCTTCTGTTCCAAAGTGATGACAAGTATAGTTACTACTCCACAGGTATTCTGTCAGAGGCTTAAAAAAAAAAAAAAAAAAACACCAAATCCAACCTGATAAAAATGTTTTACAAATTTATACTTTAAAAATCAGTTCATTTTTCAAAAAAAAGCCCAGTACTGAAGGCAATCAGTTAAGTTAGCAAAACCATTATATCAAATCAATTAGATAAAAGACAAATTTAGACCAATGATTCACATCATTCATCATTATAACCTTATTGCAAAACACTACCACTAATACTAATAGCAGCTATCATCTATCACATTTTTACCAGGTGCTGTGATCAGTACTGTAAACACTTAAGCTCATTTAATATAATTACTCTGAAGTCAGTATAACATTGTCAATTTTATAGCTAACGGATCTGATGCTTGTAGAATAACACCAGTTTGCACTTACTGAGGGCTTAATATGCATAGACACTGCCTGGTACTTCACATACATGTTCTCATTAATCCTCAGAATAATGCAATGAGGAAGACACAATCATTGTCCCATCCTACAGATGAGAACACTCACTCCTAAAGATGAAAAACTTAACGTATTTGCTGGAGGACACACAACTAGTAAAATTGAGAAGTCAGGATCCAAAACAAGATCTTCCTGACTTTAGAACCATGGTTTTAACCCTTATGCTACACAATCTCTAAGTAATTTTTACTGGGTCATTGTCAAGCATTTAACAAGCATCTACCATGTTATGTGCCAAGCATAGTGGATACAGTGATGAGCAGGAACGATGCAGACCCCTTTCTCACAGCACTTACAGTGCAAGGGTGCTGAGCCAGCAGTAAAGAGCTGGCTATGGCTGACCCAAGGGGCCTGATTTCAGAGCCTGCATTCTTAACCATCATGCTCTGCTGCAAAAGGTACCATAATAAGATTTTTGCCTACAACATAATTCAGGAAATCTGACGTTTCGTATTTAGTTTATTTACATAGCCTCTTTTCATGGATGAATACTGTTTCCTTAAAAAAATTAGTCAAGCCAATCTGTAAAACTTTTAGGGCACCATAACTGGTCTCCAGCCTCTCTACACAAATAGAAGCTTTATTCTATGTTGTCAATGGGTAACAGTCATTGCAGGCTAGGCTATTCAGACAACATGATCTCTCATTGTCTTCAAACTCACTTCTGCTGACAACAATCCAAATTAGTACCTTAAACATTAAAAAAAAAAAAAAAATTCTCAATGGCATTGAAGAGCTGATCACATAGCAAGGAATTACCAGGCCAAAACTGAAGAAAAGCTAGAACTCAGAGAGGTACATTAAGTCCTTTCCCTGAGTTCCCTTTTCAATTGGGAAAATGTTAACACTGGTTTTGAGAATCCTGAAGAAAAAGAGAGAGGGCTACCATATCCCACAGCCTGCCCAAAGTGAAAACCCTGATGCATTTCCCTTCCTAAGGTGGAGCCCCAATGGTTAAAGAGAGAAGCAGAGGTAAACAGGATTTCATAAGCATGTAACTGAATACCCCATTTTTCTAAGAGATAGTTCAATTATTTTTTTCTCTCTCTTCTTTTCTCTTTTCTCCTTTCCCCCACTTTCTACTTAGTTCTTTAGAAATGCAATTATAGTCTATTACTTCCTCTTCATCAGACACTCCCTAAAGGGGCAGTTCATCTAATTATGTGCTTGGAAGCTCCAGAGTGAAACTGTCACCCACCAGGGGGCTGCCTCTAGAGATACCAGTCAATTTACAACCCAAAGTCCTGGTATGAAACTCTCTCCAACCTAAAGAGTTTTCAGCCACCTTTATAGCCTATTTCTTCCCATGAAGATGCCAATTCAACTGCCTGGTAGATAAAACTAACACGCAGACCCCCTACTTGCTCGCTTCCTCCCCTGCATGCCCTTCCTGATAGGTCCCCTTTAAAAGCCTCCACTTTCTGCCGCAAAGGGGGAAGCAGTACCCTTAAGGTAGGAAGCCTGTATTTCTTCCCCTAAATTAGCTTTGGAATAAAAAGTCACTTTCTTTATACCACACCTTGCTCTTGTTAATTGGACTTTGCAAGCAGCAAGTGACTGAACCTGCATTTTAGTTACAAGCGTGTATCACCTGATTGGTCCAAGAAACCCTCAAATTTAGCTTAAAGTGGTCTAAGACCTGTGGTGCCCTACAAACCTAGAGAAACAAACATGAATCTTCTCTGGATGAAGATGGCTTCATCCAAGGTCTCAAATTATTCCTGCTGATAATTTTCTAGGGACAGTAAATAACAAAGCATGAAAGGAAATAAGTCACCATAAACGAGAACCAACAGAAACAGACAACAGAAAGAGGCCAAAGACATTCAGACACTAGGTTATTAGATACAAAATAACAAAAACAATCCTTACTGTGTACACATGAAAAATTAAAAACAGGCCTAAAAATATCTTCAGAAAACTTCTAAAAAGTATTAAAAGTGACAAAGCATATTTTAATTAAAGCTAACATGACATCATGACATGAAGCCAGCTGACAATGATGTATAGAACTTTTAGATTTATTTTTTCTTTTTTTTTTTGAGACGGAGTCTCACTCTGTAGTCCAGGCTGGAGTGCAGTGGCACGATCTCAGCTCATTGCAAGATCTGCCTCCCAGGTTCATGCCATTCTCCTGCCTCAGCCTCCCGAGTAGCTGGGACTATAGGCACTCACCACCACACCCGGCTAATTTTGTTTTTGTATTTTTAGTAGAGATAAGGTTTCACTGTGTTAGACAGGATGGTCTTGATCTTCTGACCTCGTGATCTGCCTGCCTCAGGCTCCCAAAGTGCTGGGATTACAGGCGTGAGCCATGTACCCAGCGGTGACAGAGCATATTTTAAAAGAACCAAATAGGCTGGGTGCACATCTGTAATCCCAGCAACTCAGCAGGCTAAGGCAGGAAAATTGTTTGAACCCAGGAGGCAGAGGATGCAGTGAGCCAAGATGATGCCACTGCACTCCAGCCTAGGCGACAGAGAGAGACTCTGTCTCAAAAAAAAAAAAAAAAAAAGTGATCAGAAATAATTACTCAGAATGTAGCACAGAAAGAGAAAACAGAAAATACAAGTCATGCGAGGACAGAATAAAAAGGTCTTATATTTAACTGACGACTCAGAAGGAAGGAGAATAAGAATAGCATAGAGGTAATACCTGAAGGGATAATGGCTAAGGATTTTTTAGAAGTGATGGAAGATACCAGTTCAGAGATTCATGAAGCCCAGTAAATCCTAAGCAGGATAAACAAGAACACTGTCTTTAGATTGATCACAGTGATACTGCCGAACACCAAAAACAGCAAGCGGAGGGAAAAACATTTTTTTTAAAAAAAAAACAAAAACCAACAAGCTTAACTAATAACTGATTTCTTAATTACAATGGAAACTCAAAGACTCACTTTAAGTGATGAAGTCTACCCACTGAAGTCAAGGAAAACGTCACATAAAACAAGCCAGGACACTGGATTCCACAGGGCAGAAAAAACAAAAACAAAAACAAGACAGGACAAAAAAAGGCGATTTGGGCTAAGGTAAAGGTGGATAATCCACATCTATGACTGTCGATTGCATGCTAACCAATTTTGGTGGTTTAACATGGAAGTGTTCATTATTTTATTCACTCTTTTTCTATGTTCCTGTTTCCTCATTTTTAATACTAATAACACTTGATGAATGCCTACTACATGCCAGGCTTTTTGATCATTTAATCTTCAGAATAACCCAATACAATAGAGGTTATTATTCCCAATCATATCTAAACAAACTAGGAGAGTGACTGAGTTGTCTCAAGTCACAAAGCTGTCATTTGCTGAATGCAAGGTTGAACTCAGCATGAATCCTTTACAATTTTCCAGGCTGCCTTTTCTTTCTTTCTTTTTTCCTCTCTGCTTTTATATTAAACCTACCAAGAATGGAACAGCATCTTTCCAGACACAATTTCCTAAATGGCAATAAAGACAACATGCTTGTGAAGCAAAAAACTAAGGATCTTAGCTGGCTCTTCTGAAGTACTAAATAATACTGGGTAAAAATATAGCAATGGAATTTTTTGGTAAGGTTTGAGTCATTTAATCAACCTGATTTTATATCTTTCCTTCAATATCAGCTGTCATTTGATAAATGTTGAAAATTCCTTTAATGGAGTGATACTTACTTCCAAGGCAAATTAGTCCATCTTTACATTAATTATATAGGTTATTATGTATAATGCAAAAATTCCTCTATGGAGAACCAGTAGCTAGGTCTCTAATCTTATCTTGTTCTGGAAATTAGTACAGTGGTCAGCTATTGGTTGTGGAGTCCAGAGAATGTGAGATCATTCTCAGATCTGGTACTGACAAGTTATGAGATCTAGGGTAAGCTACCCATCTTTGTAAAGCCTCAGTTTCCTTTTCTGTAAATAAATAATATAGTAAGTACCTGCTCCATAGACCTGTTAAGAGGCATGCAGTTTCATAAATATTAGCCATTATTGCTACTATTAGTGGTTTTATCAACTCAGGGCAAAACTGCTTGGCTTAGTTCCCCCACACATAAAACAGGGGAACACAGTTGTTCTTAAATCTTCTAGGTCCATTCTATGAGAAACTTAAATCAGTATGTGTCTAGCTATACCCATCCATCCCCATTGGGCCAGAAGTTCTTAAGCTGGAGAACACAATGCGCTTCATGGGAGTGGCTGAACCCTTTGAAATTGGGTGCAACTGCATGTGAGTACTTATTTAAGGAGAGAAGACATAGCTTTCATCAGATTTTTAGAGAATCCATAAGCCAAAATAGATTAAAAAGCATTGCCTTTGGGACTAAAATCAAATCTAATTCATTCCACATTTTATATGATAGAACATTATCTACATAAAGATCTGAATCTTTCTCAGGTTAGATATCCTAAGTTTCTTCAACCTCTTTTTTTTTTTTTTTGAGATGCTCTGTCACCCAGTGCAGTAGCATGATCTCAGTTCACTGCAACCTTCGCCTCCCTGGTTCAAGTATTCTCCTGCCTCAGCTTCCCTAGTAGCTGGGACCACAGGTACATGCTGCCATGCCCGGATAATTTTTTGTATTTTTAGTAGGGGACAGGGTTTTACCTTGTTGCCCAGGCTGGTTTCGGACTCCTGAGCTCAGGCAATCCACCCGCCTCAGCCTCCCAAAGTGGTAGGATTACAGGCACGAGCCACTGCGCCTGGCCAACCATTTTTTATATTATTTGGTATCTCTTCTGAATGATCATATATAGTTGACAGTCTCTTTGAAATATAATTCCAAAGAGGAGTACAGTATTCTTGGCAAGTTATGTCCAATTTAGTACATAGGGAGAATTCCTTGCTGTGCAAGCTTGTCCAACCCACCTCATTTTGTTGTTTTTGTTCCATTTTCTTTTGTTTTAGGCTTTTAGCAGCCTGAAGCCATGGTTTTTAGTTTCTGTCGCTAGTGATACGAGGAAAAGAGGGATGAGAAAAGGGCTTTACTGGCCCAACCAGAAAGAGAAACTAAGAACCCATGACTGTATTCTCTCCCTTGGACACCCCTGCAAGACTCATTAAATACTGTTTAAGACATCAATAGATTTGGACAGTTGGGTCTGCCTGCATAACTCTTACTGACCTAAGTCTTTTTCACCTGGGTTGCTGTTAAACTCATATACCTCTCACAGCTCTATCTGTGCAGCTGTCTTTTTGGACATAAATGCGGTTTATGCTGCCCTTGAGAAACTTCATCTTCTGAGAATTAGTTCAGCTCCCCAGTTTGTCAACAATTAATCCTAGCTATAAGATTATAAACATTATAATATTTAATAAATTAATATTTATAAATGTTATAAAAGTGAAACAACCTCAAATAACTAATATAAATAATATACATATGAATATATTCTAAACGCTAGGTAGAAAAAAGTATCACCACCTATCTTAACGCATACTTTTTGTAAATATGACTAACATTTTAGGCTGATTTCATAATCTACAATATCAAAAACAGTTAAACAGATCCCCTTGAGGACAATTTTTAGACCATAGGATTATACAGAAATTAATTCCAAGGGCCTAGCCATAATTTCTCTTAAGTATAGGTCACATGACTTCTCTATATGGAAAGCAGAGACTGATAGGGCAGCATGGGGGAAGCAAGGAAACAGTAGAGACAGCTCCTCTCTCTTTCGACCACTGTCCATATAGCGACCAACTACTTCACTTTCCTCTTTCCAGGATCTCTCCACCAAACAGAAACAACATTTGTCTGAAAGTAAGAAATTATAAAACCTAATTTTTTTGTTGTTTTGTTTTGTCTTTTTTTTTTTTGAGAAGGAGTCTCACTTTGTCACCAGGCTGGAGTGCAGTGGCACAATCTTGGCTCACTGCAACCTCCACCTCCTGGGTTCAAGCGATTTTCCTGCCTCAGCTTCCTGAGTAGCTGGGACTACAGGCATGCACCACCATGCCCAGCTGATTTTTGTATTTTCAGTAGACAGGGTTTCACCATGTTGGCCAGGCTGGTCTCGATCTCCTGACCTTGTGATCTGCCTGCCTCGGCCTCCCAAAGTGTTGGGATTACAGGTGTGAGCCACCGTGCCTGGCCTATAAAACATAATTTTAAAAGCTTACCCTCTTCAGTAACTCTAATGCATAGCAAACATCTTTTAAAAAATAATTTATCCTGTGATCCTAATTGCCCTTTTAACTTTCCAATGATGGCAACACAAATAAGGGCTACTAATGGTGATTACCTTGGTCTTCCTAATGTTGGAATTTATAAATAATCACTTGCAGTCTATACTCACCATCTATAATAGACATATTTCTAGATGCTGACACAGCAGTCTTTGAGTTCCTGCTACGCGTAGAAGTCTCCAGACCAGTGTCTGCTGTTAGAAAAATAAACAGTCAACGTACAAGCCTATCAGCAGCTAAGGTTTATTTCATACAACAACAAAAAATGAAAGTTAAATAAGTCTATGTCAAATAGTTTGTCTGTAAAAAGCTAGACATATATATAAGAACAAACATCTAGCGTCTGACCAATTTTCAGAGACTATTCTTTTAGGCCACACTTTAGTTTATCTAATTTAATTTATCCAATTAAAATGTAAGGAAATAGGCCAGGCGTGGTAGCTCACGCCTGTAATCCTAGCATTTTGGGAGGCAGAGGCGGGAGGATCACTTGAGGTCAAGAGTTCAAGACTAGCCTGGCCAGCATGGTGAAACCCCATCTCTACTAAAAATACAAAAATTAACTGGGCGTGATGATGGGTCCCTGTAATCCCAGCTACCTGGGAGGCTGAGCCAGGGGAATTGCTTGAACCCGGGAGGCAGAAGTTGCAGTGAGCTGAAATCGCACCACTGCACTCCAGCCTGGGCAACAGAGCAAAGACAAGACTCCATCTCAAAAAAAATTAAAAAACAAAAATAAAAATTTTTAAGGAAAAATTTTGTAAATATGAGAATAGTGAAAATAATCATCAGTAAAAGATGAGGATTTCTCTCCCTGGAGATTTTAAACCAAATTAATATTCATTTCATCAGCTTAAAATTCCTATGGATGCATATTTAATAAAAAGAATTTTAAAAAATCTTTAGAGATGAATTGACATAATGTGTGAGAAAGTCACTGAATGACCAATTTCTACTGGCATGAACTATTTAATGACAATAGTCTCACAGTAAATACAATGATGACAATGTTAATGACTAGTTTTAGAAATCAAATTGGGGGCAGTTTTCCTTCTTAAATCGACTTTATTATAAAGACTACTTGGTAAGCATGTGGGTATTTGTATCTTATGACAGTAACAAACATAATAATTGTATGATCTGGAGTTTTCCTCCTGTTGCCAAAGGCTTTTAGCTAACTATTTTCTTTAACAACTCATATTTGCCTACTACTTTGTACATGTGAGAATACATATGACATTAAATGTACCCAAAAGGTACTATGTGACAAATACAATGAAGCTTTTATAAGGTATGTGCTAAGAACAATTAAAACCCTAAGTGCATATGGCCATTCAAAATTTATTTAAGTAAAAGACACGTGTCAGAACTGCCTGAAAGACCATCTTATATATTCTAAAAATAGATTTTTTGAAGAACCATGTTTTAGAAATAAAAACTTATAATTCAACTCTGACGAGATCTAATTCTGTATTTTCCACTCAACTGCCAAGTGTGAATATGCACAGGACTGAACTCAGCGCTCACCTCTTCCTCTTTGAGACCCTCCTCTTGATGCTGAATTCTGCCCTCTTCCGCCTCTTCGACCTCTTCCTCGGCCTCTTCCTTTGTTGGTTGCTGCTGAGATGCTATCATCAGAGTCATTAGCCATCTGTTCTGCTAAATCTATACTCATAAGGTCATCAGCACTAAAGGCAGAGGCAGACTCCTCTGACTGAGATCTGAGCGCTCTGGCCCTGGTCATAGCCTAACGGGGAGAAGAAGGAGAAAGCACACACAAGGAGATAATGTATCATCCTAAAAATCATTAATTTAGGCATTGACATGAAGTAATCATACTATAAGAACATAAAGGAGGCTGACAGTGGCTCACGCCTGTAATCTCAGCACTTTGGGAGGTCGAGGCGGGAGGATCGCTTGCACCCAAGCTTTCGAGACAAGCCTGGGCAACACGCAAAACCCTGTCTCTACAAAAAAAAAAAAAAAAAATTAGTCAGGCATGGTGGTGCACACCTGTAGTCCCAGCTACACAGGAGGCTGAGGCAGGAGGATCACTTGAGCCTAGGAGATAGAGGCTGTGTGAGCTATGATCACACCACTGCACTCCAGCTTGGGTGACAAAGAGAGACCCTGTCTCAAAAATAAAAATAAAAATAAAAAATACTTATATGTGTGTAAAGGAGAACATCCCCACCAATCAAATTTAATACTTATTATCCTGTCAGATCAATCCACCATACTACCCATGAGACCCTTTGAAAAGATTTACCAAGAAAAACAAAATTTCACAGAATCAAAATTTTCAGAACTAGAAGGAATACTGGCAATCATCCCTAATTCAATACCATATTTGACAGTAACAGACTGTTACTGAGCTACTTTGAGCTACTTTTTAGAATTGGCTCCTAGGAAATTTGAGCTACTTTTTAGAATTGGCTCCTAGGAAATAATAAGAAAAAAACTTACAAAAAATAGCTGTTATCTCTGGGCAGTAAAATTTTAGGGTGCTTTTGTTTTTTGTTCTTGAGTATTACATATTTTCTATATTACGCTTTTTCTAAAAAACTAGTTTTATAATCAGAAAAAACATGAGCAACAATCTCTCACAAATATATGGTAAAGAGAATTAAGGGCTGGGTGTGGCGGCTCACACCTTGTAATCCCAGCACTTTGGGAGGCCTAGGTGGGTGGATTGCTTGAGATCGGGAGTTAGGGACCAGCCTGGGCAACATGGCGAGACCCTGTCTCTACAAAAAATACAAAAACAAACAAACAAACAAAAAAATTAGCCAGGTATGAAGGCATGCGCCTGTAGTCCCAGCTACTTGAGAGGCTGAGGTGGGAGGATTGTGCAAGCCTGGGGGAAGCAGCGGGGAGGGGAGTTGTTGCAGTGAGCTGAGATTGCACCACTGCACTTCAGCCTAGGTGACAGAGTGAGATGTTGTCCAAAAAAAAAAAAAAAGAAAGAAACGGAAGAATTAAGGAGAATATATCAATTGAAAGCCTAAGAAGGAATAAACACCTTAGGACCAAGAACATGCCATGCATTCTTAATTTGGTAAGAATCCATTTAGAAAAGACAAGGTTGAGACTTAACCAAATATTCTAACTCTAAAATGAATAGAGACTTAAGATAGAATAGGGGGCCGCCGTGGCTTAAGCCTGTAATCCTAGCACTTTGGGAGGCCGAAGTGGGTGGATCATGAGTTCAAGGGATTGAGACCATCCTGGCCAACATGGTGAAACCCCGTCTCTACTAAAATTACAAAAATTAGCTAGGTGTGGTGGCACGTGCCCTATAATCCCAGCTACTTGGGAGGCTGAGGCAGGAGAATCGCCTGAACCCGGGAGGCAGAGGTTGCACTGAGCCGAGATGGCGCCACTGCACTCCAGCCTCGCAACAGAGCGAGACTGTCTCCAAAAAATAAAATAAAATATAAATAAAAGCAAATTTGCCTTGATCTTCCCTTAAACCAATCAAAAGGTAATAAGAGAATAAAAACAAAATACAATTTCCATAAAATGAGAAAACAGTTCCAACCCCCAAACACACAAACTCTTCTATAAAGAAGAGTTAATGAATATGACAAATATTTGACCTGGCTAAGGGAGAAAGGTGAGAAGAGTTTCAGGTATTGTAGAGCTCTCCAAAATTGATATATAAATCCCAAGAGGACATGACAGCAGTCCCTCATGCTTGGAATGGCAGTTCTGGGTCTAAGAATAGTTGACCAGAACATTGCTAAGCTCTGTGATACCATGAAGTAAGGAGACCCAGGGCTAAATGAGGAGATGTGAACAAGGCGGGCAGCGTAAAGTGGGAGTGAAGTGGCAACTTCATGACGAGATGATCTCAGTTGAGGTGAAATCACAGCTAACTCACTACATGCAGGGTTCAATATGGCATTACAAGCCAAAAGGAAAACACTTTAGGAAATACAACAAAAAATATAAGAAACAACAGTGATTTCAATTCATCTTTCCTGTCCCACATAAAATACAGTTAATCCTCATTATTCATTAATTCTATATTTGCAAATTCACTTACTTGCAAAAATTTATCTGTAACCCTAAAAATCAATACTCACGATACTTTTGGCATCATTTGTGGAGACGCACAGAGCAGTAAATATTTTGAATTGCTTGACACACACATTCCCAGCTGAGGCTGAACAATGAGCCACTCTGCCTTCTTGTTTCCACTTGTGTACTTTAAATAAGGGTTCTTTCTGTGACAGTCAGTCATGCATTGCTTAATGATGGATGCCTCATGAGAAATGTGTCATCAGGTGATTTCATCATCATGCAAACATCATAGTATGTACTTACACAAAGCTAAATGGCATAGGCTACTACAAACCTAGACTATAGGAGATAGCCTATTGCTCCTTGGCTACAAACCTGTACAACATGTTACTATACTGAACACTGCAGGCAATTATAACACCATAGCTATGTATTTGTATATCTAAGCATATCTCAAAAGAAAAGATATAGTAAAAATACGGTATCATAATCTCATGGGACCACCACTGGATATGCAGTCTGACATTGACCAAAATGATGTATGAGGCACATTATTGCATTTTTTGCATTTTCACACTTTTGCTTTGGTAACGTGGTGTTTAAAATGACCTCCCCACAACATGTTTAGTGTTCATTCCTACATGCAAAAAGGCTGCAATATGACTTTTGGAGGAAAAAATGTACATTAGATAAACTTCATTCAAGTATAAGTCAAAGTGCTACTGCCTATGAGTTCGATGCTAATGAATCATACGTTAAATACAGTATCTTTAAACAGAAACACATTAAAAAGATCATGTATTGATCAGCTGACGAAAACATTACCAGTGGCTCACAGAAACCTAATTTTGTATTTCCCCTAGGAGCAATGATTCACTATTTGCTAATTCTGTGCTGAAAGTGACTTTATACAACAAAACTACCACAAATAACAGGAACCAGCTGTATGTTTTTAGAAAGTAGACTTAAGAGAAAAAAAGACCTAAATCACATAATTAATAAGATAGATTTAATTGATAAATGTTGAATTCTATACACTGAAAATTAATAATATACTTCAAGACCCCATGAAACATTTTAACTGATATATAACAGGGCGCAAAGAAAAATCTCAATACATTTTTGAGAGGAGAAATAAATTTATCACACTGTCTAATCATCCTGCAATAAAAAATTAATAATAATAAAGTAAAAACCTGCTTCCTGAAAACAAACCAGTCAAAACTATAAAACAAAATGAAAGTTGTGGAACATCTAGAAAATCATAACAAGAATATTGCACATCACAACATATGAGAGAGCTAAAGCAATGCTTATAAGAAAGCTATAGCCTGCTAAGAATGAATGTAAATAAGTTAATTCTGTATTCAAAAAGTTAGGAGAAACAATATAAAGCCTATCCAAGTATTAGAATGAAGATAAAACCATATATTAATAGATTTTAAACAAAAACACATTAGAATGGATAAATATAAGCACTGGTCCTTTGGGACAAAACAATAATAATATTAATAAAAATTACAACCTTTAAAGAAAGGAAGAAAACACAAATACACATCATTAGAAATAAGAGGGGATGGGCGTAGAGGCTCACATCTCTAATCCTAGCCCTACAGGTGTAGAGGCTCACATCTCTAATCCCCATACTTTGGGAGGCCAAGTCAGGAAGATCACTTAAGCCCTGGAGTTAGAGACCAGCCTGGGCAACATAATGAGACTCTGTCTATAGAAAAAAAAAAACTTAAAAATTAGCTGGGAGTGGTAGCACACTACAGAGCGAGATCTTGTCTCGAAAAAAAAAAAAGAAATAAGAACGGGAGGGAAGACCCAAGACTTATGAGAGAATAGTCAATTCTAAACAATCTGGAAAATGAATAACTTAATCTGATCCAAGAGGGGGAATAAACCAATTATCAAAGAAAATTTTGAGAAAATTATTAAAAGAAAAATACTCCCAAAAAAGGATCACAATCAGAAAGTTTCATAGGTAAATTCTACCAAACTTTCAAAAAACAGATAAGCCCACTGCTATTTCAAATAGTGCCAGAGCATACAGAAAGGCAGCTTCCAAACTGTTTTCACAATGCCAGCATGACTCAGTACTGACAAAGAACTGCATACACAAAAAGAAAATTACAGAATCTTATTTATGATTATGAAAGCAAACAAAGACTCCAGAAGCATATGGAAAGACCAATATATCCATTACCAGGGGATTTACAAAGTGATACCAAGATATGTCGATAATAAGCTATGCACATAATAATATAATTCACTATATTAATATAACAAAGAAAAAAAAACCCACAAAATCAGAACCATGTAATTCACCAACCATTCCTGATTTAAACAAATAAGCTGAGGAATAAGTGGATACTTTCTTTATGTGTCAAAAACCCTAAATATGCTATATTATGATGTGTATGTATCCAGAGAGAGAAACAGAGGGCACACACACACAAATGTGTTCAAGTGAGTGCTCTTACAAATTAATTAGAGAAAGACCAATACTTGGCCGGGCGCGGTTGCTCACGCCTGTAATCCCAGCATTTTGGGAGGCCGAAGCAGGTGGATCACCTAAGGTAAGGAGTTTCAGACCAGCCTGACCAACATGGTAAAACCCTGACTCTACTAAAAATACAAAAATTAGCTGGGCATGGTGGCACACGCTAGCTACTTGGGAGGCTGAGGCACGAGAATCACCTGAACCCAGGAGGTGGAGGTTGTAGTGAGCTGAGATCACGCCACTGCACTCCAGCCTGGGTGACAGAGTGAGACTTTGCCTCAAAAAAAAAAAAGACCAATACCCACTCAAAAGAGAAAACGCGACCATGTGTTTCATATAAATACAAATGATTTATAAACATAAAAATTACTCAGACTCATTAGTTTAAAAAAGTAGTTATGAATTAAAAACAACAGTAGGAAATAATTTCTTACCCCTTAGACTTGTAGAGATCAAAAGATACAGTAATACATCATGATGGTAAAGATGCACTCCCAAATACTACTGGTGAGAATATAAACTAGTTAAGACATCTTTGGACTAATGTGGCAGTATCTAGCAAAATTTAAAATAAATATGCCCTATTATGATGACTTCTTGGAATCAATTACTAACCATCATTTCTAAATTTTGTATTTTCTCTTTGTCTAAATACTGTATCTTTTTTATCATCTCAAATATTATATTCAAATTGTATTTTAACTCTACCTTTCCTATGAAAACCAGAGTTTACTGTAATCTTTAGAATATATTACTTCTAAGAGCTTAATTCATGAGTGCAGGTCTAGAGCCAATGGCAAAAATGTTTCCATATACCTTGTGAGATTTGAAAATATACTATCCTACTGTTACACTTTTATTGTGGTAAAATATATATAACATAAACTTACTCTTTTTTTTTTTTTTTTTTACCATTTTTAGGTATAGTACAGTGACATTATGTACATTCACATGGTTATGCAATCATACCCCCATCCATCTATAGAACTCTCATCATCCCAAACTGAAACTCCATACCTATTCAACAGTAACTTCGCTTTCCTCCCTCTCCCCAGTAACCACTATTCTACCATCTGTTTCTATGAATTTGACTACTCTAGGTAGTCATATAAGTAGAGTCATATAATATTTGCCCTTTTGCATCTGGCTTTTTTCACTCATGTTTTCAGAGTTTCATCCATGTTGTAGGATGTATCAGAATGTCATTCCTTTTTAAGGCTGAATAATACTCCATTGCATGCACATACCACATTTTGTTTATCCATCTATCTGTTCATGATCAACTGGGTTGTTGCTACTTTTTGGCTATTGTGAATCATGATGCTATGAACACTGGTGTACAAATGAGTTCCTGCTTTCAATTCTTTTGGTTATATACCTAGAAGTGAAATTGCTATATTACATGATAATTCTATGTTTAATTACTTTAGCAACTGCCATCCTGTTTACCTCAGTAGCTGCCCCATTTTTCATCCCCACCACCAATGTATATGGTTCCAATTTCTCCACATTCTTGCCGGAACTTGTTATTTTATGGTGTTTTAATAATGGCCATCCTAACGGGTGTGAAGTAGTATCTCATTGTGGTTTTGATTTGCATTTCTCTAATGTCTGGTGATCTTCAGTGACTTTTCATGTGCTATAATTTGTAAAGCTTCTTTGGAGAAATGTCTATTCCTTTGCCCATTTTAAAAATTGGGTTTTTTTGTTATTGTTACTGTTGAGCTTTAGAAGTTTTAAAAATATATTCTGGTTATTAATCCCTTTTCAGATGTATGATTTGCAAATATTTTCTCCCACTCTGTGGGTCACTTTTTCACTGTTGATAGTGCCTGGTATTGTATTTTGAAAGAAGGTATCAACCCACCTCAAATTCAAGTAGAACATAAAAAATCAGAGGCCAGGTAAACTAAGGACTATGGATAAGACCAAGAACAGTTTTTATATTTTTAAAGGGCCATTAATAAAAAAACAGACAAACAAACAAAAAAAACCCACAAGAATATGTGATAAAGACCATACATGGCCTGCAAAGCCTACTGGTTATTGTTTGCTCTTTTATTCAAATACAAATTTATCATTAAAAAAAAAAGATTTAAGAGTTTTTCTATGTGAACAAATTTTTTTTTTTTTTTTTTTTTGAGACAGGGTCTCGTTCTATCACCCAGGTTGGAGTGCAGTGGCATCATCTTGGCTCACTGCAACCTCTGCCTCCTGGGTTCAAGTGATCCTCCCAGTTAAGTCTCCTGAGTAGCTGGGACTACAGGTGGGAGACACCATGCCTGGCTAATTTTGTATTTTTTGTAGAGATGGGGTTTTGCCATGTTGCCCAAGCTGGTCTCAAACTCTTGAGCTCAAGAGATCCACCTGCCTCGGCCTCCCGAAGTGCTGAAATTACAGTTGAGTCACAATGCCCAGCCTAAAAGACTTTAAAGCATAATGTTTTTTCTCCAAATAGGAGAGCTAATAGTCTTGTTTGTCAGTGTAAGTAATTTAAGCATGGTGCTAGGATTCATATTCTAAGCCCAATGACTCTGCAAAGCTGTGAATTACAGCTTGGCAGTGTCAGACTCCATTACCTAAGTTCTAAATAGTATGCTGAAAACGAAAAAAAATATATAATATCCTATGGTATGCTGAAAAATTACCTAGGAAGCCCCGATTACATTTTAGTCTTAAAATAAAGCTGAATGTCTGAACTCATATGTTATTTCTTCTGTAAAACTCCCATTTGAAATTTGCCAGAGCCTCTCCCTACCTTCCTTGTATAAGACGTTCACTCTTACTCTTTTAAAAGCTTAATGAAAAATTGAGGTTTGTGGCTTCAAACATGAAGAATTCATTCAAACATAATGAAATATTTCTGTACCCTGTTAAATTGAAAGGGTTAATCAAATTTAAGCTGGATATTTAAGAACCAAGAATCATTTCTTCCTAGCATTATTCTTGCGATTTGGCAAACTATTTCTATTTTAAGTGCACCTTATAAGATGAACACAAATATAATAAACATGTTAAGGCATTTCTAATCTACAGCTTCTTTTCCTTAGCTTCCAAAAAACAACCTGTAAAAGATACAGTGGTTGCAACCATGCATATTTCAACAGTGATTCTGATGTGTTGCATGACAGTTTTAGAAGTTTTTCATTTTTAGAAAACCATCCATTTGCAACGCACCAAATTAATATTATAATAATCTAAAATTCTGATAGGACACAGGATGATAGAAAAGTCTACACTTGGAGTCAGAAATATGTTCAAATTCTAGCCCCACTCTATGACCTTGAGTCTGGTCTGAATCCTCATTTATAAAATGGGCACCTAGGAAAAGTAGTTCAACAAATATCTTCTTTACACAAATGTCTCTTATCTACTAAAATGAGAAAATCTTGTGGATACAGACCATAGCTTTTTTATATGTACAGTCCTAATATAAAGCAGAATATCTAACCCATAACAAGGACTACACAAAATGTTTGCTGAATGAAAGCAATCAAGACAAAACTAACAGTACATCATTTATAAGATAACTTTTAAATACTAGACAGCAATCATAAAACACGAAGGGCAATCGGAAAATAAGAAAATACATTTCAATCATAAATTCAACAAGTACCAGGTAGAAGCCCCAAATTTAAGTTAATGATTGCTAACTTGTAGTTTCAAACCTGCAACGAGACTGAGAAGACAGCGATGATGGTGCTTAAGCTAATTTTAATATTTTAGAATAGATAATATAAATTGTCTATTTACCCATGCTTGCTTAGTCATGGTTAACATTGCTAACCAAAACACTTTAAGTTTCTTTTTTGCCCAAAATAATATCAGCTCAGTAAGATAAGATTTTATCTATAAGATGCTCTGCTAACGAATAGATATTATTTTGAGTAATAGGGGCTTTTGTTGTATATATCCCCACACACATACAATTGAATAGGTTTTATTCATTTTTATTAATTTATTTTAGAGACAGGATGTCGCTCTGTTGCCCAGGCTAGAGTGCGGTGGTGCAATCATAGCTCACTGCAGCCTTGAACTCCTAGGCTCATGCAATCCCCTCTAACCTTAGCCTCTTGAGTAGCCAGGACTACAGGTGTGAGCCACTGCACTTGCTAAACAGGTTTTAGACAAAAGCAAAAGGGAAAAAGAGAGCAGAATATTTGTAGGGTGAACCGAAATCAATCAAAGGCAGCCATCCTAAGCCAACCCCAGCTCACTCCTATCCACCAGACCTATGGACTGACTATTCTAATTAAACCTACTGGTTATTCTAGTTTAAGAAAGTGACATATAAACACAGGAATTTACAGCAGAATAATTACCTCACGGACTTCATCATCTTCTTCATTAGTATTTTTTTGTCTGCTTTCTCTGAAACGACGTACCTAGATCATAACAGAGTAAATCACAAACATGTTACCTATTCCAGTTATGTAAATATAAAACAAGGAGCTACAATTAAGAAATGCTTTATGTTATAAAACTTGCAAATTTAACAACCTGTCTCAAAAGAGTAAATAAATCATATTTTTCCAATTATTAACATTAAAATTGCACAATGTACTCTTAAAAAAAAAAACTCATATTGACCAGAAGCAAAATTGTATTACCTGCTGCCAAAATGTTTCACACCACTGAAAAAGTCTTTCTGACTGTAGACGAAAAATTCTAATACCCCATGGGTGTTACACTTCAGTAAACTAGTTAAAAACAAAAATATCTCCTTGACAAGGCTTGAAATATTTATTACATTGCAAATCACTCTCATGCACCTGGCTGAAAGACATCCAGGAGGCTCTGTGAAATGGGATCTGAAGTGGGTGGCCCCTGAAGATCCATTTTTATCAACAGTTAACTCGTGAAGGTTTGCTGAGCATGGTCCTGGTATCAAGAAGGAGACTACAGGTTTCTTTTTTAATGGTTCCTGCTCACAAGGCTCTTATTATACAGCTATGTTTACATTCTTTAAGCCTATTTATTTAATAATCTACTCAGCACATATTTACTGAGCACCTTCAATGTGCCACATACTACTACAGAAACTGAGAACACAATTATTAACAAAACAGACAAAAACCTGCTCTCATGGAATCTATAATCAACTGATTACATGGGAGAGGGAACAGCAAATAAGACTCCAATGTAAGAGACTGGAGCAACGAGAGGAATCAACAAGACACCGAAGATATGCAGCCAATGAGGCAGGAAGATAACAAGAGTCTGGTATCCTGAAATCCAATAAAAAACGAGTTTCAAGAGAAGGTCAAGTGAGATGTAAGATAGAAAACTGACAGTGGATTTAGCAATGGCAGTCACTGGTGATCCTGACAAGTGCAGCTTCACTAGAATGATGGGATCAAGAGCCTGAGTGGATAGATTTAACAGAAAACGGAGAGAGAAGAATGAGGCAGCAAATACAGAAATCTCTTTGAAGCGATTCTGCTCTAGAAGAGGAACAGAGAGCAGTAACTAAAGGAAAATGGGATTGAGAGTTTTGTTTCTTAAGCTGAAAGAAATAACAGCATGTTCGTTATGATTCAGTAAAGGAAAAATACAAGAATAACAATATTTTAAAAGATCACACAGCATTTAACAGTGCCTACGTAATATGTAGCATACCAAAGGTGCTAAGCCATTCATAGAAGAGAAATGAGAGTCAGAGTGGAAACATTGAACAGGCGCTATGTGTCCGACAGTATCCTAAGGATTTTACATGGATTAATTCTTTTAATCCTTACAACAACCTTGAAGAAGGGCCTATTACCATCACCATTTTATCCTCAGATGAGGATACTGAGGGATAGGTGGGTTTAGATAACTCAATGATGGGTACACAGCTAATAAGGGTTTTGATTTTGAACATGGGTGTCTGGTCCAGAGTCACCATGACTCACACACACTCTCTCTCTCTCACACACACACACACACACACACACACACACTCCACACAGACTTTGCTGCTCAGGAGTCATGATGTCACTCCAGGTGGGGATGGTCATGTTTTATATCTGGTATGTACCTGAGAAATCTATTTATGCTATAAATTAGCAAACCCAACACATTCAGAGTCATAGAGTGAATGGTTTTAGAGTGTGAACTGCCTGTCCTACCTCTGGAAGTACTTGGTATTAAATAATACTAGTAACACATTGACACCATAAGGCTTTAAGAGAACCATGTTAACAAAAAGCACTAAAACAAGGGAATGAGTTGTTTTCTTTAAAATAATGTTGTTTTGTTCTTCTGCTTAGGGAGAATCTGGGAAATACAGAAAGTGATCCCCTGTAATAAAACTACCTTGACATAACCGTTGATAATATATCTGGGATATTTTCTTTATTTACATGAACATACACGATTACATATAAAATAAAAATAATTGAGATTATACTACGCAGTTCATCTTTGAAATTCTTTTCCCAATTAACATTAGATTAGAAATATCTTCTCATGTTCTTCCAAAATGTCATTTTTAAGGGCTGTATAAAATTTTATATGGTATATGCACCAACATTTATTGTACCAAAACATTTCCAATTATTCCCCACTATGAACAACACTGAGATGAATCACTCCATACACAAATCTCTATCTCACTATTTTCGTAGGGAAATTTCCCAGGCTGAGTTAAAGGGTAAATCTTAAGCCTCTTAATATACACTGCCAAACTGCTTTTCAGCAAAGCTATTCAAAAGTAATACTACTACCAGCAGTGTGCTAGATACTATTTTTCTCAAATTGCTGCCAACTTGACAAACAAAAGATGTATTTCAGTTTCTTTGATTATCCTAGGCTAAACACCATTTTCATATGCTTATTAGCCATTTACATTTCTTTTATGAACCACCTACTCATGTCCTTTGTTCATTATTCTATCAAAATGTTTAATTATTTGTAAGATTTCTAAGAGCTCATTAATATTATATTAAGAATATTAACCTTTTTTTGCCCACATACAAATATTTTCATGTCAATATCTTTTAATTTTGTTTTTTGACAATGTGATATGCAAACATTTAAAATTTCTATGTAGTCAAGTCTAGACAGCTTTTCCTGTAATTCTTCCACTGCATCTTGTTTAGCAGAAATTTTCTAGATGAAATTCAAGATCTCAATCAAAACTTACTAAAAAAATTAAAATGAACAAAAGTTAGCATCCTATAAGGTTCATTTTAAAGCCCTTTCAGGATCTTCAAGAGAAGATACTACCCATGGGGAACAAAACACTTACTTAGTACCAACCATATGCAAGACTCTGTTCTAGGCATTTTCTACATTTTCTAATTTAATCTTCATTTTATCAATTCAATTTTATAAATGAGAAAAACTAAACAAATCAGAGAGGTTAAATAGTGATTTACCAGAAAAAAATCTCAGAGCTACTCTTAAAGAGAGACTATTTAAATACACCTAGACACTCAAATTAGCTACTTACCTCCTCATCGATTTTGTCCTCTAGGGCATCAATATGACGTTCTTTAAGAAATCGCTGTGTTTTTTCCAACTGGTATTTCACTAGTTCCTCAATGGCATCTTTCTCCTCCTTGTCCACAAATTCTTGTACTGCTTCACCCATCCCTCTTTCTGTTAGTAGTGAGAGCTGCACATTCTATAAGATACAAATCACTGGATGCAGAAATAGTATTTATTCTTTACAAAATAATTATAGATGAGCAAGGAAAATTACCAAGTATGTTACCAGAGAAAAACTATAATGAACAGTTGTAGTTAAGCCTACTAATATCAGGAATCAGAAAAAGCAAAGTCAAAACCAGAAAAGGGAGAGGAGTACAGGACAGGTGAAATGTAGAGGCCTGATGGCTAGGATATGGAGTTCAAAAATGGCAGCTATGATGAATAGAGATGAAATTAACCAGTGTGGTAGGCAAAATAAGAGCCCCCTAAAGATGTACACGTCTTAAACTCTGGGACCTGTGAATACATGGCAAAGGGGAATAAAGGTTGCTAATCAGCTGTCTGTAAAATAGGAAGACTATCAGAGACTATACAGGTGGGCCCAGTGTAATCATAAGGGTCCTGAAAAGCAGAAGAGGGAGGCAGATGGGAGCTGGAAGGAAAAATAACTCTGGGGAAATGGTTAGAGAGATACAACACTGCAGGATTTGAAGATAAAAGGGGATCAAGAGCCAAGGAACATAGTGGGCACCTCTAGAAGCTGGAAAAGGTAAGGAAATGGATTCTCTCTTAGAGCCTCCAAAAAGGAAGACCACCATGCCAAAACTTGATTTCAGTCCTGTGTAAGATTTCTGACCTACACGACTGTAAGATAATAAATTTGTGTTGTTTTAAATCACTAAGTTTGTGGAAATTTGTTTCAGCACCAATAGGAAACTAATACAACTGGAGGATCTTAGAGTGGCATATACTCATGACAGTAAGTTTCAGTGGCTTCACCATCATGTGGCTGTCTTTGTTTGTAGAATAATTCTGAAATTACATCCAAATGTGAGAAAACTAAATCTGGATTGAGATCTTTGCAATAGAGATATAATTAACATTAATTAAACACTAATTTTCTTTGATGTGCAGCAACTGCAAATGAATGTAAATGTCACCCTGAGTTTCACTTAAGAATGTCCCTGATTTAAGTTAAAATTATTCATTTAGTTTAATAATTGCAACAGAGATACAAAGAAAGAGAATAACAACATCAATAATAACAGCTATATTAATAACAGTATTAATAACTAACATTAACCACTAATTATCCCTGCTGTGCGGCAACTGCAATTGAATGTAATTAATTGTCACCCTACTTCATAGAAACATTCTGAGGATTCATTTTGTTTAAACTATCAACTAAACATATCCTAAATTAAAATCTGTTACTATAGGGTAGCCATTTTTCAAAATGTGAACTGTAAGAAATTACCTTCTCGGCAGTTTGAAAATACTGTTTTACAAGATCTTCTACCCTTAAAGTTGTTCCTTCTGAAGGTTTTGTGATAAGCTTCCCAAAGTTTATCTCTTCTCCTAGAAAAAAAGAAGTATATCAAAAAATAGCTTCTATCATAATGTTAAAGTGCCCATACTCATTGCAGTTGTCAGTGGAGAAGGTAAGGCCAAACTTTATCAACTGCCAGCTTGCTCAACATGGTAAATTTTGAGGCAAAACAAGCCATTTTTGTTAATAGCCACAGTCTTTTCTCCACAGTCAGTATTTCTTGTCCATACCTCCAAGATAGGTGTCTTGTAGCTGTTCTCACTGGGTGAAGCACAGACTTCTGGAGGTCCTCAAGACCCATTCAGGAAGTAATAACGTCAAAAATACTTTCATAATAATCCTAAGATGTTATTTGCCTTTTTGCCACCTGCCATCATTGCTACACTGATGATGCAAAAAGCAATCGTGGGTACTGCCAGTGCCTTGTGATGGGTCAAGGTAGTAGCATAAAACTCTACTATGAACAGTAGACACGACCATGTACTCATAGCTCAATACACAACACCATTTTCACTTAAGAATGTCTCTGATTTAACAGCTAAAATTATTAATTTAATTAAATCTCAGCCCTTGAGCACATATCTTTTTAACATCCTGTGAGACAAAGGGGAAGTATGTTTAATGCACTTCTGCTGCATTACTAAGCAAGATGATTGTCTCAAAAACAGTAGGCACAGACTAGAAAGAGCACTCGGTAGGAAGTTAGGAAGCACAGAGTCCAGTATTTGCTCTGTCAATAACCCTTGTCAGGTAAATGCATGTTAAATGTCTACATGTAAAAACATAGGATCCCTGCCCATAAGAAAAATGACTATAATACAAGGTGGTAAGTGCTCTCGAGAATATAACACATAGAGAAAAAGCAATTAATTCTTTTCAAAGAAGGCAGAAAATCATGTATAGGTATCAAATGCAGCTGTCATTTGAATCAACACATCCTTCTAATCTATGTACAGTTTATTTGTTTTGGTTATTATTAGGATTGTTTCCTATGCCTATAAATCTGCTTATCCTTTCTATCATGTTATAAACAAAGAAACAACAATAGACCTCTTTAAAAAAAAAAAGTTTTCAGAGAAAGTCTTCCATTTCTTTTTTGATATCCACAGGTTGAAAAATTATGACTATCTAGCCCTTTCCTAGCCAAGGGAAGCGGTGACAGACGGTACCTGGAAAATCGGGACACTTCCACCCTAATACTGTACTTTTCCAACTGTCTTAGCAAATGGCACACCAGGAAATTATATCCTGCGCCTGGCTCTGCTGCTCCCACACCCGCTGAGCCTTGCTCACTGCTAGTACAGTGGCCTTGGGGAGGAGTGTCCACCATTGCTGAGGCTTGAGTAGGTAAACAAAGCAGCCTGGAAGCTCGAACTGGGTGGAGCCCACCGCAGCTCAAGGAGGCCTGCCTGCCTCTGTAGACTCCACCTCTAGGGGCAGGGCATAGCTTAACAAAAGACAGCAGAAACTTCTGCAGACTTGAAAGTCCCTGTCTGACAGCTCTGAAGAGAGCAGTGGTTCCCCCAGCATGGAGTCTGAGCTCTGAGAATGGACAGACTGCCTCCTCAAGTGGGTTCCTGACCCCCGTGTAGCCTAACGTGAGACACCTGCCAGTAGGAGCCCTTTGACACGTCATACATCTGGGTGCCCCTCTGAGATGAAGTTTCCAGAGGAAGGATCAGGCAGCAACATTTGCTGTTCTGGAGTATTCACTGCTCTGCAGCCTCTGCTGGTGATACCCAGGCAAACAGGGTCTGGAGTGAACCTCCAACAAACTCCACAGACCTGCAGCTGACTGTAAGAAGAAAAACTAACAAACAGAAATGAATAGTATCAACATCAACAAAAAGGACATCCACACCAAAACCCATCTGTAGGTCACCATCTTCAAAGACCAAAGGTACACAAAACCACAAAGATGGGGAGAAACCAGAGCAGAAAAGCTGAAAGTTCTAAAAATCAGAGCGCCTCTTCTCCTCCAAAGGATCACAGCTCTTTGCCAGCAACAGAACAAAGCAAGACGGAGAATGATTTTGACGAGTTGACAGAAGTAGGCTTCAGAAGGTCGGTAATAACAAACTTCTCCGAGCTAAAGGAGGATGTTCGAACCCATCACAAGGAAGCTAAAAACCTTGAAAAAAGATTAGATGAATGGTTAACTAGAATAAACAGCGTAGAGAAAAATTTAAATGACCTGATGGAGCTGAAAACCATGGCACGAGAACTATGTGACACATGTGCAAGCTTCAGTAGCCGATTCGATCAAGTGGAAGAAAGGGTATCAGTGATATATATGCACCGATACAGGAGCACCTAGATTCATAAGGCAAGTCCTTAGAGACCTACAAAGAGACTTAGACTCCCACACAATAATAATGGGAGACTTTAACACCCCACTGTCAACATTAGACACATCAACGAGACAGAAGGATAACAAGGATATCCTGGATGTGAACTCAGCTCTGCACCAAGCGGACCTAATAGACATCTACGGAACTCTCCACCACAGATCAACAGAATATACATTCTTCTCAGCACCACATCACACTTATTCCAAAATTGATCACATAGTTGGAAATAAAGCACTCCTCAGCAAACGGAAAAGAAGAGAAATCACAACAAACTGTCTCTGAGATCACAGTGCAATCAAACTAGAACTCAGGATTAAGAAACTCACTCAAAACCGCTCCACTACATGGAAACTGAACAACCTGCTCCTGAATGACTATGGGTAAATAACGAAATGAAGGCAGAAATAAAGATATCCTTTGAAACGAATGAGAAGAAAGACACAACATATCAGAATCTCTGGGACACATTTAAAGCAGTCTGTAGAGGGAAATTTATAGCATTAAATGCCCACAAGAGAAGGCAGGAAAGATCTAAAATCAACAACCTAACATCACAATTAAAAGAACTAGAGAAGCAAGAGAAAACACATTCAAAAGTCAGCAGAAGGCAAGAAATAACTGAGATCTGAGCAGAACTGAAGGAGATAAAAACACAAAAAAACCCTTCAAAAAAATCAATGAATCCAGGAGCTGGTTTTTTAAAAAGATCAACAAACTTGATAGACAATTAGCAAGACTAATAAAGAAGAAAAGAGAGAAGAATCAAATAGACGCAATAAAAAATGATAAAGGGGTATCACCACCGATTACACAGAAATAGAAACTACCATCAGAGAATACTATAAACACCTGTACGTAAATAAACTAGAAAATCTAGAAGAAATGGATAAATTCCTGGACACATACACCCTCCCAAAACTAAACCAGGAAGAAGTTGAATCTCCGAATAGACCAATAATAGGCTCTGAAATTGAGGCAATAATTAATCGCCTACCAACCAAAAAAAGTCCAGGACCACATGGATTCACAGCTGAAGGCTACCACAAGTACAAAGAGGAGCTGGTACCATTCCTTCTGAAACTATTCCAATCAACAGAAAAAGAGGGAATCCTCCCTACCTTATTTTATGAGACCAGCATCATCCTGATATCAAAGCTTGGCAGAGACACAACAAAAAAAGGGAATTTCAGACCAATATCCCTGATGAACATTGATGCAAAAATCCTCAGTAAAATACTGGCAAACAAAATGCAGCAGCACATCAAAAAACTTATCCACCAAGATGAACTTGGCTTCATGCCTGGGATGCAAGGCTGGTTCAACATACGCAAATCAATAAACGTAATCCATCATATAAACAGAACCAAAGACAAAAACCACATGATTATCTCAATACACACAGAAAAGGCCTTTGACAAAATTCAACAGCCCTTCATGCTAAAAACTCTCAATAAACTAGGTATTGATGGGATGTATCTCAAAATAATAAGAGCTATTTATGGCAAACCCACAGCCAATATCATACTAAATGGACAAAAACTGGAAGCATTCCCTTTGAAAACTGGCACAAGACAGGGATGCCCTCTCTCACCACTCCTATTCAACATAGTGTTGGAAGTTTTGGCCAGGGCAATCAGGCAGGAAAAAGAAATAAACAGTATTCAATTAGAAAGAGAGGAAGTCAAATTGTCCCTGTTTGCAGATGACATGATTGTATATTTAGAAAATCCCATCATCTCAGCTCAAAATCTCCTTAAGCCGATAAGCAACTTTAATAAAGTCTCAGGATACAAAATCCCTGTGCAGACCAGGCGCAGTGGCTCACGCCTGTAATCCCAGCACTTTGGGAGGCTGAGGTGGGCAGATCACAAAGTCAGGAGATCGAGACCATCCTAGATAACACGGTGAAACCCCGTCTCTACTAAAAACACAAAAAATTAGCCGGGCGTGGTGGTGGGTGCTGGTAGTCCCAGCTACTAGGTAGGCTGAGGCAGGAGAATGGCGTGAACCCGGGAGGAGGAGCTTGCAGTGAGCCAAGCCCCTACCACTGTACTCTAGCCTGGGTGACAGAGCGAGACTCTGTCTCAAAAAAAATAAATAAATAAAAATAAAAACAAAATCAATGTGCAAAAATTACAGCATTCCTACACCAATAACAGACAAACAGAGAGTCAAATCATAAATGAACTCCCATTCACAATTGCTACAAAAAGAATAAAATACCTAGGAATACAACTTACAAGGGATGTGAAGGACCTCTTCGAGGAGAACTACAAACCACTGCTCAACGAAATAAAAGAGGACGCAAACAAATGGAAGAACATTCCATGCTCATGGATAGGAAGAATAATATCGTGAAAATGGCCCTACTGCCAAAGGTAATTTATACATTCAGTGCCATCCCCATCAAGCTACCAATGACTTTCTTCACAGAATTGGAAAAAACTACTTTAAAGTTCATATGGAACCAAAAAAGAGCCCGCATTGCCAAGACAATCCTAAGCAAAAAGAACAAAGCTGGAGGCATCATGCTACCTGACTTAAAACTACACTACAAGGTACAGTAACCAAATCAGCATGGTACTGGTACCAAAACAGAGACACAGACCAATTGAACAGAACAGAGCCCTCAGAAATAACAACACAAATCTACAACCATCTGATCTTTGACAAACCTGACAAAAACAAGTAATAGGGAAAAGATTCCCTATTTAATAAATGGTGCTGGGAAAACTGGCTAGATATATGTAGAAAGCTGAAACTGGATCCCTTCCTTACACCTTATACAAAAATTAATTCAAGATGGATTAAAGACTTAAATGTTAGACCTCAAACCATAAAAACCCTAGAAGAAAACCTAGGCAATACCATTCAGGACATAGGCATGAGCAAGGACTTCATGACTAAAACACCAAAAGCAATGGCAACAAAAGCCAAAATTGACAAATGGGATCTAATTAAACTAAAGAGCTTCTGCACAGCAAAAGAAACTACCATCAGAGTGAACAGGAAACCTACAGAATGGGAGAAAATTTTTGTAATCTACCCATCTGACAAAGGGCTAATATCCAGAATCTACAAAAAACTTAAACAAATTTACAAGAAAAAATTTTAAAAACCCCATCAAAAAGTGGGTGAAGGATATGAACAGACACTTCTCAAAAGAAGACATTTATGCAGCCAACAGACACATGAAAAAATGCTTATCATCACTGGCCATCAGAGAAATACAAATCAATACCAAAATGAGATACCATCTCACACCAGTGAGAATGGTGATCATTAAAAAGTGAGGAAACAGCAGGTGCTGGAGAGGATGTGGAGAAATAGGAACACTTTTACACTGTTGGCGGGACTGTAAACTAGTTCAACCATCGTGGAAGACAGTGTGGCGATTCTCCAAGGATCTAGAACTAGAAATACCATTTGACCCAGCCATCCCATTACTGGGTATATACCCAAAGGATTATAAATCATGCTACTATAAAGACACATGCACATGTATGTTTACTGCGGCACTATTCACAATAGCAAAGACTAGGAACCAACCCAAATGTCCATCAATGATAGACTGGATTAAGAAAATTGGCACACATACACCATGCAATACTATGCAGCCATAAAAAAGGATGAGTTCATGTCCTTTGTAGGGACATGGATGAAGCTGGAAACCATCATTCTGAGCAAACTATCGCAAGGACAGAAAATCAAACACTGCATGTTCTCACTCATAGGTGGGAATTGAACAATGAGAACACTTGGACACAGGGTGGGGAACATCACACACCGGGGCCTGTCGTGGGGTTGGGGAAGCGGGGAGGGATAGCATTCAGAGAAATACCTAATGTAAATGACGAGTTAATGGGTGCAGCACACCAACATGGCACATGTATACATATGTAACAAACCTGCACATTGTGCACATGCACCCTAGAACTTAAAAGTATAATAAAAAAAGATTGCTATCTAATTTTCAGAAGACAAGAGAATTATTCCAACTGTCAATTTAAGACATTACGATCATATTAAAACATCTTCCATTACTGTGATACAGATTTTCCTAAAGATTCATTCACAAATCCTATAAGAACATTTTTTTTTAACTTGTAAAAATAACTAGCTTACCTGTTTTTTCCTTTTGTTCTCTATGCCTGAAAAAATGGATAATGTCTTTTGGATTAGCTACCCGATCCACAAATTTCTGGCTAAAGCGAAGAACACTGAAAGGTTCAAAACCTCCACTATAGTCCACCTGAAAACACAGAATAATCTATGAAGGCTAGGAAACAACAATTTGCCAATTTTAAAAATACATACTAATCCTTCAGTATTCAGTGTTTATGCTTGATACTTTCAAATTTATGAATTAATTTTCTACAGTAGCTCATGGTGGAGCTATATCATTTATCCTATTGAGAAACTAATGTTTGAAAAGTTTATAAGCATAAGCAAAATACTTTGTTCGACAGAATCAAGGTATTGCAATAATTTCCACAATGCAGAATTACATCTCCCCCTGATAACACTAATAGTCTAGGTACCTACCGGGCAAACCATCTGAAAAGGAGACAGAATTTCTAAACAATTCTCTGAACTTTTAAAACAAACAAACAAACACACACCAAAATAAAATACTAGCCCTAGATACATTAGTAAATTGGTCTATCATCTTAGAGATGTGCCTCACAGTAATGACGAATGCTAGGAAAATCCAGGTAATAAAGAATCAAATCTGTGAGCCTTGAGAAATGACTACCTCCAAAACATGGTATCTCACTGAAACTGAGAACTTTTCTCAAGGTAGGCTCTTTCTACAGAAGTCTGTAGTAGTCAACAGACCTTTACAAAGACAAATATCACCTTTCTTTCTCAGAGATATGTTCTTCTAAACTAGCTGTTCCCAAAGCACGCTCTGGGGACCAGCACTGCACCACCTCACAGCTTATCCAGACTGCTCCCTAACTGAAGCGCTCCTGCTTTCACTCATCATCACTATCGCTAACGTTTTTTGTTCATTTATTTGATATTTGTGTATTATGTCTCTCTTCACATCTCTACCTCCTATAAGCTCAACGAATTCAAAATCTCATCTGTTTTATCATCCCTGTATCCTGTAGCATCCATAATAGCAGGTACTCAACAGGATTTAGTCAATGAATTCACGAATGTCTTTTGGTCAGTACAATGCAGTTTTGTAATATTACTTATATGACAGTATGTGCTGTTTTATGAATGAATTCGTAATTTATTGTGCTTAGGAAAAGAAATGCCAATTTTCTATTAAAGTCTGGTTAGTTCTAATGCTGTTAGGCAGACACAGATGAGAAAATTGGGATCGTCTGCCATAATGAAAAGAACTATGTGATTCCCTTAAAGTAATTATTTTTATATGACCCAAACCATTCTTTTTTTTTTTTTTTTTGAGATGGAGTCTCTCTCTGTCACCCATGCTGGAGTGCAGTGGCACAATCTCAGCTTCCTGCAACCTCTGCCTCCCAGGTTCAAGCGATTCTCATGCTTCAGCCTCCCAAGTAGTTGGGATTACAGGCATGCGCCACCACACCTGGCTAATTTTTGTATTTTAAGTAGAGATGGGGTTTCGCCATGTTGCTCAGGCTGGTCTCGAACTCCTGACCTCAGATGATTCAGCCACCTCAGCCTCCCAAAGTGCTGGGATTACAGGCATGAGCCACCATGCCCAGCCTTACTCAGATCATCTCTACAGCTACCATGTTATAAAAAAGAAAATACTAAATGCTAAAGCTATTAGGTCTCCCCTTCAAACTTCTCATTTATAAATGCTTGGTCATTAACAAATTTTATTGGATTTCCTCAACGTTCTAGGTATGCTGTTCAGGGCCAGGGATACAACCATAAATAAATACAATCCTGGCTGCCAAGAAATTTACAAACTGACTGGGAAGACAAACATGTAAACAGATCATTGGAAGCAGAATGTGAGTGAGTGGTGCTATAAAAGGTATGAACAAAGTTGAATGAGGACACAAAGGAAGAAGCATGTTCTCTTTGGGGAGGTCAAGAAAGGCTTCTTTGAAGAGGGAAGCTTTAGGTGAGTGCTGAAGAAGATATAGAGAAAGGAGAAGGGAAGTGTGTCTCATGCAGCAGGATCAACATGGACAATGGTTCTGGTGAAATAAACTCCACTGTGCCCAGGGAACAGTAGCTTTTGGTCCACTGAGACGAGCTTTGGATGTGATGGAAGGAAAAGGAGGAGCTGAAATGTTTGGTTTACATCAGATCATGTAGACCCCTGAATGCTAACCTAAAAAAGTTTAGACTTTTTCCTGTTAGTGCTAGGGAACAATTACGTTATTTTTAGCAGAAAAGACATGCAAAACTGTGTTTTACAAAGATCATTTTGGCATTAGTTTGGAGACAGAAGGAAACTGGAGGCAGAGTCCTGGTAGGAGGCTGCAGCAATAGGCCAGGAAGTGTTAATAAGGGCTTCACTATGCCAGCAACAGTGGGATAAAGAAACGGGACCAGATTACCTACTGTGCACCAGACACTACTTAATCCATTTAGATCTCATAAATCTATGAAGCATTAGGTTGGTGCAGAAGTAATTGCAGTTTTTGCCATTACTTTCAATGACAAAACCCGCAAATACTTTTGCACCAACCTAATACAAACCAAGGGATAAGAGATGCAGTTGCTCAAGGTCATACAACTAGTGGCTGGGCCAGAATGAAGCTCAGGAAGTCTGGCTCTAGACTATACTCTTTACCTCCACAGTCTACATCCCAGGACTTCTCAAATTTTAATGAACCTATACATTTCTTGGAGATTTTTGTTAAAATACAGCGGGTTCTGATGCAGGGTCTGAGACTCTGCATTTTTAACAATTTCCCAGGTGACAACAACATTGCTGGTTTAAAGACTATACTCCTCGGTACCAGGCCTCAGGGGCCCGGAGGTATAGAACAACAAGGAGGTCTACATGAAGATTTTGAAGTCATCACTCTACTGGTGGTCATTAAAGCTGTATGCCTACACTGAAAAGACAGCTAACTGAGATGGGAGGGATACAGATAACTCAGAGAATGTCCAAAGGTAATTCAGCAGGATGAGACATGATCTATTGGATTTAACAATTAAAGGTCATCTTTTCCACTGGATATGGTGAAGTCAGAGCCTTGGTTATAGTGAACTGAAGAAGAGAAAGTTAGATGAGAGATATAGGTCATATAATTTTGCTTTGAAAGAGAGTAAGCAACATGGGGTAGGAGTTAGGAAAAGGGAAAAACATAGTGGTAAAGAACAGGTCTGTTGTTGTTTCTTTGTTTATAACACGATAGAAAGGATAAGCAGATTTATAGGCACAGGAAACAATCCTAATAACCAAAATAAATAAACTATACATAGATTAGAAGGATGTGTTATGGGGAAAAAAAAATAAGAAGAGGAAGCAGAAGAAAGTGAGTGAAATCAGGAGCACTGATTTCACTCAGTGGAAGTGGGAAGTGTCTTCCCACTCTCCTGATTTCACTCAGGAGAGAAGGTAGGGGCTGCAATCTTGATGGTAGGGCCTCAGTGAGGTGACACGGAAGCAGACTAAAGGGAGATAAGAGCACATGCCACATGCCCAAGAAACTGCGAGGAGGCCAAGGTGTCTGGAATGAAGTGAGTAGAGGAGGTAGTTAAAGATGAAGTCAGAGAGCTCAGCCAATCTATTAAATATAACAACAAATTATTTAGAAAATGAGAAAAGTAACCAAACCTATCACTTAAACTGTGATTAACTCAAATCCTTATACCTTTGTTTTTGCCTCCAATGGTGATTGCTCTTCTGATTACTATGAGCATTCTCCTCACTAATTTTCAAAGAAACCATGTAAACTGTACATTACTATGCTTTGAAAATTAATAATACTCAATCTGTATAAATAGGACTTACTCGCAGTCGTACAAGAGGCTTCTCTGGCTGGCGAGAATTACCCAGACGTTCCCGTTCAGCATTTTCAAGCATTTCTTCAATCTCAAAAATTTTAAAAAGATTAAAAAATAAAATAGTAAATTGAGTTTAGCTTGGTTGAATAGCAGCTTATTACCACAGGAATTTTCCTGAACTACATAATCATCTTTATGACACCTTTTCAAATATACCTTCTTGTAATGCTCCTTTAATACTATTCCTTAATGTTTTACTTTCATGAAAGTTCTTTATAATTTTTCAATCTCTAAAGTAATTCTTTTAGAATAAAATTTAAAATATTACTACTCATGTTTCAATTTTCTACTCATGTTTCAATAAGGCTTTCCTCATCTTACCAACTTAAAACCAAGTAAGTCTAGTTTTTGCAGTCATATGATCCATGGGAGACTCACCAGAAGACTTAGGGATCTATAAGCAAGGACTTTGGATTATTTATCTTGGAAGAGTTCAAGGTAAAAGAAAATAAGACTGATGTTTTCAAATATTGGAGTTGTCTCATACTCTGAGAGGACAAGATTATAACATTTTAGACTTGAAAGAGATCTGAAGACAAAAGCACTTGTTCTATATTGTTCTTAAGGGGAAAACCAAGTTACAAGGAGACAGTATTAGATTCTTTTCATAAATGGTTGTGTGCATAGTGATTAGATATCTTCAGATGGCCAATTTCATAGTTGAACAATTCTAGTTCTCAGAAAGTTCTTGTGTTGGAACAAAAACTGCCTTCTTATAACTTGGTTCTGATCTCAAGAACAATACAGAACAAGTGTTTCTGTACTCAGATTTCTTTCACATCTAAGATTTTATAATCTTGTCCTTTAAACTGTCTGTAACAATGAAGTCCAACAGAACTTTCTGTAATGTTTTTATGTGTGCACATTCAATTTTTTATATGTGCATATTCAACACGGCTGCCAAAACCACATGTGGATATAGACTACTTGAAATGTGGCTAGTACAAGTGAGAAACTGAATTTTAAATTTAAATGTGATTAATTATATATAAACAGCCACATGTGCTAGTGACTACCATATCAGACAGCACATAGAAAATCTATAAGAACATGATCTCCTAGGTCAATTATTTCAATCCAACAAGCATTTATAGAGCATCTTTTTGCCAGGTACTAGGACAAGTGCTGAGACAGAAAAGTAAGACATGGGCCCTGTCCTCAAAGAGTTCAGAAGAGACTCACATGCTTATAAATAATAATATAACTTAACTAAGTACAATAATAGAAAGGTACATAAAATACAGCGACAACAGAAAGTTATGTGCACACCTGGTGTTTAAAATGAACCTCTATTACTTTAACGTCACCAGCATCTACTTTCCTCCCTGGATTCATGTCACCAAAGCTCACAGGATTTAGGTGAAGTTCATACAGTGGACCTCAATCAGAGGTGATTTTGCTTCTCTAAGGACATTTGGCAAGGTCAGTAAACATTGATTGTCACGACCAGTTAGAAGGGGTACTACTGGCATCTAGTGGGTACAAATCAGGGAGAATACTGCTAAACATCCGAGAGTGCACAGAACTGCCTCCCACAATAAAGAATTATTAGTACAAAATGTCAACTAAGCCAAGGTTGAAAAACGCAGGGCTGACTCCAGGGAAGGGCACATGACTCAGGCCTGGATCAATCAATGCAAAAGCAAGTAATGCATTTTCTATCTCTTTGCCTTGAGAGATTGGATTTAGGGATGCCAGAATCTTAACCTACGTTTGAGTTTCTGGAGTCAATCATCTTGAAACAAGCACACTTTTAGTTACGTGAGTTACACATTGCTCAAAAAGCTGTGACACTGAATGAATTACCTTATCTAAGATTCAGTTCTTCTAAACTACAGATGGTAGAATCTACTCACATACAGCATTGTTGGCTGCTAGATTAAATGCTGTCAACAGTGCACATCACATACAGTAAATCGGTATCACTGGTCATAATTATTATCATTGTTACTATATTACATGATTTTTCATGAAAATAAAACATAGTAGGACAGCTGACACAGAGTAAGAACTGAGTGTCAGCAAGTGATGCTAATTAAGCTGTCAACCCACATATTATGAAATGCATTAATCCACCCAACCTCAGTAATGGCTGAAATTTTCTACAGAGATTTAGGGGTGGCAATGTGCACAGAGAGGGAGGTTTGGGACTTGCGTTGCAGCAATAGGGTGGACAGCAAACACAATTTTCACATTTTATTTGGGGTAGTTTTCAGGGCGAAAGGGACGCCTAATACAGATTATTAGAAGCTAAGGCTTTTCCCACACATGATAGTCCCTCATTCCTCAATCAAAGTTGCTGCCTGCTTTCATAAATAAAATGAACAAATCATCAAATTGGGATTAAAAAGGAGAAAAGATTATGTATTATGTTTTTGAAAAGGAAGAAAGAAACCAGGAGAGAGATTTAATTAAAGGTTTTTTTAACATCCAGTATTCCTCCCTCAATGACTTAAAAAAAAATCTTGGACACAATTAAACACATTCACTGAAGAACAGTGTCCTTACAGGCTTCAGGAGAATGTAATCAACATAAAGGCTTCCCTCTACTCTATTAAATTACTTAAATGAAGGTGAATAATTCTTCAACTAAAGTAGATCTCATTGACTTTATCAAAAAGAATTACCTTCTCCAAACAGAAGCTTTGTATGGCTTGGGTTACTTTAGGATTATCTGGGTTAAAAATATCTGGATGATTAGCCAGAACAATATCCTCCATGAAAAACTGCCGCACTGTGTGAAGAGGAATTTTCTGCATATTCATCTTCCTCCCTTTAATACGCAGCAAACCAACGTGCCTGAAATGGAGAGAAATGAACACCGCGTCACAGTGTAAATTTCCTCAAGAAAACGTGCATGTGAAAGCTTCCATATTTCTTAGTTTCTACAAAATGTTTCTTCATAAAATAATACTCTTAAAAATAAATGTTTCTGCTAATTTAACCTTAATGTTATCATCACAGGAAAAGATGGTAGACATTTTCCTTCCCCAGAGTAAAATCAACTCATCCATTATTATTCCTGTCTGGTCAGTCTTATAAGGAAAGACAGACATAAGTATAATAAAATGATATCAGGACTATGATGGTAGCATATGTAGACTATAGTATTACATCTATATACCTATGTATATGTACATACATGTACACATATAGACAAAATGATTTTGCAGTGGACTCATGAAGAAAAAAAACCAATGAACATAGATTCTACTACCATATTCCTTAACCCTATTATAACAATCAGAACAAGTGATTCAAAGGATAAAGCCCATGATAAAAATTGAGTTTAATCACTGGTAACTACTTCTTAAAATCACATTATTGCCCCAAAAATGTTTTTAAAATGAGATACACGATATTGCACTTATAATCAGAAAATTTTCAATTAATTGGTTTTAGGAGAATTTTTTATAAATGAACTTTGTGAAATTTACTGAAATATAATAAAAATGTGCATCTTGAATTTGCCTAATGAGGAGCAAAATAACACCAACTGGATGCTCTCTTTTTGAAAATGGCTTAAAATCTGGAAAAACAATAAGACTACATAGGAGGATCAATTTTCAAAAATAAATCTATCATATAAATTACAATACTGCCAGTTAGCGGTAACCTTAACATAGGCCTTAAACCTATCAGATGATTAGTTATTATACCAAATATTTCTTAAAAATTGGCTCAAAATATATAACAATCACTCACTTCTTTACAGCTTCTCCTGGGGAAAGGGAAGTAACCACTGAGCTTCCCGGTTGTGAGATATAAAACAGCTGTTGTTCATTTTTGGTTGGAGCTATTTTACACTCATGTTCATGGCCCCAGATAACAAGATCAATGAAGTCATCCAAAAATTGTTCTGGAATGAAGTTAGTACTTCCATGTTTACTCCTGTATCAAGATTTTGAAAAATACAAATTTGATTAGAAAAATTTCATATTAATGAAGTCTACACAGATCTTTCTTTCTCCATTCACTAAAGATTTTATTGCATCCTTCTATGAACCAGAAAGTGTGCACAGGATTGGGAATGTAAAGATCATCAATACTAATTCCTGACCTTGAGAGCTTTACAAACTTATAGGACACAGACAAGTAGAAACCCTAAAAGAGAAAGCAGTCAATTCTACATTTGGAGGAAGAACATGAAAGGTTTTACATAGGAAGGATTTCCCCTTTGGTCAATCAGAAAAGCATGAACTCTATCAATAGTAGAAATCTATAAATCAGTCTAACTATACACTAGAGAAAACATACAGAAAATGAAAGTAAATTAAGTATAAATATGTCCAGTAATTTCTTAACATTATTTTTTTACTAATAAATATAATGGGAGTAAAACTGTCAATCTCACATAAATGCTAAGAGTTTTTAATATCAAATATTAAATAAGTGATTTGCAAACTATGGTCTTATAAATGTATCAGTTATTATTTAAAGATACATGAAATGCAAGGTGAGAGAAGACAAGAAGGAATAGTTTTCCCTAATATTAACTTACATCATTGGAGATTCAAGTAAAAGTGTTCACATACTTTAACCCCGAGCATTCATTTAATCCAACCCAATATTCTTTCATTCACCCAACAAATACTGTTACCCAAACACTGTCTACTTTATGTCAGATGTCCCAGGCTTCTCCACATATGGAAGACACAGCAGTGAACAAAGTCCTTGTTCCACTGTGGGAACAAGCAATACAGGTTGAGTCCCTAATCTGAAAATCCAAAATCTAAAATATTTTAAGTGCCAACATGGTACCACAAATGGTAAATTCCACACATAGATACTTCACACAAACTTTGTTTCATGCACAAAATTATTTTAAAACATGTATAAAATTAACTTAAGGCCACGTGTGTAAGATATATAAAAAATGTAAACAAATTTCATATTTAGACTTGGGTTCCATCCCCAACATATGTGCAAATATTCCAAAATCTTAAAACACTTCTGGTCCCAAGCATTTCAGATAAGGGATACTCAATGTGTAATACAATATGTATATGCGTGTGTGTATGTATGCACACGCATAACTTGTCAGTTAGTGATAGGTGCTATAAAGAAAAATAAAGGGAAAAGTGACATAGAAGTGGCATACTCCTCTCTACATATACAGGGTAGTCAGGAAAGTCCTCTCTGACTAGCGTCAAATGAGCACAGAACTGAAATGAAGCATCAATACGCAGAGAAAGGAAGTCCTAAGCAGTAGAAAAGCAGATGGTGCTGAAGTGGGAATGTGTTCAATGAATTCAAGGAACAGCAAGGAAAACAGAAGGGCTAAGTAGAATAAATGCAGAAAGACAGAAAATAAAATCAAAGAGTACACAGGCTTTTGCATCCAGGAAAGTTTTTATGTAAAAAACATAAATCTAAGGTATGAGATTATCACAACTACTAAAGAAAAGCAGAATAATTCCCAAATACAAAATGATGCCATTGTGCCCTGAGTGCTGGTTCTTTCCTGAAAGAAGGGAGGATGATGCTGGTAGGCTGACTGTAGTTTGTGACCTAGAAGTGATCAACAATATCCTTGTTGAAAGATTTTGCATGACCAAGTCATCTGCAGATTCAGATTCTTTCTTCTTTGAAACAAGAGAAAAAAACAGTTGATGTAGAGAAACAAATGGGAAACAAGGCAAAATGCAGAAGGCTCAAGATTCTTACTCAATCTGAGTTATTTTTTTTTCAAATAACTCTTACAAAAGCAGAAGCATCTTAAGAATGCACACGGTGACAAATGAATCTAACAGCATTACCAAAGAATCACATAACCACAGCGAATGGGGTGGGGAGAAAAGGAGCTAAGTTAGTTTGGAAAATTATGTTTCAATTAGATACAGAAAGGCCAAAGACTAAAATAACTTACATAAACATTGTAACCTAGTTGGGAAAGTTGTTTTGCACAGGGATATGAGTTAGCAATTTTGAAATTACTTTATAATTTCAAATTATACTAGAACTGGAAATATAATTAAACCAGGATTGAAAAAATAAGTAAATATATACATTTATAATATGATCCAGGCTTCTGTTAGACAAAGAAGTCACAAGTAAGGAAAGGGAGAAGACAAAAATGGACCTTGTAGGGCTGGATTAGAATCAGTCTGAACTTATCACTGGTCTTTTAAGCACATATATAGATGTGTATGTATGTATGGGTTACTATACACACATATATCTATTTCCATAACTCTGTTTATTCAGTGCTGAGCAAGTCCTGATAGCAGTAAGCACACCTACCACCCATTTGTGGGTTTCTGAATACCACTCTCCAACAAAAAGAATCACAGCACCTTGGAGAAATGGTTGATTCCAGGGCTAGGTAGGAAAATATCAGGTTGGTGCAAAAGTAATTACGATTTTTGCCATTATAAGAGCCAAGAGCCTTGAGCATCTTGAGGTACCAAAAAGCTAAGGTCATGCCCCCCAAACATGTGGGGAGACATTGAAAGGACACAGCAGCCAACATAAAAGAGAACGCAATGGTCAAAGCTGGAACAATCTGAGGAACAGTAGCAACTAAAAAACTGATAGTACTGGATCTTCAAGTCCATAATGACATAAATAAATAAGTAAATAGAGAAGAAGGGACAAATTTTCCTTACAGAGAATTCCATTAATAAATATAGAAAGAATGAAGGAAATCAAAACTTACAATTAAAATACCACAGTATTAATTATTGGAAATAAGATCACCCATGGATGCTAAAATTAATGGGTAAAAGTTTAAGGTGAAATGGGATATTTGCATAGTCTCAAAGTATTTTCCCAAAAATATTTATTAATTGAAAAGTAGAAAATGGAAACTTTACAGGAGAGACACCTGTTATACATCTCCTTAATCAAATGATGAGAGGGGCAATGAGAAAAATCAACATCATATGGTGACTACCCATTCCCCTTACTAATGCTGCCATTCTACCTTTCATTCTTGCTTAAATTCTTAGAATTACTTATGAGTTTTCCTTTTAACTCATCATCCCTACTTTGACATAGTACAAAAAAGTGGTAGACCTGGGAAGCTCTATGGAAGAGAAGGAACAAATCCCAGTGGTGCAAAGTTATATGAAGACCACGCATATCTGAACTCTGGCCTGCTCCTCCTTTGAAACTCACAGTTTATTCAAGAACTCACACATAAGACAACACAAGTTAGCCTCTTAAACCCTTTCTTTTACCGAGTATTTAACATAAGTCTGCATTCACTGAATGCACAGAGTAGCCTGCATTCAATAAATGTGTTCAATAAATATAGTTGGCCCTCTGTATTGGCAGATTCGTGGATTCAACCAACCAAAGACTGAAATATTTGGGAAAAAAACAATAAAAAATAACAATGAAAAATATAAATTTTTAAAGTAATATAGTATAACAACTATTTAAACAGTATTTACATTGTATCAGGTATTACAAGTAATCTAGAGATTATTTAAAGTACACAGGAGGATATATGTAGGTTATATGCAAATGCTATACCACTTTATTCAAGGGATTTCAGCATCCCAGGATTTTAGGTCCTGGACCCAACACCCCCCGTGGATACCAAGGGACAACTGTAATAAATTACATAGTCAGGCCCCAAATCCTCTGAGTTCTTCCCTTACAACTTCTCAGGTGTGTCCCTCCCATTTCTGCTTCATTGCCATCACCGTCACCACCTCATATTTTTACTGCAGTGATCAGATAATAAATCTTGCTTCTTCAAGTCTGTCTTCTTTTCAATCAATCCTATACCCTGCCAACAGATTAAACTTCTTAAAACTACTAACAAAAGAAAGGTAATCTAGCTATATTTGTATATTCTGGAAGAACACTTGCATATATGCAGCAGGAAACATGTATAAGAATGTTCATAACAGCAAGATTTATAAAAGCAAAAAACTCCTGTTCACTGACAGGAGGCAAAGCATAACTGTGCACATCAGTAAAAATAAATTACATTTCTAAGCATCAAAATGGATGAATCTCAGTAATGTAATGCTGAAAATAAGTTGGCTGTAAAATATATAGCATAATATGAGTATACATGTGATTAAACAGCAAAAAAAAAGCAATGAAATAATTAATTCAAAATTAATAATGCTTCCCTTTGGGATAAGGGGAAGCAGGTGGGATCAGGGAAAAGGAATGGGATAATGGAATGGATAATCCAACAAAAAGATTCTACCTTTTTGTTAAATTGAGGAGTATTCATGGTGTATGCCTCATCTGTATGTTGCAAATATTCTTGCAGGTATTAATATATACTAAAGACAATTTCAAAATGAAATCACACAAAGCAAATCTATATTTTGTCTGATCCTCCACTGACAACATTGAAAGATTAAGGGCATTTCACTGAAATAGGTGAGTTCAGAAACAGATCTGGGAAACCTCAGCACTTGGCTCAAACTTTTTCAGAGAAAACTTTTACCTGTTCTGATGAATCACAAATAAGTTAAACCAAGAGTTCTCATCTTCTTTTGGTCTCAACATTGTTACTTTTTTATTGACAAACATTCGATAGAGCCTTTCATCTGGAATGGATCCTGAAATGGACATTACATTATTTTTAAATTGTTTTCTTACTTTGGCTTAAAAAATGAATCTATTTTGCTTCTAAATTATGTCCTTCTCAAAGTATTTCACTTTACTGTTGGCAGATACATTTGAATTCTGGAATCATTTATAAATGGGTATGTTCCAGGTTCTTTTTTTTATCTTTTTTTGTTTTGTTTTTAATTGAGACAGGGTCTTGCTATGTTGTCTAGGCTGGTTTCAAACTCTTGGGTTCAAGCAATCTTCTCGCCTCAGCCTCCCAAAGTGCTGTGATTACAGGCATAAGCCACCATGCCTGGCTGTTCCAGGGTTTTGTTTTGTTTTTTTCAACAGAGTCTTGCTCTATTGCCCAGGCTGGAGTGCAGTGGTATGATCTTGGCTCACTGCAACCTCCACCTCCTGGGTTCAAGTGATTCTCGTGCCTCAGCCTCCTGAGTTGCTGGGATTGCAGCATGCACCACCACGTCTGGCTAATTTTTGCACTTTTAGTAGAGATGGGGTTTCGCCACGTTGGACAGGCTGGTCTTGAACTCCTGACCTTAAGTGATCCACCTGCCTTGGACTCCCAAAGTGCTGAAATCGCAGGCAGGTGCCACCATACCCAGCCTGTTCCAGGTTCTTGATAAACAGTAGTTAGTTGCATTAAAAAAAAATTTTCCATTTCAGGCATATATATGTTCAAAACCAGCAAAATGTAGAATAAAAATGTGAGTTTCCTATGCTTAAATTCTTATTAAAACTTCTAGTAATACTATTTTTCACCATCCCTTTGTTATAAATTATATATTCTTTTGATCTAACATATATATTATAACATGTGCAGAAATAAGTATTAAAAGGGATGATAAAAGTGTACTTAAAAACAATATTCTTATATTGTTTTAAATAAAATATATTGTGCTTTTTAAATAATTCAATGACTTTCAAACAATTCTCATATTCCATAAGTTCATCTTGATCTAGTGAAGGAAACTAACAAAAACAAGTCAACAAAATAGTTACAAACATTGAATATTATGAAAGGAGAAAAAGCCAGGATGCTAAGATGGAGAATTAACACCATCGAATTAAAAGGGTGGACAACACTGCTACTTTATATACAGATTAGAGAGGGTCTCAGAAGGAAAGCCAACAATGTAGAAGTCTAGGAGTTAGAAGTGGCCTAGCTCCCAAGGAGAATTCCACAGGAGTGGCCAATGGAATAAATGGCTAAGGTGGAATGCAGAACATGTAACTGGAGACAAAAAAGTCAAGGCACACAAAGCCCAAGGCATTAGAAGATTAATCTACTTCAGTGTTGAAACACTGAAAACACTGGCAAAATTGAAGGTGGGTAAGTAGTAAAAAGTCTGAGAGAAAAAGCAATGCAGTTTAGCCAGATGGCAGAAGCTTAAAGGGAACAGGGTGTTTGCAGGCAGACAAGGAAGAGGTGGGTGGAGCAAGGAGAACAGTGATTCCCACTTTTGTCCAAAAGCCCAGGGGTAAGAGAACTGCATGGGACACAGGAACCTCAGGGGTCAGCTGGGCTTCACTGAAGGTTAGAAAGTAGAGACAACATTCAGAGAAGAGATAGTAATGAGGAATCTGATAATTATAAAAAGAGTTCCTAGAGTTTATAATGAAGGGTTGGGGGACAGGGAGAGGTGCAGGGTAGAGACAGAGTCTAGTTAAGGAAGGTATAATAGAACAGGATAAGATAAAAGTTTGGGAGAAAATGGATGACTGGGGAGATGTGCTTCTGGTGGTGACTGAGGCATAATGAAATCTGTCCTTAGTGTGAATGGAGGAGGAAAGGCAATTTTCTGGAGATAGGATCCCTAATAACACTGCAGTGATTAAAACAACTGTTAATAGCTTTTTTTAGAAAAGTATATTTCACTTCCTGCTGTATCACTTGCTGAATCAGACATAATATCCAGATTTCACTTTTCTTATCTCTAAAATATAAATAAACATGATGCTTTTCTACTTGCCAGAGGTGTTATGAAAGCTGGACAAAATTATAAGCTAGCAGTATTGTACAGTGAAGCATTAGACCTTTCAAAGACTTCCAAGATATCAAAGTGCTAATTATTCTATAATTCTAACATTCAGGATTCTACATCTGACTCTTAAAAAAATCCCAAAATAATAAATAGTAATGAAAGACATTTTCTCACCAAAAATTTTTTACCAAAACCATCCATCATTTTTTATAGTCACCAATAAATAATAATAAGGTTTGCCCCATTTTTTCCAAACAGATACAAACTTATATCCAAAATTTTACTTCTCAATTGTTTGAAGAATCACACATGGACATAAAGAGTAAAATAAAACTGTCTTACCTAAACCATATAGCGCAATCTTTGTGCTTCCTTTTTGAAGCAAAACTGGACTAATGTCTATCTTCTCCACGGACATTGAACGTCCAAAGTGATTTACAAATCCAGCACAACTTAAAATGTCCAGGGCACAAAGTGCATCTGCCTACGTAAAATAATTTCAAAGAATGTTAGTGTGCATGTAAAAGTATCTACATGAATATCATATCACCTGTTAAAAGCATACTCCATATACTACTTACAAAAACATAGATGAGGACAGTGTTTTCTCAAAACAAAATTACAAAAGTAAAAGTATTTGCTACATTTTTTTGTACTACAAATCACCTACAGCAACTGGAATCACATGCCAAATGCAAGGTTAACATCTCACCAAAACTTAGGATGTCTTGGCCACAAAAAAATAAAAATCAGCCATGAGACAAAAGCTTTGTAATATTAAGCAAACCTCTTAAAGCCTGGGGAAAAAAGACCATAGCTCATCAGCGATTCATAATATTAATAACCAGATAAAATGAAAAAATACTTTGAGGGTAGGATCTCTAGTCTTATCTCCATATTAAACAGATAATCTAATTTAAGATTAGATTATCTAACAGATCATCTAAATTAAGATTAGATTAACGGATCATCTAAATTAAGATAATCTAATTTAGATTTAAAGATGTTGATGAAACAATCATTTCCTAAAAGTGAGATTTTATAAGACAGTTATAAAAACGCTGGCAAACTGTAAAGCGCTATACAAATGTTAGGTGTTCACTCCTACTCCTGGCTTCTTACTGTTAACATCAACACTAATGAAATAAAAGCATCGCTCATACACTAATTCTTATTCCAGATTTTTAAAAAAATCTAAAAAGCAGTATAAAAGTTTGTATGAATGTGAAAAGTCAACTTGACTTTTTAACTCAATTTGACTACTACACAGAGAAAAAGAGGAGGCATGCTCTCCACAGACAAACTAAACTGATCATTTCCAAAATTCCAACAAACCGTAAGAAAACAATAATTACCCCCGTGGGATCGTCATGATTGCCATGAATACTAAACACTGGAATTGAAATGTTGAGGTTGCCATCTTGATAGTTCACCCATGGAAATCTTAAAAAAAAAAAGTTATTTAAAATTTCTACAAGGGACAAAAGCTGTTTTCCCTAAGATTCTCCTCCAAAATATTAATGCAATCATAGGCAAACTGCATAATGTACATTGGCATATGATCACTAGCTTAGAGCTTTAAAAAATAAAATCGTAGGTGACAATTCATTTCAATTAGTTTGAAAATATCTCAAAGTACTACATTTTAAAGAAACCCCAACTATAATAAACAGTGCTTGCGGTATGTATGAGTAGTACATCTAATTAATGAAAAGTTAATAGGCCTTCAACATTTTAAAAACTTAGCATATGGTTTTTATTCATAGTGGGGGGAGGGAAGAAAACCCATATACTTTAGAATCCCAAAGAGGTAAATTAAAACTCCCAGCTCTATCAATTATTACCTGTGCAAATTAAAGTCTCCTGTCAGCCCCTGCCCCCAGCCATCCAGCTCCCCTTCTCAGAGGCAAACAATGTCAGCAATTCCTAGTGCATTTTTCAAAAGGATCCTATACCTATACACACAAACAGATTTTCTTCCTCCTTACATAAATGATACAAAAATACATCCTGCTTTTATTACTCAACATATTTTAGAAATCATTCCACATCAGTACATGAAGACCTTTCTTCTGCTCTGTCAGCCACACAGTACTCCATTACATGGATTACCACGATGTGTTTGAGCCGTTCCCTACCAATGGACATTTAGATTTTGTGCAGTCTTGTTTTATAAACAATGCTACAGTGAGTAATCTTGTACAAAGTAATCTTGTATGGAGTGATCTTGTACAAAGTAATCTTGTACAGTGAGTAATCTTGTTGCCCTTGTGAGTCAACCTGTAAAGGGATACCCGGAAGGGAACTGTTAAGTCAAAGAGTATGTGCATTTGTAATTTTGATAGGCACTGCCAATTTCCCACCATAGAGATTTACACATAATGCAATGGCAATGCACAAGAGGGACAGTTTCCCCCTACCTCACTAACATAGTCTATTATCCAGCTCTTAAATCTATGCTAGTAGATCTCAATGCTAGCAGTATGTTGGAATTATCTTGGGGATCTTTTAAGAAATGCCAATGCCCATGACATACTTAGAGAGACTCTAAAAGTCAGTTGGCCTGGAGACGGGGCATCCATATTTTTAAAGGTTCTTAGGTAACTGTACTGTGCACTCAGGATTGAGAGTCACAGACCTATGCCAACCTGATAGGAGAAAAATATTTCAGTATAGCTCTTTTTCTTATGAGTTAGATCAAACTTTTAAAAATACATTTAGGCCGGACTCGGTGGCTCACGCCTGTAATCCCAGCACTTTGGGAGGCCGAGGTGGGCAGATCACCTGAGGTCAGGAGTTCGAGATGAGCCTGGCCAACATGGTGAAACTCCGTCTCTATGAAAAACACAAAAATTAGCCGGGCATGGTGGCACACGCCTGTAGTCCCAGCTACTTGGCAGGCTGAGGCAGCATAAGTGCTTGAATCTGGGAGGCGGCGCTTGCAGTGAGCCGAGATCAAGCCACTGCACTCCAGCCTGGGTGACAAAGCGAGACTCTGTCTCAAAAAAAAAAAAAAAAAAAAAAAAGGTTAAATGTCATGTTATTTCCTTTTCTGTGAAGGATGTCCATCTTCTTTATTTCTTACTAACTCATGAATGTTATTGTCTTGAAAGAACTGCTTATTGGGGAATTCAGCCTTAATTTGCAATTGGTTGCAAATATTCCTCCTGATTGAACTCTGACTTCTGGCTTTGCTTCAGGCAGTTTTTGGCATACAGAAATTTATTTTTGCAAAGACAAACGTATGAATCTTTAAGGCTTCTGGATCTTGTATCATACTTAGAAGCCTTTCCAACATCTAGATTTTTAAAATATGTCTAACAGTTTCTCCTAGTAGTTTTACTGAATCCATTATTTCCCCTACATTATGAGCCAGTGACCTTCATCAAATACTAAATTCCTACATGTATTTGAGGCTATTTCTGGAGTTTCCATTCTCTTTCACTTACCTATCTACCAATTCATAAGCCATACCACATTTTCAATTATTGTAGCATTGTTATACTTCAAATCTAATTGGCTACTAACTCCTTAGTAGTCTTCTTTTTCGGGATTTCCCTATCTTTGTCTATTTTCTACATGAACTGTAAACTGGAAGATGAAATTATCCAAAATGTAACACAAAGGGGTAAAGTTATGGGCAATTCTTTTTTAACAGTATGATATATAAATGATATTCAGAAAGACAAGGGAAACAATATTTGAAAATATAATGAATAGGAATTTCCCCAAGTTGCTGAAAAACAATAATACTACACTAAATATATGATAAAGCCCACACGGGACAAAAAGAAGTAAATCCACAGCTAAGTAAATTGCAACATGTTAAGAACAATGAGAAAATCTTAATAGTTACCCGAGTATTGTCTTTATGCTAGTCACTAAGCATTTTTCTTATCACCTCAATCTTCTCAATTCTGTAAGACTGGCACATTTCTTACCCATGTCATGAATGACAGAACTAAGGCAGAGTAGTTAAGTGACTAACGTAGTTTTACAACTACTAAATGACAGAACCAGGATTTGAACTCCGACTGTTTTATACCGGAACCCACGCTCTTAATCACTATGCTAAACTTTCTAGCAACTCAACTCACAGTAGACTCCTCAACAGCAACGACAAAAAAGAGTTTACCACCCGCTGACACTCCATGAAAAAACTACTGAAAACTGTACTTCAGAAAGAAGGAAACTGAATCTACAGAAAAGAAATGAAATACAAGAAACGACAGTAAGCAAAGAAATAGGTAAACATGTATATAGGGTGGGGAAACAGTTTTCAAAACAGAATGCAGTTTAAAAATAAGATAAAAGAAAGAAAACACTAAAGTCAAAAAATGTCCCGCCTGGGTGCAGTGGCTCACGCCTATAATCCCAGCACTTTGGGAGGCCGAGGTGGGAGGATCACTTAAGGTCAGGAGTTCAAGACCAGCCTCACCAACCTGGTGAAACCCTATCTCTACTAAAAACACATAAAAAAACTAGCTGGGCATGGTGGTGCACACTTGTAGTCCCAGCTACTCAGGAGGCTGAGGCAGGAGAACTGCTTGAAGCTGGGAGATGGAGGTTGCAGTGAGCCAAGATCGTGCCTCTGCACTCCAGCTTGGGCGAGAGAGTGAGACTCCTTCTCAAAAAATAAAAAAGAAAAAATGTCTCGAGTTTTAGATTTGAATAGAAGGAGGGTAGAGACACTGATTACAATTTTTAAAAACAAGAATGAAGTATTATACAAATCTTTTAAAACTCAATTATATATGCAGCCAAACTATCAATCAAGGGGAAAGTAAACATATTTTCATGTAGACAAAATCTCAAAAAAAAATTTACCTACCAATATAAAGTCACACTTTAAAAAATAAATAAGAAATAAATATGGGCTAGGCATGGTGGCTCACAACAGCAATCACAGCACTTTGAGAAGCTAAGGCAGGAGGACTGCTTGGGCCCAGGACCAGCTGGGCAACATAGTGAGACCCCATCTCTACCAAAAATAATTTCTTAAAAATTAGCTGGGTGTGGTGGCTGATATGGTTTGGCTCTGTGTCCCCACCCAAATCTCATCTTGTAGCTCCCATAATTACCATGTGTTGTGGGAGGGGCCTCGTGGGAGATAACTGAATCATGGGGGCAGGCCTTTCCTGTGCTGTTCTGGTGATAGTGAATAAGTCTAAAGAAATCTGATGGTTTTAAAAATGGGAGTTTCCCAGCACAACCTCTCTCTATGCCTGGCACCATCCATATAAGACATGACTTGCTCCTCCTGCTTTCAGTCATGATTGTGAGGCCTCCCCAGCCATGTGGAACTGTAAGTCCATTAAACCTCTTTCTTTTGTGAATTGCCCAGTCTTGGATATGTCTTTATCAGCAGCATGAAAATGGACTAATACAGTGGCACATGCCTATGGTCCCAGCTACTTGGGAGGCTGAGGCAGGAAGATAGCTTGAACCCAGGAGGTTGAGGCTGCAGTGAGCTATGATCATGCCACTGCACTGCAGCCTGGGCAAGACAGCCAGACCCTGTCTCAAAAGCAAAATTTAAATAAATAAATAAATAAATAAACATGAGTATGTCTATTCTCATGGGTTAGTATGTACAAATATTTTTCTTAGCTCTGTCCACTGAGAGCCTAGAAGCAACAATACAATAGTAATGTGCACATCTAACATCCAGATCTTGGTTTCCAAATACCATTCTCCAAAAGGAACCAGGGCTCCTTGAAGAAATGGTTGAGTATGAAACTAAGAAAGAGAAAGTACAAAATCAGCCTGGAACATCCTACAGTGAAAAAAAATCAGAAGAAAGGTGAGATATGGGGGTACATCAAAAGGATACAGGAGCCAATCTCAAAAAGAGCCCAATGGCTAAAGCTGGAACAATTTAAGACACAAGTAAATTATGATAGTATTAAATTATAACCCAAAGAAAAAAAAATGTCTGTATCTACTGATACAGACAATTGAATAAACTGATACAGACAACTGAATAAACTGATATAGAAAATTGAATAAACAAATGTGGGACAAGGGGCAAATCTTCCTTACAAAAGAATCCCAATTAATACATGTAGAAAGAATATAGGAAATAGAAAATCACAATTAGAATATCACAGTTATAACTGTTGTAGGTAAGATCCACTGATGAATCTAAAATTAATGAACAAATTTAAGGAGGAATAGAAAAGTCGCACAGTCTCAAAATATCTCCCCTAAAATACTTATTAATTACTTTGGTGGTTTTATGTCCATCAGAAGTGGAAACTTAACTCCCCTCCCTTTGAGAGTAAGATGGACTCAGAGACTCAATTCTAACCAACAGCATATGGAAAGGAAAAAATAATGACTTTACACTGGAGAAACCTGGCAGAGACCGGCTTAACTAAGTGATCAAGGTTAAAATCACCAGTGATAAATCAGGTTGATGTCATGCACCTCCTGATGTGATGTGACTGAAAGGGTCACTTCTTGAATATTCTCCCCCGAAACCTGTAATCCCAATCTAATCATAGAAAGCAAGAGAAAAACCCAAATTGAGGGACAGTCTACAAAATACCTGACCTCTTTATAAGTATCAAGGTCACGAAAGACAACAGAAAACCTGACACGGGCTAAAGAAACTAAGCAAACTTTTCTACTAAATGCAATGTGAGATCCTGTACAATGTTTAAGACATGATGGGCCGGAAGTGGTGGCTCACGTCTGTAATTCCAGCACTTTGGGAGACCAAGGCAGGTGGATTACCTGAGGTCTGGAGTTCGAGACCAGCCTGGCCAACATGGCAAAAACCCCATCTCTATTAAAAACACAAAAATTTGCCAGGTGTGGTGATGGGCGCCTGTAATCCCAGCTACTCAGGAGGCTGGGGCAGGGAGAATTGCTTGAACCCAGGAGGCGGAGGTTGCAGTGAGCCAAGATCATGCCACTGCACTCCAGCCTGGGCAACAGAGTGAGACCCCATCTCAAAAAAAAAAAAAAAAAAAGAAAAAGAAAAAACACATGATATTTTTATAATACAGGGATTGACAAATATCATTAAGTAGTCCCAAAGGCACAAATGGAAAAAAAGAAAAAACAATAGATTTAACTACATAAAAATTAAGTATTTCTGTCAACAAGAGTCCATAAACAAAGTCAAAAGACAAGCCACAAGCCACTAATTGGGAAAAAATATATGTATCACAAAGGTTTACTAACTAGAATATATAAGTAACTTCTGCAATTCAGGTAGAAAAACAAACAAACAAACAAATCTCAGTTTTCAAAATAGGCAGATGATATGAACAGGAGAGGATACCAAAATGTACAATAACCTGAGAAGATATTCAGTCCCAACTTTTTTTTTTTTTTTTTTGAGATGGAGTCTTGCTCTATCACCTAGGCTGGAGTGCAGTGGCACAATCTCGGCTCACTGCAACCTCTGCTTCTGGGACTCAAGTAATCCTCCCACCTCAGCTTCCCGAGTAGCTGGGTCAGTCCCACTATCAATTAGGAAAATATAAATTAATATGACGATGTACAAAAAATTCAAAGAATATATTTACTAAGAAAATAGCTTATATGGAAAGCAAAATGGTTAACTGTGTGTTTGTGCGTCTTATACAGAAAATACCATACACAAGTAATCATTCACTCAAGTAAATAAATATACTTACTTACTAAAACCAAAGTTGACTGACTGATCACTGAGAATTTCAAACTGGACAGGCCTATCACCCATACAATATTTTCTTAATAACTCGAGGCAGGTGTGTAACGTTTTCCTTGAGGGCTTATTTTCATGAAAAAGATCACCGCCTAACAAAATAAAATCCACCTGATCAACAGAAAAAGGTGTTAAAATTAGTATGTTTTACAGGTAACATTTTTATAAACTGCAGATGAAAGAGATTAAAAAAACAAAAGACACTATTATGTATGGCAATTTAAAAACTTACATTTTATTTATTCAAAGGGACTTTCAAACTGGTAATTAATCTGACTCTAATTTAGCTGACTAAGCTATCTTAAAAAAAAGCCATCTTCCAATTACACCAAGTCTCTGATTCAAGCTACACAAGGTGATCATGTTTTTTCTATTATTCGAATCAAACATAAACTCAGCACTTTAACAGAATGTATGGAAGAGATACCAAATTCAATCCAAATCATTCATTTAATTCATTCAGCATTTATTTAGAATTCCTACAGGTTCCAGAAGCTAAAAAAATAGCAATCTACAAAACAGATTATATCCCTGCCCTCATTAAATACTGACTCTATGCAAGACCCTCTGCTGAGTCCTGAGGATACAATGATGAATAAAATATCATCCCTATCCTAAATATATCCAAACTCTAATGGAAGAGGCAAACTGTTATACATCTAAACATAAGTCAAACTCTGGGGTGTACTAGAATGGACACGTAAGCAACCAGCAGCAGAGATGACACTACGACGAATTTGAACTCAAGGCAGGACAATTCGCCTGCGGACACAAAGTCTAGAAGGGATGAACTAACATGATGGCATGTTAGTTGCGCTAGGAAAGATAAATGATTTTGAGGAAGACATTCTAGGAATAACTTCAGTGAAGGAGTGAAGGAGGGAAATCATACAGAAAAAGTCTAACACAGGCTTTTAAGACATATACGATGCACCTAAAGAAACTTAAGTGCTTAATCATACAAAAGAACACAAGGTATAGATCACTGTGCGTATGGTAGTTAGGGTAACTTTAATAAAAATGTGAGATTTAAGCTAGGCCTTCCAGAATGAACACTATTTGAGTAAAAGGAAGAAAATGATCACAATCAAAGGCATGGAAGAAACAAAACAAAAACAACAAACCAAATGAAAAATATACTGGGGCGAAAAGAAGTTGTTGCTTAATGGGTGTCATTTTTGCAAGATGAGAATAATTCTGGAGATTGGTTGCACAGCAATATGAACATATTTAACACTACTGTACTGTACACTTGAAAATGGTTAACAAGGGAAATTTTATGTTGTGTATTTAATATATTTTGCCATCATTTGAACATTAAAAAAAATTTTTTTAAACTGGCTGGCGGTGACTCTAGGAAATATTGAAAAGAACACGACTCACTTCTGTGGTATTCTTGCCAAAAGTGCAGAATCTGAACCTAATCATGAGGAAATACTACATACAGTCAATTTGAGGAAGATTCTATAAAATTACTGGCCTCTGTACTCTTCAAAATATCAGGGTCATGAAAAACAAAGGCAAGGCAGATTCAGGAAAATGTACCAGATTAAAGGAGACAAAGAGACATGGCAACTAAATACAATATGTAAACCTGGACTGGGTCCTGGATGCCACCAACCAGCCTCCAAAGAGCTATAACAGACATTATAGGAACAATTGGCAACATCTTAACATTATACAATAGCACTGAATCAATACTACTTTCCTGGTTTTCCATGATTATACATGCAGTTTACTCTCAAATGGTTGAGGGAAAAAAATCATGTGTATTTGTAAAGAGAGGATAAAGCAAATGTGACAAAATGTTAGAAAACCTGGGTGACAGGTAAGGCATTCTATGCACCATTCTTGCCAACTTTTCTGTGAGACTGACATTGCTTCAAAATAAAAAATTTTTTTAAAAAAAGACTCTAAGAATCTAGGGAACAGAACTAAGACTGGTTAGTGGGCATGGGCCAACATAGTAAGAGACTTAAAAGTCAGGAAGAACTTAGACTTCAATAAGAAGAAATACTAACTACAAATCAAGAAAACGAGTAAACATAATACGCATCTAGAAGTCCCTAGGGGTTATGGGGGCTGGAACAGTTAAGATTAAGGAATGCAGGGAAGGGAAACAGTGGAAGCAGAGGTGAAGGAAAGGGCAAAGTAGAAGTAAGTAGCTGACTCTCAGGAGAAGATTCTGTTTTAGGGCTCAAGAGTTAAAAAAGAAAGAGCACATGCAGGATTCTCCAGCAGGAAACAGACCTTTGGCCACAAGTTTTTGTGCCTTCAGGGAAGGAAAAATTCACCTTACATTCTATTATTGAAAAGTCAAAAAAGAACAGATGCTGGTGAAATTACGGAGAAAAAGGAATACTTATACAATGCTGGTGGGGGTGTAAACTGGTTCAACCATTGTGGAAAGCAGTGTGACGATTCCTCAAAGAGCTAAAAATGGAACTACCATTCCACCCAGCAATTCCATTACTTGGTATATACCCAAAGGAATATAAATCCTTCTACCATAAAGACACAGCACACATATGTTCACTGCAGTACTATTCACAATAGCAAAACATGGAATCAACCTAAATCTCATCAATGGTAGACGGGATAAAGAAAATGTGGTACATATAAACCATGGAATACTATGCAGCCATTAAAAAGAACCAGGTCATGTCCTTTGCAGGGACATGGATAGAGCTGGAGGCCATCATCCTTAGCAAACTAATGGAGGAATAGAAAATCAAATACCACTTCTCCCTTATAAGTGGAAGCTAAATGATGAGAACACATGGACACAAAGAGGAGAACAACAGACACTAGGACATACCAGAGGGCAGATGACAGGAGGAGGGAGAGGATGAGGAAAAATAATGAATGGGTACTAGGATTAATACCTGGGTGGCAAAATAATCTACACAACAAACCCCTGTCATAAAAGTTTACCTATATAACAAACCTGCACATGTACCCCTGAACCTAAAATGAAAGAATCCAGCCATTGCCTCACTTAATTAAGAAACTTAAAATATATATACCCACTGCTTTCTGATTCTTTCTAAGCACTAAGATATAGCATGAACAAACAAAAGATTTTCACTCTCATGGAGTTTTCCTTCTAGTGAAGACAACAGATAAAAAATAAGTAAATAATTCAATAAATTATTTCGGATAGTGGTATTAAAAATACGCTATGAAAAAAATAAAGCAGAGAAATGTGATAAAAGAGTGCTTGAAAGTATCAGGGAAGACGTCTCCAAAAATGTAAGACTTGAACTCTCAGAAGTAGGCCCCGCCAAGATCAATGTGCTCCAAGCAGAAAGAACTAGATATGTAAGGGCCTCAGAGTAGAACGTGCCGGTGTGGATGTAGCACTGTAAATCAGGCAGAGAGTAGTAGGAGATGAAGTTTCATGGCAGGGGCAAAGATCGAGTCGAACCTTGTAGTTTGAATTTTATACTAGATTCAATGGAATGACACTTGGAAAATTTTAGGCAACAGAGTGCCATGATCTGATTTATTATTTTAAAAGTTCACTTTGGCTGCTATGCTGAATAGATGTATGCTGAGTAGATGCAGCAAAAAAGAATGGAAGCAGAAAGATGGAAGGGGACCTCCTGCAGGCCATGTGAAACGTGATCAAGCTTTGGACTAAGTTTATTAGCGTGAAGAGAGTAGTAGAGAGGCACCATATATATTTGGGAGGAAGAAATAAGGACCTAGCAGATAAACTGAAGAGAACTCTGCAGAAAAGTCAAGATTGGAGGTGTTAATTTGCAAGTCAACTTTTATGTTTATTCTCCAACTCTCTTCTGGGCTGACGTGTTAACTGCCTGCTGAAATTTTTCCCTGATTGTCCCATGGTAGTCTCCAACTCTAAATGTCTAAATCAGAAATTGTCACCTTCCCACATAAAGAAGTACCTCTTTCCTATCTACCTATTTCTATTTTTGGTACAACTATTCACCCAAACTCCACACATTTCAGAGTCACTGTCATCCCCTTTGCCCTTATCCCCACACCCTACAACTAACCAAAGTACACGAATCCTCTTTTTGCAGTATCTCTTGCATTCACTTCCTCTTTCCCATCCCTAAGGTCAACACTTCAAAAAACTGGTCTCTAATTCATGGTATTATACTCTGCTGCCAGAAGACTTTCTACTGCACTGGGTACAAATTTCTCAATCTGATATTTGAAGTCCTCATTAATGTAGCTCAAATCTTTACTTTTAGTCTCTCAGCATGCTTGCTAACTATGACCTGCTGGTGAGCCAAATTGACTACAGGGCCCCTAACATACCTTATACTGTCTTACCTGTGTCTTCACTCCTGCTTCACATGGATGTACATTCTCTATGCTCCCCACTGGCCAAAACTCTACCCTTCCCCCAAAGCCCAAGTTAAACACAACCTTTTTCATTAAGCTCATCTTGCTATTTGTTTTTTTTTTTTTTTTGAGATGGAGTCTTGCTCTGTTCCCTGGGCTGGAGTGCAGTGATGTGATCTCGGCTCACTGCAACCTCTGCTCCCAGGTTCACGCGATTCTCCTGCCTCAGCCTCCCAGGTAGCTGGCACTACAGGCGCTCACCACCACGCCCGGCTAATTTTTTTTGTATTTTTAGTAGAGATGGGGTTTCACCATGTTAGCCAAGATGGTCTCGATCTCCTGACCTCGTGTTCCGCCCGCCTCGGCCTCCCAAAGTGCTGGGATTACAGGCATGAGCCACCGTGCCCAGCCCTCATCTTGCTATAATCTAAATGTGATCTTTTCTGCCTCTAAACTCACAGGAAATGCTACTTAGAATTTCCTTAGGGCTCCTATCACATACAACCTTGCATCTGAGGATTGTGGATATATGTCTTTCACACTAGTTTTCTTCTATGTCCACTGAAAGCAGAAGTTTTGACAGTCACCTTACATTTCAAGTAGACACTGCCACAGGATCCTGCATTCAGTAAACACCCCAAAAAATTTGTAAAATTTAACAGACTATCTACAAAAGTAGCTCCTACTTGAATTTAAGACACAAAGCACACAAAATCAACTTTGAGCTTTTAGTATATTGATACTCAAGCAGGCAAGGTAAGCACCTGAGCTTATAAAACAAATCTGTAATTTTAGAAGGAAAAATAATTTGTTGACCAAGGGAATACGGTAGAAAGTGCACAAATATAAACCACACTCACTTCATTTCCCTGGGCAAGTCTTAAAATTTCATCGAGGGTTACAAACGTATCGTTTCCTCTGACTGCATCTTTCTCCATAAATCCAAGATGAATATCTGTTGCAACTAAGATTTTAAATGTGTTTTCATCATCACTATATTAAGAAAGAAAAAACATTTAATATATTAATAATTCATTAAAAGGATATTCAAACAAATTGAGACTGAAACTTATAAAATAAATAATAACAGTTATGGAGTAAAATCTTTTTTTCAGCCTTAGAGTTCATCTGAAAATCTGAAGTATTCAACATATATTAACATTAGTTTTCCTAACCACTAGTTCAATATAGAACAAATGTACATAAATCTTTACAAGGTTCTATAACTGCTTCAAAAATTTACAACCTTGTTATACCGACTTTTACAAACTCATGTAACCCATGCCCGAAAGTTTGCTTGTTTTCCTCGTCTTAGAAAACCAAAGAGGTTTTGACACCTATATCTAAACTTGTTATTTACCTGACTTTGTACTCTTCCAAGAAAATCAAAGTTAATTTTAAAAGCCTTCCTCTAAATTTATAAGTCAATTTTATACTAATACGCTAATAACTTACATTCAGGCCCCTGAAGACACTTGCTTGACTCTACTCTCTACAGAGTTAGATTTCATTAAAAAAGTTGGCCAAGTAACAAAACAGAATTGTTTCAATTTGAATTTGGTAATATTCAAAGCTACTTTAATGTGAAGTAGCAATGTAATAGTTATTACATTGCTAGTTATTACATTGCTACTTACACTAAAGTTACACTAAACTTTAATTGCATAAAATACTTTTATTTCTATGATCTCATCTCAACCCTCATAGATGAAGAGTCAGGCATTATTGTCTCTGACAAATGAGAAGGCTAAACCCAGAGAAATTAACTGTTTTATCACATAACTAGTGACAGAAACGGGACTAAAACCCATCATGAAAACTCAGGCTATTTTTAATAAACCACAATGAATTTTTTTAAAAAATCTCTGCATATATCTCCAAAATTCAAATCTTTACAAATAAGAGATATTTCCAGAAACGATTCGTCTTCAAAAACTTCAAAAATGATATGCACACAGTTCTGACAGCTATCTCCAAAAAGGTAGGTCAGAATACTTTTCAAATCACAATACTACATGTTTCTGTAGCAATTTATGAAGTATTTTCACATGAATTCTCTCATTTAAGCCTCAAAATTAATCTGAGAAAGGTATAATTATTCCAGTTTTACAAATGGCAAAATTGAGGCAAGGCTCAGAGAATTGCTGACTGGCCCAAGATCACACAGCTAGTAGCGTCCAAGGACTTGAAACTAGGATAAAAGACTACAAGTTTAAAGTCTTTCCTACATAACTTTTTTTTATGATCTCGGCTCACTGCAAACTCCACCTCTTGGGTTCAGGTGATTCTCCTGCCTCGGTCTCCTGAGTAGCTGGGATTACAGGCATGCGCCACCGTGCCTGGCTAATTTTGTATTTTTAGTAGAGACAGGGTTTCATCATGTTGGTCAGGCTGGTCTCGAACTCCCGACCTCAGATGATCCCGCCAGCCTCAGCCTCCCAAAGTGCCCATAACTTTTATAGTCCTTTTATTTATTCCCATTTCATTCAAATTCATTTCCAGCTTATTTAATACTAGAGGATTTACTCTAAAAATCTTAAACAGAACTGCATTGACTAATAAGAATTTGTCAGGAAAATTGAATAACTTCAATAATTTAAGACAAAGCCTAAGAACATAAACTTAAAACTATATCAATAGATCAAATTACAGCAAGACTCCAATCTATCGCTGCATATTAGTTTCTAAACAGATAAATATTAAAAACATTCCAAATATCCTTTTTGATGACTAGTATTTCTGTTCATAAGCAGGTTCTTTATTTACTGCTTATTAAATAAGTTTTATTTTATTGTGATCACAGTTGACGAGCTTTAGAAACCCAAAATAACAAGGGATTCCAGAAGTATGGTGCTTACAGAGCATCTGCAGTACTCATTTTTAAGGTCAGTCAAGCTCCTCTGGGACCAGGTTCTTCTCCAAGAACCCCTCGGTACTGTACTCAAATGTCAGAAAATGCACTCGATTCCAAATTCTAGAAATTCTAAAAACAAAATTACATTATAAAACACATTTTTTAAAAAGCCTGCACGTATTTAACCAACATGATTTACGCTGCACAAGGTACAGACGTCTTAAGCAGACTGGCAAATCTAGAAGTCTCATTTTCATCTAAACACCCATTATACTTTAATTTTTTTAATGAACTAAGCATAGAAATAATACATCTCCAGTGCCATCCTAATTTCACCAGGATGATTAAACTCCTATTTTCCTTTCCCGTGCTCTTATGGGAAATTAATGTATGCTAAACAAATGGGCAAAAAGGATCACATATGGTTGTGGTTCAACACACAAACAACTCTAGATGTGCAGATATTTTTAAGTTGCAGGCATAGGTTCCTCTGGAGAACGGAGGCAATCCTGTATTTCCTGCTCAAACACACGATTTTTTTTTTTTTTTTTTTAAAGGACCTGGCTAGTTTGGAAAAGGGAAGGGACCCGCGTTTAAAGCGAGTGCAAAAAACAAACACGTGGTCTGCGGAGGAACATCTTTAGGCACCAGCAGGATGACTGAAAACAGCCAGGTTTGGGGAAGAGTGGCTGCCACCGCGAGACAACCCCCACCACATCTGGAGCTCCAGATTCCGTCGGGATTCCAAGCCTCAACACGCCCTCACCGCCCGGCGCCTGGAAATCAGAACGCAGAGCCCGCCAAGACCCCTCCCCGGCCCACTCGGCCCGTTCTTTCCGAGGTTCCAGTTAACTCTGGGCTTCAGCCTGGGAACCTGCAGAAACAGGAGACGAATGCGATTCCTAAATTACCCCACTCCTGGACTCTTCAAAGCCCCACAATAGGGACCTGAGGCTGTCTTCTTTCCAGGAAGAAAGGGCAGGATCCGTGAGAAGAAAACAACACGGTCCAAACTTCCCTCTGAGAACCCACAGGGCCGTAAACCTGAATTCCGCGGGAGAGAACGGCGTCCGTTTCTCTCGCGACACTTCATGGGAAACGTAGACGCTTCAAGTCCAGTTCGGTTCTCATTGGCTATCGCACGCCGTGAAGGGGCGGGGAAAGTAGCGGCGAGGCCCCGCCCTCACGCAGGAGCCAATCTTGAGCTGCCGAGGAGACAAACCCGGAAGTGAGATGCAAGGCGGCGATTTTCCCTTCTGTCAGGTGGGTAGTTACTCCCTGTCCCGGACCGCGCTTTCTGGTGGACCCGCGCCATCTAAGAACTCCTGAGCCAGTGCGGGTGGGTAGCCTGTGGACACAGGCCGAGCCCTGCAGGTCAGGCCGCGTCCTGGTCCCCAGGTAGGGCTGAAGCCGCTTCTCCGCTATTGGCTATTTAGAAGGCCTCAGGCGGAGCTCGCGGGCCTGTGAGTTCCCGGCCCGTGGCAGAGTGTCGAAGCTGGATCCCCTCTCCCTCCCTCCCACTCGCCAGACTCTCTACAGGTGTCACCCATAGGGCCTTGAGTTCAGCACAGCTGCATTGCTTTGTGCTGATAACAGTAAGATGTATAGTGCAGCGAAAAATAATGTGGAACTTTTGAATTAGAACGTCTGCCCTTTCAGTTCCACTGAAGGGTCCTTGATCTAGGGCAAGTTGTTTTATCTATCTGAACCTCCTTCATCTGTAAGGTTTATACTCCCCCCACCCCCATCACTGAGTTGTTTGAATATCAGGAATATCATCATCAAGTAATCAGTTTTGTTTTTAACTGTGAATCGGGTAGATGCGCCTAGGTTTGGCTTTTTAAACTAAATATACCAGTAAAATTTTATATATAATTTGTTGTATCTGAATCTGTAAACTCAAAATTTATATAAAGGGAGTTTTTATTAAAAGGAAAAGCATGTTGAGGAAGAGGATAAGATCTGTGGTATAAGGTTACTATATTTGATATAGTTACAAGTGAACTTTTATTTTTTAGCCTCTGTTAAGTGTTTAATGAATTGATGTATGGTCACTTTTGTGTTGCAAGGTTCAGGAATTAGTTTGAGAATCAAAGAAAAAGTGGAAGCTCCAGGAGAATTAATAAAATACAAAGCGATTCTGATTGGGTGTCTCTGATTCCAAGGGTAACTGAAAAGCCGGATTGACCTTAGGAACACTTTAGTAAAATTCTTACATTTTACAATAAAGTAACAGGTCCAGAAAAGTTACTGGATGTGAGTAATAGATTTAAACTTGAGTTTAGTGCTATTGCCACTAGTAATAAAATTTAATACCACATTAAGATTGTATACTGTTAAACTTGTGAGATTAGGTACCAGAAATCAGTATCTTGGGGGTATGCCTAACTCTGGAACTTCTCAGAATCCATTCCAGGCAAAATCAAGCGACAAGACTTTAATTAAATATAATGCTACACATACTTAATGCCTTCTATAGACAAGTAGGAGATATAAATATAAGTTAAATGTGGTCATTATCTTTAAACTTATAATCTTTTAAGGGGCAAAAACAAGAACAAAGTTAGTGGTGAAATACAATGTAGCACCAAAAAAAGTAGAAAGCAGAAAGTGATCTAAATGAGAGGATCAAGAAAGAATGGAAGAGATAACATCTGAGAAGAGCCTTGAAAGACTGATAAGATTTCGACAAATAGAGTTGGGAGGCTGGGAACTGGTATTTTTAAACTATCTATTGGTTATTCTCCTTTTCTGTAATTGATTAAGGTTTATATGCTGTGTAACTCTTTAAGCTGATACTGGTTTATAAATTAATATGACGGCTTAACAGAATAAACATCAGTTCCTTCAGGAAGCCTTCTTTAATCCCTTAGAACTAGGGGAATTATGAACTTCCTGTATACTCATGGTTTCTAGATAAAGTCTTGTAGTAGTACTTACCATGTTGTCTTTGCCAGTCACATGACGTCTTTGCCAGTCACCTACACTAGAGTAAGCTTCCTGAGGATCTTGCTCATTATTGAATCCCAGTACCCAGAAATTGACACATACCAGACATTCTATTCATATTAGTTGAATGAAGGAATGAATGACAGCCAAAATTCAGTTGAAAACAAGGACCCAACTAAGAACTATAGTTGCCTATCAATATATAGGACTACTTTTTAAAGCAGTGAATTTTCCTAGGCCTGAAATTATCAAAGTAGACATAGGATAATTAGTGTAGATGTTGTGATAAAGATATCTGCTCCAATGAGAGATTGGGACAGATGTCCTTTTGGGGGCTAACATCTTCAAGAATCCCTGATTCTTCCAAGTAGTTTTTTTAGGAATTAGAAGTTTTTATTTCTGCTCTATATTATCTGTGTGTCTAGTTTATAAAAATATTGAATGCACCTTCTTCACTGTATTAGTTATACTTCAAAACCTTCAAGCATTCATCACTCTTAGCATAATACCATCATACCTAAACCAGTAGATTAAAAATAATAGTTATGGCCGGGGGCGGTGGCTCAAGCCTGTAATCCCAGCACTTTGGGAGGCCGAGACGGGCGGATCACGAGGTCAGGAGATCAAGACCATCCTGGCTAACACGGTGAAACCCTGTCTCTACTAAAAAATACAAAAAACTAGCCGGGCGAGGTGGCGGGCGCCTGTAGTCCGGGCTACTCGGGAGGCTGAGGCAGGAGAATGGCGTGAACCCGGGGGGCGGAGCTTGCAGTGAGCTGAGATCCGGCCACTGCAGTCCAGCCTGGGCAACAGAGTGAGACTCCGTCTCAAAAAAATATATATATAATATAATAATAATAATAGTTATATAATAATATAGTTGACTTAGAAGAAAACAACGAAAGTAAGAAGCGTTAGACCACTATTAGATCATCTGTGATCTTTAGTGGTCTAACGCTTCTTTCTTTCGTTGTTTTCTGTCAGCACCAGTATTTAGTGTATGTAAGGAATACCGTAAGAAAAACAAGAGTTTACACAGGGTTTAATTGTATATGTTTGCGAGACTTATCTATGCAGTTGATAAAGCCTGAATTATTGTTTTACTAATAACTTTTGTATTTGTGTTTTCAGGTCTTGATGAATAAAGCAGTCATAATTTATCTCTAGGAAGATTATACCCTGGCATTTGAAATGCTTTTTATTTAGAATAGTAGTAAAAATGGAAAAAGAAAAAGGAAATGATGATGGAATACCAGACCAAGAGAATTCCTTGGATTTTTCTGAACACTTTAACCAACTTGAATTGTTGGAAACACATGGACACCTTATTCCTACTGGTACTCAAAGTCTTTGGGTAGGCAATTCTGATGAAGATGAGGAGCAAGATGACAAAAATGAAGAGTGGTATCGATTGCAAGAAAAAAAAATGGAAAAAGACCCAAGCAAATTGCTTCTTTGGGCTGCTGAAAAAAATCGGGTAAAAAAAAAAGATTACAGAAGGAACTGTGACAGTAGGAATAGCACTGGGTTCAAGCCAGAAGGCCTGCCTTTACTGTTATGGCCGTCATACCTATCTCTTGATTGTGAGGACCAAATGAGACAATGTACATGAAAGCACATATTAAGCTGCAAAGTGTCATGCTAGGTATTATTTGGGGGTTTAAGGATAATTATCTAGAAAGATAGCAAGCAATCATCTATATTTTAAAATCATTTATATAAAGTCATTAGGATCATTTAGGAAAGAGGATGGAAACTAACATTTATTAAATACTAACTATACCAGGTACCTTATTACATTATTTAATCCTCATGTATCTCTATAAGTAATACTCTTCTCTTTTATAGAGTAAGAAATTGAGATTCAGGAATATTAATTTGCCCAGGATCATCCAAGTGGAATGAACATCAAAAGCCTATTCCCTCTGCTTGGCCACTTCCACCTAATTTTACTAAGTTTCCCCATGTCTGTTTTAGTAAACTAATAACTAAAAGGGTCTTGCATTTTTAAATAGCTTTTTAACCCAAGAGCATGCCACATTTAACCAGAGGCCCATAGAACAAACTAAAAATTACAACCTAAAAGGATGTTTCTAAGGTTGTATTGAGAAGGAATTGAGCTCTTAAATCCCTAGAATTCCCTATTAATACTTTATTCTTTTGTTAAAAGTTTTATTTTTAAAAGTTTCATACAGTGTATATATTGGTGTGATAATCCAATAGAAAAATCAAGCAGTTATGTTTTCTTCACAGATAACATATAAAATATTAAATACAATTAAAACCTATGATATTCATTGGACTGAAGCTTTTATGCAATGAACCTTAGCTGGACCAGGAGTAAGGGTATGGTTTGATATTCAGAGAATCTCATTCTTAGAAGCAACAAAGTATAGTTAACACTAACTTGTTCATTCTCACACCAGTAGTCCTCTCCTCCCAAAAAAGAGATCTTAAATTATTTTCATTTTAAAGTCATCTGCTAACAAGTTTTTATTCAACCTAATTAAATCTAACACCACAAGAAAATTTTGTTTTGGTTATTGTTTTGGTTTGAGTTGAGTTGAAAGATTTCCATTTTTCTTCTCAGCTGACTACAGTGCGGAGACTACTTTCTGAAAAGGCCACTCATGTGAACACTAGGGATGAAGATGAGTATACCCCTCTTCATCGCGCAGCCTACAGTGGACACTTAGATATTGTCCGGGAGCTCATTGCACAGGGGGCAGACGTTCATGCAGTGACTGTGGATGGCTGGACGCCCCTGCACAGTGCTTGTAAGTGGAATAATACCAGAGTGGCTTCTTTCTTACTGCAGCATGATGCAGATATCAATGCCCAAACAAAAGGCCTCTTGACCCCCTTGCATCTTGCTGCTGGAAACAGAGACAGCAAGGATACCCTAGAACTCCTCTTGATGAACCGTTACGTCAAACCAGGGCTGAAAAACAACCTGGAAGAAACTGCATGTGATATTGCCAGGAGGACAAGTATCTATCACTACCTCTTTGAAATTGTGGAAGGCTGTACAAATTCTTCACCTCAGTCTTAACAATTCTAGTAATTTTCTTAAGTTTCTAAGTACCAGTGCCTCCTTTGTGTGAGATGTAAAGTATTCCCATAATCAAAGTTGACGTCAAACATCTTACTACAAAAATTCAGTGATATTCATTATAACATTCTTCCAAGTGAATTGCCTGACTTTGATGTCAGAATGTATTTAAAAGTAATTTGCATATATATTTAATGATTTCTGTGGAGTTCGTGATTTTTTATCAGAACTAATTTTAATGTGTGTATACTTAAAAACTTGACACGGGTTGTACAGAAACTGATATTTTTGGTGCTGATCCAAGAGAGATGTATTTTTAAATATCCCACATCCTGGATCTTTGTTGAGTACTTAGTATATTGACATATATTTTTATAAGGTGAGGTAACTCAGAACTTAATTTAGAAGTCTTAAATATTCTGATACAATTTAGCTGTCTTCTCTACCTTACCATAGCCAGTTGCTTTCACTTTAAACTAGAGCAAGTAACGTATTAGTGGCTTGCATCTTCATAAGTTAAAGAAAAAAACAGCAAAAAAGCTAGATCTTTGTCTTTTAGAACACAGACCATTTTCAGGAAAGCAGTTAGCGAGGTGTTTAATTCATGAATATTGTATACTGCCTCCCCTACCACAATTTACACAATCCTGTGGATAGTCCTACCTCACCCTGGTCAACCTACATGATCCTTATGCTAATGGCAAATCACAATGACCTTGTAGACATGCACACAACTATACCTTTGTCCAACAGATCATAATATATCTGCTATCCAACTGGTTTTACATGCCTAATCCTACTGATTGGGGCACTGCTCATATAGTCTCTCAAGTTCACAGGAAATGTTGATTTTCTAAGGTCCTCATTTTTACAAACTATACAAAGCCTAAGTGACAAGGGAAAAGGAATTAGTCTAAGAGTAAGGGGATGATGATTATATTGAGGCTAAAACCACAAAGTGGCTCAGGCTTAAAAAAAAAAAAAAACACTGTGGATAATGACAAAAAGCATAAGTAAAAATATTTGAGAAAAATAAAGTAGAAGTTTTCAACAACACAAAAGGCATGAATTCATTTTTTACCTGTGTATGTCTTTCTTGGATCCAGAACATTATTCATCCAGCGTGCACTTAGTTATTTAATATCTACTCTCTCAGTTTCTCCAGCAGCAATTTTGCATTGTGTACCTAGCCCCTCTGTGATTGTTCCCAAAGTTTTGTCTTCTCAACATGAGAACACTCTAGGGGAAGAGAACTAAACCAATTGCTCTTTACTTCAGTTAAATTTTTTAAATGTCCACCAAGGCTTATCTCTTTCAAGCCATCCTATGTAACCCAGTCACCCTAGACTAAGTAATAATGTTATTTAATGAAATATTAAATATTTATTTTTGGTTAGAACTTATTAGATGATCTCAGAAAAGTCAGAGATAATACATGAACTGAATCATCGTGGCAACAGGCTCTTGAGAGTTAGTGCTTTAGTTTATGTTGTGAGCTCTGCCTAGGGAGATGCTTTGTGGCAGAAAGAGGTTGCTTTCTGTTTGATCTGGCCTAAGTTAGTGACACCAAATGACAGGTACAGCTGACAGGCAGTGATGATAGAATAAGACCTTATTTATCCAAGCAGACTGCTGAATGAGGCTGCTTAGCCTGAAAGTCACAGAGCTGATGGCTCCTTTCTCATTTGAGAATGGATTGCACCCATGATTTTCCATGTAAACTTTCCATTTAAGTATGAAGCCAAAGAAGTCTTGTTTCCAATAAGGACCTAAGATGTGTCTACTCCCTTGTTTTCAGACCTCAACACTCACTGATGCTAGAGAGCAAATTCTACATATAAGACAAATCCCACCCCTGAGGGCAGAATTTGTATTGTCTGCTTCATTTATACTTTCCAGAACATTTAGTAGACTGCTCTGTCCACAGAAGGCAGTTACTAATTGTGCTTTGAGAGGATTACTTCTACTTTCCAGTGTAGGCAGGCTAAATAGCTCAGTTTGCAAACAGAATTTTCTCTAATCTTGAAAAGCCTGTATGAAGACTTATTAAAAAATGAAATCTGAGTTTTTCATAACTAAGGGCTTAATTTTGATTAACCTATGCTTGAGGAAGAGATAATTTTTGTGAATGTTCAAGGTTCATATCATAATTCTTAGGCCTAAAGTGGAACTAGTTGGCTTTGCTTTTATGAATCTTAAATACGCTTTTCCAGGGAGCCTTCCAACCCACAGCCTACCACAGTGGTGGGATTTAAAGTCTTTATACTATAATATGAAGACATTTATTTTTATTATTTGACATCTATTATGTTATCTAACACTATGCTGGAAAATCATGATCAAAAGAAGCCCAGAGACTATTCTGAGATTTATGTCCTATACCAAAATGAAATCTCTGGATCAACTTTTGATTCCTGATCAACACATATACCATCTTGACCCTACCTGCACTGGCTCTAGGAATTTATGCAACTACCTACGAAATAAGATCACCAAATCCTTGATTATGTCTTTCCTGTAATTTGTTTATCATAAGATGCTCCAGTCCATCTGTAGGGTTGCTAGATGACCACTCAATTTGTTCAATATGAAATGCTTTCTCTAAAGGATATTTAAGGTCTATGCTTATTAAGTTCAGAAGAGAGTAAACCAAGAAGGATTAAGTGTAGCTGATTGATGTTTTAAATTCCTGGAAATTTCCCTTTGAAACTCCAAAATTTTACTTCTCAGAACCTAAATGGAAATGATCTAAATCAGTGCCAACACATAGAAACATGTGGGCCACATATGTAATTTTATGTTTTTAGCATGACTATTTTAGATACCTCATATAAGAGGACTCATGCAATAAGGAGAGAATTGCATTTTATGGCACACAAACATAGATAAGCAAAAATCTTAGAAGTGGAAAATCATAAGAGCAATATTAAAACAAAAACAGGTAAAATTAATTATATGTATATATATTAGGATAATACATCCAAAATATGAAAGAAATATTTTAAAATTATTCAGATTTTTTTTTTATAGTAAATCTTCAAAATGCAGGGTGTATTTTAAAGCACATCTGAATTTAGACTAGTCACATTTCAAGTTCTCAGCCATGTTTGTCTAATGGCTAGTCCATTGAAAGCACAGATCTACATGCCTGAGTCATTCCCTGGAGGCAAAGAAGGATGGGTTACACAGAGCATTACACTTTGAGTGAGACAAACTGAGTTCAAATCCTCAGTGCCACCTGTGGGTGACTTTGGGCAAAAAAAAAAAAAACCCTCAATTTTCTCATATGTAAATCAGGGATAATGTCTATCTTGTTGTAGGCTAGTTTGTTATTTAAATGTAAAAATCATATGGTGTAATTTATTTTGTCAATTTCTTTAATACTTTAAAAATAAATTTCAATATGAAATACATTGAAATCATATTGTTTAAAAAAAAAAAGCTACATGTGTTTATCAATGTCCTCCAGTCATCTTTTATGTAATGCATGAATGAAATCATCTGATCTTTATGAACGTTCTTATTGGTACACCAAACCTCTGTGACAATAGCTAACAACTGAGTGCTCACTGTAGGCCAACTATGCTGTATGTGCGTCGCTTGTGTGATACCACGTGAGCCTCACAACAACTCTCTGAGATACATATCATTGTACAAAAAGGAAATCAGGCTTATAGAACTTACACGGATTGCCCATTGTCATGCTATGTGCGCATGATGGAGGTTTGTCTATCTGGTTCTACCACCTTTCCTCTTCACCACACACTAGTATTTGACATGTATTTGTGAAGTTGATTAAAGAATGCATCATTTGGTGCATGTGTAGTGTATTTTCTTACGTTCCCAGAAAGCTCATGTTCAAATATCACAACTTTTTACCTGTGGTGTTTTTGAATATTATCTATATACCACCAGTTAGTCTGTCAATCATAATAACCAAAATTCCATTTTCTTAAATATTATTTTTATGTAGTTTATTTACAGTAGGGTTTGAGGACATAAAAATTACTATCAGGAGCAAAAGCAACTGCGTTTGCTTTTAAAGGTGCAGTTTATATTTTTTGAATTTAGTTACTTATATCTACTTTTAAATATGCTTGCCATTTATCCACATATAAAGTATATGTTGTACATAGGCTATAACTAAATTTATTTAATTTTTTTTTAATTTTTGTTTTTTTTCTTTTTGAGATAGACTCACTATTGCCCAGGCTAGAGTGCACTGGCACGATCTCGGCTCACTGCAACCTCTGCCTTCTAGGTTCCAGTGATTCTCATGCCTCAGCTTCCCAAGTAGCTGGGATTACAGGCGTGTGCTACCATGCCCAGCTAATTTTTTGTGTTTTTAGTAGAGACCGGGTTTCACTATGTTGGCCAGGCTGGTCTTGAACTCCCGGCCTCAAGTAATCTGCTGGCCTCGACCTCCCAAAGTGCTGGGAATACAGGTGTGAGCCAGCATGCTTGGCCACTAAATCTATTAATTTTATTCCCCTTCCATGTAGGATTCCATACATGTGTGCAAATTTCTTGTTTTGTTATTGTGTGAAGAACACTTAACATGAGATCTGCCCTCTTAAAATTTTAGTGCATAGTATTTTTTTATCTATAAGCACAATGCTTATAGATCTCTAGAATTACAGAGATTCTAGATTGTACAGCAGATCTCTAGAAATTACTTATCTCGTATAACTAAAACTTTATACTCATTGAATAGCTACTCCCCATTTTCCCTTGCCCCAGATCCTGGCAGCCACCATTCTACTTTCTGTTTCTAGGAGCATGACTATTTTAGACACCTCATATAAGAGGACTCATGCAACAAGGAGAGAATTGCATTTTATGGCACACAAACATAGATAAGCAAAAATCCTAGTAGTTGAAAATCCTAAGAGCCAAAGCAATATTTAAAAAGAAAACAGGCTCACACCTGTAATCCCAACACTTTGGGAGGCCAAGGTGGGCAGATCACGAGATCAGGAGATCAAGAGCATCCTGGCCAACACGGTGAAACCCCATCTCTACTGAAAATACAAAAAAAAATAAAAATTAACCGGGCATGGTGGCACACCCCTGTAGTCCCAGCTACTCGGGAGGCTGAGGCAGGAGAATTGCTTTTCCTTGAATCCAGGAGGCGGAGGCTGCAGTGAACCAAGATCACGCCGCTGCACTCCAGCCTGGGCAACAGAGTGAGACTCCGTGTCAAAAAGAAAAAGAAAACGTTAAAGTCAGGATTTTTACAACCTGATTTTAAGACTAGCTATGAAACAACAGTATTGAGACAGTGTAGTATTGGTGGATGGACATGTGGATCCATAGAACAGAATACAGTCTAGAAATAAATTCAGATATAGATGATCAATTAATTTTTGACAAAGGTGTCAAGGAATTCAATGGGACGTTCTCTTAAACAAATGGTGCTGGAACAACTGAATATATTCTTGGAAAAAACATGAACTCATTTATAGGCAGAAAGCAGTTCAGTGGTTTCTTGGTCACAGGGACAGAGGTTGGACTACAAAAGGGCAGAGAGAACCTTTTGGAGGTGATGGAAATACACCATAGCTTGATTGTGGTAATGATTTTGCAGGTGTACACAACTGTCAAAGTCACTGGGTTTTAAAGAGTAATGTAGGGTTTTTGTACATAAATTATATTTTTATGAAGTTGATTTTTAAAAATAGATATCCAGAAATAACTCATTTTATTCTTTTATTATTTTCCATGGCAAGCATAAGATGAACTCATCCTCAAATTCTAGGGATATATCTTCAGGGGGGGCCTGTTATTTAAAAAAATACATTTCACCAATTCACTGGAATTTTAAAATTCCAAGTAACACATCCTTTATAATCAGAAGGTGCAATCTCTCCATTAAATGACAGAATGGGAAACAAAATAATTGCTTTAAAATAATTAGTCCATTTGGCAGGATTCAAGAAATTTGAAAAGATAGCTAGTTACTATATAAGAAGGATTTGGTTGGCTTTTAATTTAAATCAGGACTGTTAGAACCTAAAAGAGGGTACCAAAGTGGTTTTAGCATCTACTTTTCCAAAGAAAAACGATAGCATTCAATGTCCCATTGTTTATTACTATATAAGAAGGATTTGGCTGGCTTTTCATTTAAATCAGGACTGTTAGAACCTAGAAGAGGCTACCAAAGTGGTTTTAGCATCTACTTTTCCGAAGAGAAACGGTAGCATTCAACATTCCATTGTTTATTTGGTTGTGCTGTAAGACAAACTGAGATGATTTCTTGAGACCTGTTTTAGATCTATAGAATTAAGCACAAGTAACATGAAGTAACCTATTTACTCTGGTAATATACTAAAACTTTTTATTTCTTTAAGACTTCATTTTTTTACATGAATGTGTAACTTTTTATTAGAAAACTTCAGTCTTGGGTTTTGTCTCCATCTAGTGGTCATGTTGGTCTTTTCCATTTACAGTCAGGCTTGGGTCAATGATGCATCGCCTACACTGACAGTGATCTCATGAAATTATAATGGAGCTAAATATATCCTATCACCTAGTGATGTTGTAGTTGTCATTATGTCATAGCACAACACATTACTCACATGTTTGAGGTGATGCTAAATGTAAACATACCTACTGCACTGCCAGTCATATTTACATACAACTATGTACAGAACATAACACTGGATAATGATAATAAACAACTATGTTACCGGTTTATGAATTTACTATAATATACTTCCGGTCATTATTTTATGGTATTCTTCCACTTATTAAAAAAAGTGAACCGTAAAACAGTTTCAGGCAGGTCCTTCAGGGGGTATTCCAGAAGAAGGCATTATTACCATAGGAGATGACATAGGAGTAACTCCGTGAGTGTTATTGCCCCTGAACACCTCCCAGAGGACAAGATGTGGAGGGAGAGGACAGTGATCATGATGACCCTCTGTTGGCCTAGACTAAGTATGTGTTTGTGCCTTTGTTTTTAACAAAAAAGTTTAAAAAGTAAAAAAATATATAAATAATGCATATTGAAAATACAAAAAAGCTCATAGAATGAGGCTATAAAGAAAAAAATAGTTTTGCATAGCTATACAAGGTGTTTGCATTTTAAGCTAAGTGTTATTACAAGAGTTAAAATGTTTTTAAAAATTAAAAGTTTATAAAGTCAAAAAAGTACAGTAAGCTAAGGGTAATTTATTATTGAAGAAAGAAAAATATGTTTGCATAAATTTAGTGCAGCCTAAATCAGTAGTGTTGATAAAGTCTATAGTAGTGTTCAGTAATATCTTAGGCCATCACATTTGCCCACCACTCACTCACTAACCCACTCAAAGAAACACCAAGTTCTTCAAGCTCCATTTATGAAGTACACACTCTACAGGTGTACCTTTTAAAGTCAACTATACCATATTTTTACTGTACCTTCTCTATGTTTAGATTTCTTAAGATACACAAATACTTTCCTTGTGTTACAACTGCCTACATATGCAGTATAGTAATATGTTCTACAGGTTTGTAGCCTAGGAGCAATAAGCTATACCAAGTAGCCTAGGTGTGTAGTAGGCTACGCCACCTAGGTTTGTGTAAGTGCATTCTGATATTTGAACAAGGATGAAATTGCCTAGTAACACATTTCTCAGATACCCCCATCATTAAGTGACGTATGTGTAATTGAAATTTTTAAAGGATAAGCCAACTATCCTGGGGTTTTTTCATTCTGTTTTTGTTGTTCATTTTTAGTTTTTTTGGTAAGGATTGAAAAACTATGGAGTACTATGCTTATTACCTGGGTGATGACATAATTTGTACACCAAACTCCTGCAACATGTAATTTTCCCATACAGCAAATGTACCCCTGAACCTAAAAAAAAGTTAAAAAGAGAAAAATGGAAACCACAGTTCATACCTAAAACAGTACCTTTCATACTTATTTGCATCAGTAACTTCTTTCAAGAGAATATGCATTGGTATATAATTGAAGACACACATATAACGATTGGAAATTTAAAAAATCAAAAGCCATTTAGAAGGAGAAAGAAGGAAATAAACCACCTAAATCAATATTGTTACTAAAATTGATAGATTATCTTTAAGGTTTTTGGTAATGAAGAAAAAAGAGGAAGACAGTAATTGCTTTTTTTTGTTTGTTTTTGAGAGAGGGTCTTGCTCTATCACCAAGGCTAGAGTACAGTGGTGCGATCATGACTCACTGCAGCCTTGAACTCCTGGACTCAACTGATCCTCCAGCCTCTGCCTTCTGCGTAGCTAAGACTACAGTGCAAGCCACCACGCCCAGCTAATTTTTTTATTTTTCTTTTATAGAGACAGAGTCTTGCTATGTTGACCAGGCTAGTTTTAAACTCCTGGCCTCAAGCAATCCTCCTGCCTTGGCCTCCAAAGGTGCTGGGATTATAGGTGTGAGCCATGGTGCCCAGCCCTTCTTTATGTTTGTTTTGTGCATATTTTTTAATTTGATCAAATAAACCACATTTTTATGAGTAAAAATATTTTTAGACATTTTTTCTAAATAAAATATTCTTAATTTTTGTATAATTTTATAGAACTATAGCATACACAAAGTAAAATTCAGAAATCTTCGTGAATTCTTCAAAGTGAATAGGGTTATGTAACTATCACCCAGCTCAAGATCTAGAACATAATCAGCACCTCCAACAGCTACTTTGTGCTTCTGCTCAGTGTTCCCTCAAAGGTAACTACAATCTAACTTTTATTTCCATCATTTAGTTTTGCCTACATAAATATAGTAACTTATGTATATTTTTGCGTTTGGTTTATTTCACTCAACATTACATCTATGAGATTTGTCCATTTCTGCATGT